TCTCTCTCTCTCTCTCTCTCTCTCTCTCTCTCTCTCTCTCTCCCTCTGCTTTCCAAAAAACCAGGCCCGCTCCGCCCTCGGCTTCTCTCTCCTCGCGTCTACTTCTCACCGCACAATCTCTCGGCGCCAACCTACAAACGGCGACGTCCGGCACGCAACTGCTTCTTTCCGATCTGCGTCGTTCGCTCCCCTCTCGCGATCTCCTCTCGGCGCTGCGTCTGCCCAACGCCGAGGCGCTCGCTCGGCGGCTCGGCGTGCCCGCCGAGCAAGGGGGCGCATTGCTGGCCTCGCTGGAGACGGCGCAGGGAAGGGCACAGAGCTGGAAGGAGAACAACGTCGGCGCACTGGGCTGGATCGGCGCCGTGGCGGGTGCGGGGAGCGCTTATGTCCTCGTGTTTGGAGTCGTGGGATTGGTCGGCCTCGTCGCTATGCCGACGAGGAAAGTGCGCGCTGAGTAAAGCGTCGCGAACAGCAAAGCGTGCCCAGACGAGTTTCGCTCCTCCGTTGCGCAACACGAGCCTACTCTTCCCCCCTCTTCGACCTTTCTGTTCCTTCAAAGATTTCACCACCTCGAACCCTCTCCACTCTCTCCGCCTCGCAACCTTGAACGGCCCAGTCCTCTTTTCCCCTCTTCTCACCGTCTAGTTACTGCGCTACTTTTTCACCTCATGCCTTTTTCCTCCCTCTTCTGTCTCTTCCTTCCCCGTCCTCTAGTCACACATCGACTCTCTTCACTCTACTTGACTCTCGACCCGCCCTTGTCGAAACGCGCTACGCTGTAACAACCTCAGAAATGGCTTAATTGTCTCCTCCCCTCTCGCTTGTCTTGGCTGTCCCTACTGCTGCTGCGGCTGCTGCTGCTGCTGCTACTGCTTCGTCGCCAGGTTGCGCCGCCGCTCTTGTCGCATCGATCTCTTCTTGCCCATGCTTGGCCCTCGGCAGCGCCATCGCTTCGAGCTGCGCGCGCGACAGCTTGAAGGGCACGGCCGAGCGCGGCACGCTTGGCGGCACCTGCCCGCTCTCCTCGCTCGCAGTTGGGCGTGCACTCGCGGCGCGAGAAGACGCAGTCGAGGCTGAAGCCGAGGCTGAGGCCGCGCCGACGGCAGATTGTCGCGTTCTGCCAGCTGTCGGAGCTCGACGGGAAGACGTGGCGGTAGACGCAGAGGTGGAAGGAGAGGATGAGGTCGAGACAGAGGGTCGATGTAGCCACTTGACGAGCAGACTTGCCAGTGTTGCGCTCGCCTGTACGCGGGGGGCGAGTTTTGCCAGAGGGTTGTGGCGCAGAAGAAGGGGCAACAAGGAGAGTGGGACAAGAACGATAAGGTTCGGTCAGCTTGGCCCCTGCCGCGCGTTGCGCAAGCCGTGATAGGGGAGCAAGGTGTAGTGGTGGCGGACGCAGAAGCTGCTGTGCGGACTCACTGCAGTCATTGCCCAAGCAGGCATTGCATCCGTCAAGGGATTGATGTAGGAGAAGAGGAGGCCTAGCCAGCGGGCATACCAAGCTCCTCCTCCCGATGTCCCTCCTCTCTCTCCTCCTCCTCCTCCGCCCAGGCCGTGCCACGAAGGCAGCGCAAGCCAAGCTTGCGGCGTAGCCATCAGCTCGAGCAGCTCGAGCGGAGAGGGAGGCGACGTCCATGCGAGCGAGAGATGGCGAAACGTCAAGTCGCCGGAGGAGGTGGGGGTGAGGAAGACTAGCAGTGGGACGCTGTGCGCCGGGGGGGGGGGGGCAGAGACCTCAGTTCAGCGCCACGGCGCGACAAGAGAAAAGGGAAAGGGGGAGAGAGAGGCAAACAACGTACCGCCAGATCCACCATCGCCAAACGAGCCTCGTCTCCTTTTCAAAGCGCACGACTGCAGTGCTCCACGCCAGCGCTCTCTCTCTCCTGCCTGGCTCCTCCCACAACCTGCGCAGTGCCACCTCCTCGCCGATGCGCAGACGCTCGTCGTCCTGCGTCTCGAGCGTGAGCTCCTCTAACGAAGAGAGGGATGAAGGAGGCGTGTGAAGTAGAGAGACGGAACGATTGAAGAGCGACAAGACGAAGAGGGATCGCGTGTCTTCTTCGCCCGCTCTGCGCTCGCGAGAAGGTGGCTTGCATCAGCCTGCTTTCTCCTCTACCCGGCTCGTTGCTCCTGAGGAGTATACTCACACGAGAAGGACCCATCCTCGCCCTTCTCGCGCAACACGGCTCTCCAGCGTCTCCTCCGCTCCATCGCCCACGAGACGCAGCTGCTCGTGCAGCGTCTCCAACGGCGAGAGGCGCAGGGCGTCGATGTGCGCGTCGGACTGCTTGAGGAGCCACTTGCGCATGTTCTGCCCGACCAAATCAAGGTCAGCCTCGTGCAGCGCGTGAGATTGACGAGGCGAGAAGGTGGGGGAGAGGAAGCGGCCAACTCACTCGCTCGATGCGCAATGCCACACCTTCGGTCTCTCGCCGCGGCAGAGCAGCTGCCGTAGCAGTGAGGGGCGCCACGGACGGCGCTTCCGCCTCGACGGCGAGTGGACCAAGCGGCTCGTCATCCCACACATCGCCCCGCGTCGCCGCTGCACCCGTCGCCGCCTGCGCGCATGCCGAGTGGGCCGCGAGCACGATGCTTGCGGCGCCGGCGCTGGTGAGGCGCAAAGGCAGGCGCAGGCGAGACGCGGGGCTAGAACATCTTGCGCTCGAGTAAGAGGCACGGGTGAGGGAGAAGAGGCAGAGGGAGAGAAGGAAGAGCAGAGAGGAGCGCATGGCCCCCAGACCCGGGCGCGAGGATGAGGGGCGAGAAGCAAGGGAAGGCGAGGCCTGAGGGTCAGAGTGCAGCTTGCAAGTGAATGAAGTGGAGCAGCAAAGTGGCCCATGCACGAATACAACCTCGCGCGCCGCCTGCTTTAATGCGAGCCTTTGCTCGCCGCGCTCAAATCGAAATTGCCGCGCGCCGCATCTTGCTTCCCCACCACATCCTCCGCCGCCGCTGTCCTCACGTGACGGGGGCGTGCCGCACCCTGCCTCCACTCGCGCGGCCGTTCCTTCTGGCGCTCCATCCCTCACCCCCGCACCACCCTCAGCCTGCGCCTCACAGCCACACCTCGCCGCGCCTCAGCATCGGCGGCAGCCAGATACACGGCGTGCGTGCGCGCGCGCGCGTCCTCCCGCCATGTCGACGCCCTTCTCGCTCGGCACGCCCTCGATGCTCGCCGCCCTCGGCGTGCCCGGCAGCGCGGGCAGCGGCAGCGCCGGCGCCGGCGCCGGCGGCAGCAGCAGCCAGAGTCTCAGTGTCGCAGGCGGCGGCGGCGGCGGCAGCGCCATGGCGGCAGGCACTCCGCTGCCGCTCTCCGCCTCTCTCTCAGGCGCCAGCAGCGCTCCTCGCGCCGCAGCAGCCGCCTCGCCGCTGCAGGCGCACTTTGCGCCGCGGGCGCCGCGCTCGCCGACGCTGGCACAGCTGCCGCTGGCGCAGCGCGAGCGGCCCGAGCTGCACGCCCTGCTCCAGGCGCTGCGCCACACTCTGCTCGCGCCCGTCCTCGCCGGCGCATCCGTCGCCGCGGCAAGAGAGCCCACCGTGCGGCCAGGCTACCTGCCCGACTGCCTGGGAAGCGACCTCTTCGCCTGCTACACTCCCGCAGAGCTAGACCAAATCGCCTCGCGCAACGTGTCCAGCGACATTCTTGCCGTTCTGCGAGCGGTCGCCGCCTCCTTGTCCATCGACGAGTTCTACGACTCCGCCTCGCCTCTCAACCTCACACTTGCGGGCAAAGTCTTCGTGCTAGATTTCGACGTCTCGGTGCCTTCCTGGTGGACGCCTGCGTCGACAGAGAAGGTGGGCAATGGAGAGTACATGCGCGTGCGTCTCTCCTTCGGCTCGTCGTCCGATGGCTCTGCCAAGGACTCCCTCAACGAGTCGTACTGGCGAGTCGCCGAGAGTCTCTACGGCTGCATCAGAGGTCTGGAACAAGCTTTGCAGCTCAAGTCAGAGGAGCAGCTCATCGTGGAGCACGAACGCCTGCGTCAGGATCTCGCGGCACTGGCGAGCCTGGACGCTCTGCACGCCGAGTTTCCAGAGGCGGATGCGTTCGGGACGATGCACAAAGTGGGCAGTGTATTGGAGGGCAATGCGTTGAAGGAGATTGGACAGCTGGAGTGAGTGTGCCTCGACGGCGCGTCGCACAGGTAGAGGAGAGCTACTGACGCCTGTTTCCCTCAGTCTCGCGAGCTTCACCTCTGACCAACTCCGGCAGCTCTTCATCTCACCAGGCCGGTGCGGCGTACCTGACATTCACAATCCTCGAGTCTGCCACGTCCTTCATCTCTACTCTTCCTCGATGATCAACGCCCCGGACAGCTTGTACTCGGATTTAGGAGCGGCCAAGTTCCGTGCGCTTCATCCAAGACGCGCACTTGTCGTCCCGCCGCCCTTGTGTACTTGGGGCGTTCAATTGGCTCACCGGGCGCGCGAGGCCGAGGACACTGCGCCTCTCAACGCTGCGGCGGCGTCTGTCGCAGATCGGGCAAGTGAAGAGACGCACACGCTCAAGTGGAACTTCGAGGCCGCTCGCTTTGAGCTGCCCAGCTCCTTGATGCTCGAGGCCACACTTCAGCCGCCCGTGCTTCTCTCCTCGACGGACGCATCCCTCCTCGCGCGCGCCCTCGGTCGGCACGACTTGATCTCTGCTTCTTCTACAACGTCTCGTGACGAGGCCGCGACAGGCCTCATCGATGCCGCCTATCTCTCCGCTCTTCACGCTCTGCCTTTGCCCACCATCGCCGCTTCGCCTCATCTTGCATTCCGCGTGGCGCGCGGAAGCACGCGTGTTTCGCAGAGCAGCAACGACGGCTCAAAGGCACCCGCCGAGCCTGTCCTCGTCTCGCGCTTCAGTCTCGCCTCAAGCGACACGCTCTACGCAACACTCGAAGTCCTCCGTCCTGCAGCATGGGCCATGAGAGTCGCGCAGGCTGCGCTCGCTCTCTCTGCTCCTGCCGTGTCGCCGGCGACGTCAAAGAGGCAGACGCAAGTCACTCTGCGCCCAGAACGGCGCGCACTGGGACTCTCGTTCTTCGTGCAGCGCGCAAGCGGGACGTGGACGTGCGAAGCACGCTTGGAGCTCAAGGAGGAGGGAGAGACGCAGGTGCAGGTGACGGCGAGGCTTTCTTCGCTTGGCGGCACGCAAGAGACGCACGAGCTCGGCGCGACGGACGAGCACGCAGCGAGCGTCAAGGCTGCGATGCAGCGCTTTGATGTGCTCTCGGCAGTGCAGGCGCTGCTGGGCTGGACGGAGAGCTTGCTCGGCCCGCCGGAGCAAGAAGAGGACGAGCAACAAGAAGAAGTGGGCGAGGCCGAAGTCGAGGCGAGCGCGGAGGAGATGAAGACGGAGCCCATCGTGCCCGAGCCTTCCGCGCAAGAAGAGACCAACGAGGCGCCTCCAGCTTCAGAGGCGCGAGCAGAAGCTCCGGCGCAGGCGCAAGTCAAGCTCGAGCCTGCATCTCTGCCCGCCCCGCCTCCGCCCCCGGCGGGCGGCATGACGAGTGCTCTCTCCTCCGGCTCGCTCGCTACGATTGCCGAGGATGAAGCTTCTCCCGCCGCCTTGACCTCAGGTGAAGCTGGCGCAGCACCTGCGACCTCGCCCGTGACACGACGCCGACGAGTGTCGCCGTTGCAGACCGACGGCTCTCCTCCTCCCGCAGGCGGGACCGCAAGCGGCAGCAACAGTGGCAGCGCCGGCCAGACGTCTCCCTCCGGTCGTCTTACTCGTCGAGCCTCGGCGGCGCTCGCCACCGCCGTCGAGACCTCTCCCGTCGAGGAAGGCGATGCGCCTCCGCAGACGCGCACGCTGCGCAGACGCAGCTCGCAGAACACTCGCGGCAGCAAGAGCCCGGCGCCGCCGCAGGTCACGCAGAGAGAGGGCCTGAAGAGGAGGGGCAGTGGCAGTCCGCTTGAGGAGGAGGAGCAGGGGAGGAAGAGGAGGAGGGGCTAGCGGAATGACAATACCCGTTGCGCGAGCACGAGAATGATCAGGAGCCACGGCTCGCTTCCCGGGCTCGACGCAACGTCGAGGTGCGCATGCTTCTCGGCCTCCCACTGGGCCGCGGGCGACGTCACACGAGATCACTCAGAGCGAGGTGCGAGGGACTCTATTCAAATTAACTGTGCAAAGCCCGACGAGCGAGCACGAAGCGGGGAGCGAGAAGGAGCGGCGAGCAGGTAACGGTCGGCGGCGGAGCCAGCAGCGACAAGACCAGGACGGGAAGAGGGGTGTGATGCAAAGGAGTGTGGGCGTGCGCTGCATGGCACTGGGTGAATGAATGATGAGGGGCTCTACGGAAGGAGTGTGGGGGCGCTGCGGCGCCGGGCGCGCAGGGCAAGGAGTGTGGGTGGGGCTTCTGCGTCCGCCGCCTAGAAGCCGCCAGAGATGGAGCCGCGGCGCGACGACGTCGTGCTGCCGGCGTTGGACTGGATCCAGTTGGGCGTGCCGTGGCCCGTCGACGAGCCGCCGGCCCACGTGCCGTGGCCGTCGGACGACTCGCCGAACGTCGGGTACGAGCCGTTGGGGCCAAAGTAGGGGCCCGAGTGGCCGCCGATGGAGGAGAGGTTGTGCGTCGAGGTGGTGCGCGACGTGCCGCCGCTGCTGCTGAAGGCCGAGAAGCCCGAGACGCTCTGGAGCATCGTGGGGCGGCGGAACATGTTCTCGAGCGTCTTGTAGTTGACGACGAGGTCGTCCTCCGACGTGCCGGCGTACATGCGCCGGCGCCCGTCGGCGAGCTCCTTGCCCGCCCAGAGCATCTGCTCGTGCTCGCGCAAGTAGCGGTCGCCGTCGAACTTCTTCTGCACCGTCGTGCGCATGTTGAGGCCAAGGCGGCGGCGGTTCTCCGACTGCGTGTACATGCGCGCCTGCACCTCGTTGACCTGCTCGATCGTCGGGTGGTCGCACAGGCCGCCCGTCCACGGATCCTCGCCCTCGACCTCGGCGTAGTCGGCCCACTGGCCCATGACGCCGAGCACGTTGATCTGGGCGCGGGCGAGGTCGCGCGCGCGGTTCGGGTTCACGACCTCGCCGTAGAGCTTCGAGGGGTCGTCGATGTCCTGCAGCACGAGCGCCGTGGCGCCGACGTCGGTGCACACAATGGGCGCGCCCGTCAGCGCCGCCTCGCCGATGGCCAGCGGCAGGCCCTCGCTGATGCTCGAGTTGAGGAAGAGCCACGTGTCGGCGAGCACCTTCTTTGGGTTGCCGTAGCCCTTGAACTCGACGAAGCCGCGCAGGCCCTTGGACGCCAGCAGCTCCTGGCACTCGACGGTGTACGACGGCATGCGGTCGAGGCCGCCGTAGATGTGCAGGCGGTAGTCGCTGAAGCCCCACTCGTTGACGATGATGTCGGCGGCGAGCAGCGCCGTCTTGATGTCCTTGACGTACTGCACGTGCGACAGCATCGTCACCGTCGGCTTCTCGGTGAGCACCTTCTCCACGGGCTCGAAGGAGTCCATGTTGCAGATGCCGTTGACGACGGCGTCGATCTTGCGCGCAAACGTCTCGCGCGCCTCGAGCACGCCCATCTCGGTGCCGAGCTCGACCTCCCACTCGGGGTTGAAGAGGTCGGTGCACGGCAGCACGACGTCGCAGTGGTGCAGGTTGAGCACGGCGGCCATGCGCATGATGCCGAGCAGCGCGTTCTGCACAAACGGCGGGTGCGAGCACTGCGAGGCGCTGAGGAACGTGTTGCACTCGCGCCAGATGATCGAGTGGTCCCACACCTGGAACGAGCAGTTGCGCTTGATCTTGCACAGGATGCCGTACAGCGCGCCGATCGAGTGGTGCGTCGCCTGGAACACGGGCGGGCACACGGCGGGCACGGGCAGCGCGAAGATGAACAGGTAGCGCGAGTAGAGGTCGAGCGTGTCGTCGAGGTTGCCAATCGTCGGCAGCTCAATGTCGAGCGCGTCCTCCGTCGAGCTGATGCGCTCGGCGCTGTTGTCGAGCCAGAAGCGGCGGAAGGCCTTCTTGACGGGGTCCGAGCGCCACACGCGGTTCCAGTCGCGCGTCTCGAAGTACGAGTTGAGGTCGAGCAGCGCCTGCGTGAGGTTCTTGATGTCCTGCTTGCTGAACTTGCGCGTGCGCGTGCCCATGACGATGGTGCGCAGCAGCGGGATGAAGTCGCGCTTGATCTCGGCGTCGCTGGGAGAAGGGTCAGTCACTGGCTCTGCTAGACAGCTCAATCCACTCACGAGACGCCCTGGATCCGCTCGTCGACCTGGCCGTCGAGGATGTTCTGCAGGATGCCGTGGTGCGGCGTGAGGAAGTCGAGGCCCCACTGCGCGAGCAGCTTGACGGAGGCGACCTGGTTCTCGATCTGGAAGCGCGGCATGCCGAGGTCGTTGGCCACCTCGGCGACGATGTGCCAGCGGATCTTCTTCAGGTTGTCGACGACGTCGCGGCGGCAGCACGAGACACCGCCGCCCTCGGTGGGCCAGGTGCCGGTGTCGGTGGCAAGCACGTGCATCTGCTCCTCGGGGCCCGCGAAGGGGTCGTCGGCGGTGCGCGTGTTGAGGACCATGTTGGAGGAGCCGCCCATGGCGAAGAGGTCAGACATCTTCGTCGCGAGAATCGTCCAGCCCGAGACCTCGGGCGCCATGCCGATGGCACCCTCGATGGCCTCGGCGTGCTTCTTGAGGTATTTGATGGCCGCGCGGAAGTTGCCGCGGTCGCGGGCGTGCCAGTAGGGCCGCAGCAGCGGCTCGCCGCGCAGCACCTGCTCGTCGAGGTACATGGCCGCGACGCCGTCGACGTTGCTCGAGTTCTTCCAGCCGCGCCAGATCGTCTCGCGCGCCTTCCAGGTGGTGAAGCGCGAGGTGCGCGACGTGGGCGCAAAGGCACGCTTGACCTTGCCGAAGAAGCCGCCCTGCCCGGGCAGCGAGAGGCCGAACGCCGGGTCCTCGGCCTTGAAGGCGAAGCCCGTCGGCGGCTTGTGCACGCCGTACGTGTCGTTGACGGCCAGGTCCGGGTTGGGCACGGGGTGGCCCTCGCACTGCGTCGAGATGACCGGGTGGCTCTTGTGGTCGTAGGTCCAGATCGTCTCGCGCTTGCGGCCCATGTACGGCGTGATGAGGCGCGTGATGTGGCGCTGCGGCACCCACAGCGTCAGGTCCTCGGCCTTGCGCGTCGGCGGGTTGCTGTAGTACACCTCAAACGAGTCGTGCTCCAGGCCCTCGAACTCGTTGTCGTCGATCGTCGCGTACTCGACGCGGATGACGCCCTCCTTGGCGCCGCCGCGCTTGCGGTGGTAGTGCAGCTTGCAGGCGTAGTTGCGGCCGTTGAGCGTGCGCGTCTCGCCCGAGATGCGCCCGTGCTTGTCGTACAGCGCCATGTCGCCGCCGTCGGCCGTGAGGCGCTTGCGCACCGCGGGCGTCCGGTCCTTGTTCTTGTAGTTGTACTCGAACGTGTCCTGCAGCTGGGCGTGCTTGTACGTCTCGCGGCGCAGCAGGCGCTGCTCGTCGTCGTAGTAGCAGATGGCGCGCAGCAGCGTGTTGCCCTCGGGCTCCTTGTCCAGGCGGCCGTCGTAGACGCGCAGCGTCGAGGCAGCCGCGACGGGCGCCGTCTTCTCGTTGAGCTTCTCCGAGCTGCTGTTGCTCGGCGGCGGCGGCGGCTGGACAAAGGCAGTGACGGGCTCCGTGGGGTGCTGCACCTGCACGCGGTTGCCGCGCAGCGTCGTCTTGTAGCCGTTCTTGGCCGTCTTGGCGAGCGTGCGCAGGTGCGGGCGGCCCTGGAAGAGGAAGAGGTCCGTGACGAAGACGTTGGCGAGGCGCGCGGCCATCCACACGCGCACGCACACGGGCACGACGACGTGGCGCAGGCGCGTGTGGCGCATGGCGAAGAGCAGCTCGCGCTGGAAGTCCTTGTCGCCGCAGAGGCAGATGAAGAAGAGCTTGACAATCGTGCCGGCCTTGCTGAGCGTGTAGTTGTAGACGCGGCGGAAGACCGAGTGGTGGGCCTTGGGCGGCTCGAAGGACATGCGGTACTCGTCGACCTTCTCCTCGGCGTCCTCGTCCTGGCCCTCCTGCACGCCCTCGTTGGACTGCTTGGGCGCGGAGAGCACGTTGGAGCGGATGACGGCCTCGTCGATGAGCAGCACCAGGCGCGCGTGCAGGTTGCGGCGGGCGACGAACACCGACGGCGCCGTCTGGCTGGCGAGCGAGAAGGTGTCCTTGATCCAGCGCTGGTGTGCCTCGTCCTCAACAGCTGCATCGTCGTCCAGCGTGCGCGTAAAGCGCTTGACAATGTGCTTGCGCGTGTTCTCCGGCAGCTCCGTCCAGCACTCGTCGGGGTTCAGGCCGAGGGCGAGGTGGCGCGAGAGCTCCGTGTCGCGCTTGGCAACGATGTCGCGCGGGTCGGCGCCCGTCTTGGAGAAGAGCTGGGCGAAGACGCGCGAGGGCACCTCGAGCGTGGCACGCGGCGACACGAGCAGCTCGGCAAGGACGGCATCCGTGTGCGAGAAGTTGAACAGCACCTCGAACGTCTCGTGCACGACGGCCTCGGCAATGCAGCGCGCGTAGAAGGGCAGCGCCGTGCGCGTGCCGATCATGAAGTCCTTGGGCATCGATATGTAGACGGTGAGCGCCGTGTCGTCGGGGCTGTAGCTCAGCGCGCGGACGCGCGGGTCGAAGTGCTTCTCGCTAACCAGCTTGACCTCCGTGCGGCCCTCCTGCCAGCGGCGGAGCGTGTCGTTGAGCATGCGCTCGCCAGTCGGGAAGGCCGCGGCGAGCTCGTCGGCCTTGGCGCCGGCGCAGGCCTCCTCGAGGACCTGGCGCACAGCGCTGGACAGCGCATCGTCTCCCGAGGGGTCCCAGCGCAGCGAGAACTTGTTCGACGGGATCGGCTGCAGCTCCTCGATGGAGCGCAGCAGCGCCTGCTTCTGCTTGTCGTCCAGGCGGCGCGTGAGGCCGATGGCGTCCTGCGAGTGCACGAAGCGCTGCGACTTGCTGCGCGACGTGTCCTTGGTGCTGAGCTCGTCGTACTCGCGCTCGGGGTCGGCGCGCGAGAGGCTGAACAGGCCGCAGGGCGCAAGCGAGAGCAGGCTGGCGGACCAGGTGGCGACGTTGAGGGCAATAACCGGGCCAAAGGCGAAGTCGGGCAGGCAAATGCGGATCGGCAGGCCGAAGGCGAGGCCGAGAGCGACGCCCGTGAGCACCGGCTTCATGGCGTTGTTGCCGGCAAAGACGCGGTTGTACTGGAACCACATGAGGCCCGTGTAGCCGGCGACGTAGGCGCAGAAGATCGCAAAGCCCTCGGCGCTGTCGACGAAGAGCCAGACGAGGAGCGCGCAGAAGGCGAACGCCAGGCTCATCATCGCCGACGCGGCGCCGAGCTCGGTCCAGTACATCTTGCGCAGCGCGCGGGCGTCGAGCGTCGAGGCCTCGCGCAGCTGCGTGAGCGAGCGCAGCGGCGCGCTCGACGTCTTCTGGGCGAGGATGTACAGCGGTGCGCAGCGGATGTCGAGCACGACGGCGCCCATGAGGTAGTAGATGAGGCCGAGCGAGATGCCGATGCGCGTCGTGCCGTTGGTGAGCAGCACGAGGCCGATGATCTGGCCGCCGCAGATGAGCTCGATCCAGCGGTCGAGCAGCGCGAGGACGAAGTAGATGACGCCGAAGGCGACCTCGGGCGAGCAGTGGCGCCAGAGGATGAAGGCCGAGTGCGGCGCGAGGCCCTTGTCGAAGCTGCGCAGCGTGTCGAGCGCGACCTTGCTCTGCAGGGCCCAGGTGGACGAGTAGGGCAGCGGGATGAACGCGTGGAAGTGGCCCGAGTACCACTTGAGGATCGCCGACGTGAGGTGCTGCTTGGCGGCAATCTCGGCCACGAAGGGGTCCTGCGTCGGCTTCTGCCAGAAGCGGCGGTGGCGCTCGCGCGTCACCTGCGCCGAGAACTCGAGGCGCGCACGCTCGAGCGCGCCGGGCGCCGTGAGGCCGGCAAAGACGCTCTCGTGCGTGCCGTCGCCGAAGGAGCGCGCGTACCAGTCGAGGATGTCGTCGTCCTTGGGCGTCGGGCAGTCGGCCAGCCAGTTCGTCCATGTCGCCAGCAGGCGGAACGTCGTGATGTAGAGCGTCACCGTGAAGATGGCGAGCATCGGCAGGTACACGGCAATGTCCCAGCCGTGCACGTACGTCGTGACGATGGGCGAGACGAGCAGCAGCATGAGGCACTTGCCGACGGCCGTGCGGCCCGACGGCAGCGGGTGGTCGCCCCAGTGCAGCACGCAGAGCGCGCCCATGCACGTGAAGTACGTCGAGAGCAGCATGAAGTAGCAGAAGAAGATGAGGCCGGCGTACGGGCCGACGAAGGCCGTGAAGAAGACGAAGCCGAGGACCGAGCCGAACGCGGCGACGAGCATGGCGGCCGTGACCTTGTTGGCGACGAAGTTGACCATGACGGCGTGCGTCATGGCGTACTTGTAGTACGAGCCGCCGGCGCCGATCCAGTTGGTGAAGGGGCCGCAGATCACGAGCGAGATGACGAGGGCGAGCGTGGCGCTGCGCGACTCGACGGCGCTCATCGAGACAGACTGCGCAGTGTCAGCAGGTGGCAATGTGTGGCCAAATGCGGCGCACTCACCAGGTACAGGCCGCGGCCGTGGAACGTGAGCATCATGACATCGATCAGCGCCGGGATGGCAAAGACGCCAAAGTACGCAATGGCGCGGAACTTCTTGCTGTCCTCCTGGCTGCGCGCCTTCATGGCCGCCTGGTCGACGTCCGTCTTGGCTGAGGGGTAGGCAGTGAAGAGGTCGATGCCGTTGTATGCCTCGCGCGCCGGCTTCTTGGCGTGCAGGTAGCCGCGGTAGTAGTCCCAGAGCACGATGCCGAGCCGCTTCGGCGTGCAGTCGAAGTAGATCTCGCAGTTGGAGCCCATGATCCACATCTCGGCGTACACGGCCGCCTGGTCGGGCTGGTTGGAGAGCAGCGGCAGACGGTCGGTGGCCTCGAGCATCACCTCCTCAAAGGCGAGACGCTTGATGGCGCACAGCAGCATGAGCGAGAAGAGGTCCGAGGCCATGTCGACGCACGGGCGCTCCGTGTCGAGCAGGTGCACGAGCAGCTTGCTGACGCGCTCCTGCGAGAACTTGTCGTAGTGGCGCTGGAAGTGCGCGACGGTGCGGTCGACGATCTTGAAGTACTCGACGCACTTCTCCTCCGACGGGAGCGCCGAGGCGCCCTGCGCGAGGAACCAGTTGAGACGCGTGCGGATGAGCTCCTCGGGCGTGATGCGGCCGCTGAGGAACTCCTCGGCGTGCATCTGCTTCAGGCGCGCGGCCGACGGGGCCTGGACGAGGTAGAACTGCAGGCGCTCGCCGACGGCCTCGGTCAGGCCGTCGTCGCGGCAGTCGTCGCACATGGTGATGTGCTGCAGCGAGCGCAGCGCCTCGGCCGGCGACAGCTGGGCAATGTCGGCCTCGAGGCGCAGCGGCAGCTCGGGCAGCTTGGCCTGGTCGGCGGCGAGGATCGAGTCGTAGAGCAGCTCGGCGCTGAAGCACGAGGCGCGCGACATGCCGTACGCCGAGAGCGCCGTGTGGAGGATGAGGGCACCGAGGTTCTGCGTGCGGCGCGAGACGTAGATGTTGAGCGTCGTGCCCTGCACCTCGTACACGCCGTTGAAGCGGTTCTTGCCGTTGCCAGTCGGGTGGTCGGCCGGGCACGGCGGGCAGAGACCAGTGTCGAGGGCCGAGTAGACGCGGATCGATGTGAAGTGCTGCGCGGGCGAGTGCGACGAGGCGAGCATCTCAAACGACGTGGCCGACGTGCGGCCGCTGCCCTTGCCGAGCAGCTCGGCGATGTTGCTCACGGCGGCAACCTCGACCTCCTGCGGCACCCAGTAGTCGGGGAACTTGTCGTTGACGTACGACACGCGGCCGAGGCTGGCCTGCTCCATTGAGAGCGCGAGCTGCTCGAGCGTGGCGGCAATGTTGAGCTGCACGTCGGCCTCGATGGCGGTGAGCGTCTTGTGCTGGCGCAGCTTCGACTGCGTCTCGACGACGGCGTTGAACTCGTTGGGCGACGGGAACGAGGCGAGACTGAAGGCGCCGAGGCCGCTGAGCGGATAGCCTCGCGGCGAGTCGCTCAGCGGGTTGCCCGGGCGGCCGACGACGAGGTTGGCCCACGCGCCGGGCGCCTGGCCAGAGAGGTAGAGCGTCTGGGCGATGTCGAACGAGTTGGAGCTGACCAGTGCGGTCGACTCCGGGTCGCCGGCGGCCGTCACGTCCGTCGAGCCGTTGACGACGGGGGCGAGCGCCTCGGACAGGCCGGGGAAGATGTCGTCGATGGCCTCGAGCGTGTGCAGGCTGTGCTGCTTGTCGGCGTCGACGATGACCTGCGCGTTGCGCGCCCAGAACGTGTGGGCCTTGATGATCTCCTTCTGCTTGAGCCAGTCGAAGGCGCTGAGCGGCGTGAGCAGCTTGTGGTTCAGCGCAGCGTTGGTGAGGGCCGACTGGCAGCCGATCCACGTCTTGGCGCCAAAGTAGTCGGACCACGTGGCGGAGCGCATCAGCTGGGCGTTGGTGGGCACCCAGGCCTCGCCGTCGAGGTACACCTCGTACATGGCGAACACGAAGTCGGAGCGCAGCATCGTCTGCTTGCTGCACAGGCGGATCGCATAGTTGGCGGGGATGAGGTCGAAGAAGTCGCGGCGCGTGCCGTTCTCGAGCATGGAGCCATTGCGGAAGATGACACCGCCGGAGCTGGCGAGCTGCGCGGCGGGACGGGTGTGAGTGGTGGGGAAGAGAGAGCGCAGCAGCAGATCGGGCGCAGGGCAGCAGCCCGGCGGCTCGGCGGCAGCTCGGATGCGGCGCTGCGCCGCTGCGCCGCTGCTCATGCGCGCTGCGCCGGCGCGCGTCACCCGCGTGGCCTCGTGCCTCGTGCCTGCAGCGCCGCCTGAGACGCCTGAGACACGCGCCGCGGCAGCGCAGCGTACCCCCCGCTCGGGACACGGACAACGCCCCGGCCGCCGCGCCCGCCTTCTTCGCCCTCTCGCTGCACTACTCACCGTCAGACCGGCCGAGAACTCGCGGATGAAGTGCGGCGCGCTCGCCTCAATGTACACCTTGACGTTGAGCGCGGCGAACTGGTCCATCAGCTCGTTCATCGCGCCCGGCGTCACGTAGTCCTCCCAGTTGGCGACGAGCAGGCCGTTGAAGCGGGCGGCGGGGTTCTGCGACGTGCGGTTGCACACGCGCTCGGCGACAAAGTCGAGCAGGACCTCAATGTTGGCACGCAGCTTGTCGTTGGGCACGCTGCTGCCGTCCTTGTCCGAGCGGCGCTTGTGCGCCTGGCAGCGCTTGCCGAGCGCGGCAAAGTCGACGCGCGCAATGCGCGCCTGCAGCGTGTCGTCGGCGTGCTCGAGCGCAGAGTGCACATTCTCCTTGCTCGGGTCGAGGACGAGGACGCTCCAGCGCGAGAGCATGCTCTGCTCGTCGGGCGTCGGAATGGCGGAGAAGTGGCCGAGGAACACGCCAAACGTGAGCTTGGACGCGGCAGTGGTGAAGTCGGCGGAGGGCGTCTGAAGCAGCGCAGCCATGCCGTTGAGGCGCTCGGTGATGTACTTGGTGACGGAGCCGGGGCGTGCGACGGCGCGGCGGCGCTGGAGATATTGCCGCAGCTCAACGACGCACTGCACGAGAATGTAGGTGATGCCCACGAGGGCGGCGAGCAGCGCCAGGCCGGCGAGCACAAACTGCCAGGCGTGGCTCGTCATGCGCGCCCAGGGCAGCACATGCGTCTCGGCCATGACGCCGGCGGCCTCGTGCGAGATGCTCAGGTCGACCATGCTGGCAAGCAATGGCGAGGCGGAGCGAGTCGCGGAGTGGGACGAGGCGGAGGGGGGTGGGTGGTGGGTATTAGGTAGAGGCGGTAGGATGGTGGGCGTCGGGGCGTCGGCGTCGGCGCAGTCCGATACTTAAGGGGAGGCAGGGGCCAGGGCCAGTCCGCAGGCCGGCACGGTCCGGACGGGACGGTGGCACGAAGGCCGGTGCGCAGCGAGCACCGCGTATGCACGATGCTACAATCGCAGCACTCAGGGTTTCTCCCTTGCACTCTAACTCCTCCCGCGATACTCAGGCACAACACTGAAACAGGTAAGAGTGGGCCCGTCGGCGCAGCCGCACCCCTCGGCGCCTTCCCCAGGAGGAAAGTGTGCCGAGCGCGGGACCGTCTCGCACGGGGGTGCATGACGGCGAGCTCGCCGGCGCGTCGGGTCGGGGCCGGTCTCGCGCGGGCGAGCGCATGCTCTCTTGGCTCTCCCGCGGCAGCGGCATGAGTCCGACTCAGAGCGTTCGGCCGGTGCCGAGTGCACGCTTGGCAGTGTAGGTGCGACCGCGGCAGTAGCGCGCTGTGTGCTGTCGTCAAGGGCAGCAGAACGAACAAAGAAAGCTGGGTCCGGCTGCAGCAGCTGCAGAGAGGCGCGAGGCGGTGTTGGCATGGCGCCGCCTCTGCTCCTGCGCTGCTCCACCTTGCGCTGCGCTCTTTGTCGGAGCGCCGTCGGCAACGATGCGCTGGATTTGCTTGCAGCGACGTCTGTCTCAGAGGTCTGATCTCCGGGGCAACTGGGACGAGGCCCGAGCTCCTTCGCCGGGCGCCGGTTGCCCGTGCGCGCGCAGCGAGGCGCGGCGCCAGCACCTCTGCGGCAAGCTCGCAGCAGCATGGCGGCAGCGGCGCACGACGGCATGAAGGCGCAGGTGCATCTGTGTATTCTGAAGAAGGCGCTGCTGCTGCACCTTGCGCTGCAGGGCCGCAGAGGCCGCCGCAGCTGCAGGATGAGCCTGAATGCTGAGCGCAACTGCCGGCCCTGAGGCACAGCGGAGCACAAAGGAAAGGAAGCGCACAAGGCCGCTCAGGGCCGCCGTTGCAGCGCAGCGCCAGTCTCATGCCTATTCAGAGCTCGCTCGTCGGTGCTGCTCGCTGCAAAGCGACAGGCTCCGCTGGGACATCGTCGTTCCTCCCCGGCGGCGTTTCGCCAGCTGCTCTCCTGCGCCTCTGAGACACCCTCGTGCATGCTGCAGCACGCGCGCAAGCGGTCTCGCCTTGCGCCCCACGTGCGGCCCGCCTGACTGCTCCCGTGCCGCGGTACGCCGTCACATGGGCTGCCGTGCCTCGCGAGAGCAAGACGCGGCCGCGCTGCCGCCGGCTGCCGGGCAGCCTCTGCGCTGAGACCTCCAGCCTGCGAACAAGCAGCACGGCCGTCGTTGGCCCGCGGGCCCAGGAACGGCCTTACCTCGGCTGCGCATGAGCCCTCTATCCGAAAGCTTGGCTCGCCAGCGGCCCTGAGGCAGCGCGCAGAACAAGCACAAGGCTCACGGCTCCGTTTGCCGGCCGTGACGCGCCGAGAACTCCTGCACGGTCCGCCGAGGAGCGCCCGGCCCCCCTCGCAAATCGGCGATGCCCGCCGCGTTCGCCCGCCGGCCTCAGCCGTGACGCTCTCCTCCCTCCCTTCGAGAGGACAAGGGGCTTTCGGCAGCTCAGAAGATCGCGACGAGCCAAGCGTGCGTAAGCACACACGCAGGACGGCTGAACTCCCGCGGCCGCTGCAGCCCCTGCGGATCGGCGGCGGCGCTCGGCGGCTTGTGGGCGGGGCATGCAGCGAGGAGAAAGGAAGGACAGAACGACGAGCCACGCTTGCCATGCGCAGCGGCAGTCCAGGCTCAGCTCCCCGGTGGCCGCGCACTCTGCCGCGGGCTCCCGCGCCGCAGCAGGCGCGCCGCCTCCTCGGCACGTCGGTGCCGCACCGCGCCGCGGCTCCTTGCGCCATAGGAGCAGAGCGGCAGTGTGGCGCCTGCTGTGGGCGCAGATTGGCGTGCAAGAGAAGATCTCCAGCCGCAGAAAGGGGAGCCCGGCAAAGCAAGGTGCAGCACAACATGGCGTGGTGCGCCCCTCGTGGTGCGGCGCCGCCCGGGCCTCGCGCAGAGGTAGGCTCCGGAGCGCGGCCTTGCTGCGCAAGCGCTCGCTCCGCCGCCGGCTCTCACGAGGGACTGTGCAGGCTTGCTGCTGCGCAGGCATGGCCATGTCTCACCTGAAGCGAAGAAAGGCCGGCGTCCAGCCTGGCAAACTGCACGGTCCACCTCTGGGCCTCTCGGAGGGGGTGGAATGCCGCCTCCGGCGCTGCTGGGCCTGCATTGCACCACACGCAGCGGCAGTGCAGCCCTCCTGCGGGCCTGCACGAGCGAAGCGCCGCTGCAAGCTGAGTGGGCCAAGGATTCGTCGGCAGATCGAGGCAGGCCTACAGCATCTCGGCCAAACAAGCCGGCCCGACAAGGTGCGAAGAAGAAGGTGCCGCTGCCTTCTCAGCGCTCCTGCGCCGGCACGCCGGCGGGCGCCTCGCTGCCGGGCGGTGCCGCTGCCTCTCGTCTCTCGCGCGCGCGCCGCCGCGGCTCTGCTGCTGCCCGCGCTGCCACGTGCGGCCGCACTCCTCTCAGAGACACTTTGCGCCCTCCTTGGCGCAAGCAAGTCGTCGGAAGAGGAGAAAGTGCAGGCCCGCCTGTCTCACTCTGACGGCGGGCTCTCTTTCCTCGTTGCGCCGACGCAGGCTGCGCGCATGGGCCTCCGAATGCGCGCTGCAGGGCCTCGCACGTTTCTTTTGAGCTCAGAGCGCCCAAGGGCTGGAAACAAATGGGCACTTTACATGGCCCCTGCGCCCCAGTGCTCCCTCCCTGTGCCGCCGGTTCCGAGTCTTACTGCTGCTGGATTTGAATCTGAGGGCGCAAAAGTGCCTGGCCCTCCGTTGAGCCGCGCATCGGCTCCTGCCCAGCCGCAGCACGAACCCCAGCATTGACAGGTCCGTGCCGGCGACCGGCGATGCACCGCGCGCTGCAGCGGCAGAGCACTCCGAGCTGACGACGGCTCTTGGCTTCGCTTCCTCTCCACTCTCACCCAGCTGCCGCTCGCCTGCAGAATCCGACGCAGCCAGATCTCAAAGCGGACGATCAAGAGGATCGAGCCTGCAGAAGCGGCATCAGCTCAGCGGCGCTTCTCTGCCGCACAGTCCGCTGGCTCAGAGATCCATATAATGAGCCTGCTCGCAGCCCAGGGACCGAGCCAGCGCCCGATCACCGCCCTCCCACTCCACACGATGAGCAGCAAGCCCACCATTCTCGTCACCGGAGGCCTCGGTGCGTGGCTCGAGTAGTAGCGCATGCTCGTGGACCGCTGCTGAACACTCTCTGCTCGCACAGGCTTCATCGGCTCGCACACGCTCGTCGAGCTGATGCAGGCCGGCTACCCCGTCGTGGCCGTCGACAACCTGTCCAACTCGCACGCCGGCGTCGCCGACAAGGTGCGGGACATTGTCGCTGCCTTCTACACTGCGCGCGACGGCGACGCCTCTGCGACGCCGCGGCTTGACTTCTTTGAGCTCGACATCCTCGACGAGGACGGCCTGGCGAGCATCTTTGCGCACTATGCCCTGCCCTACTGCCGCGGCCAGGCGCGCTCGCGCATCGGCGGCGTCATTCACTTTGCCGCGCTCAAGGCCGTGTCCGAGTCGATCAGCAAGCCGCTGAGCTACTACCGCACCAACATCACCGGCCTCGTCAATGTGCTCGACGCCATGGACGCCGCCAACGTCAAGACGCTGCTCTACTCCTCCTCGGCGACGGTCTATGGCTCGCTCACCACCGCCGGCCAGGCACAGGAGTCGCTCTGCCGGCACCGCGCCGACGCGCCCGCCGCGCCCGCGTCGCCCGACCTCAGCAAGGGCCTGCAGGGCTGCGCCGGCATCACCAACCCGTACGGCCGCACCAAGTGGATGGGCGAGGCCATCCTCCAGGACGTGTGCGCCTCAGACCCCGCTTGGGACATCACCGCTCTTCGGTATTTCAACCCAGTCGGTGCACACGCCTCGGGCGCCATCGGCGAGGACCCGCTCGACGTGCCGAACAACCTCATGCCGTGCATCATCCGCGTCCTCGACGGGCGCAAGAGCGAGCTGCAGGTGTACGGCACCGACTACGAGACGGCCGACGGCACGTGCATCCGCGACTTCATCCACGTCGTCGACCTCGCCCGCGGCCATCTCGCGGCGATTGCAAAGGCGACGGAGCGGCACCCCGTCGTGCCGGGGAGCTCGCTGCCGATGCAGGCGCTGCAGGAGGCGCTCGGCTCGCTGCCCGCCGACCTGAGCCCCGCGTCGTCGGAGCACGGCCACTCGAGCGAGTCGTCGCCCTCCACCGACGACGGCCACTTCCTGAGCCAGTCCGTGTCGACGTCGTCGCTCTCCGACGAGCACACGCCGTCGTCCGACAGCACGTCGCTCACTTCGCCGAGCACGCCTGCGTCGAGCCGCTTCGAGGCCTCCGCGCCCGTCTCGCCGGGCAAGGCCGCGCAGCCCAATGACCTGCGCATCTTCAACCTCGGCACGGGCGCCGGCGTCAGCGTCATGGAGATGGTCTCGGCCATGCGCGAGGCGTCCGGCCTGCCGCTGCCCATCGTCGCTGCCGCGCGCCGCCCGGGCGACGTTGTCATCAGCATTGCCGACCCCATCAAGGCGCAGCAGGAGCTCGACTGGAAGGCCACAAAGACGCTGCAGGACGTCTGCGCCGACACGTGGCACTTCCTCCAGACGCACGCCTGCTCTTGAAAGAGAGGCCTCTCGCCTCCACCTATCGCTGCCCTGGCGGCGGCTCCGCTATCTTCCTCGTCACCGGCCTCTCTGCTGCATCCTCGCTCTCCTGCACTCTCTTGCTCACCTAGACGCTGCGCTATTCCCTGTATCACTATCTATCTCCGTAATTAACCCGGCATAGCAAGAGCAACGCTGCGTCGTCGTTTCCCAGTCGGAGCCGCCTCGGGCGCCAAGGGTCAGGGCAAGACGGTGCTTTCTCTCCTAGGGTCGCCAGGCGAGACATGCTCGCTCCGTTGTGCCGGGCACGTTGTGCTTGTTCGTGGATGAGACCTCGCGCAGTTACTTGCGCATGCTTGTCTCCTCGGTGAGACGCGGCGCAAGCTCGGAATAAGAGCACAGTACGCGCGAAAGCAACGGAGCAATGTCCGTTTGAGCTCGCTTCCGCGCCGGCCCTTGTCCGAGCAGGCGACGGGGCACAAAGAAGACGCGCCGCGTTGCGCGCTGCGGACGCTGCGCGAATGCGTCACGCCGTGCCCCTCTCGATCCGCCCGGCACAGCGGCTCGGCATGATTCAGGGCCTGCAGGTCTCGCCTGACGCATGGTCCTCTCTTGGCTCTTGCTCGGCTTCCTTTGTTTGTTATTTGAGGTCTAGCTCGTGTCCGGCGAGACCTTCGTGCAATGCGAGAGAGGCAGGTGCCGATGCCTCGTGCCGCTGCAGGCTTCCGCGCTGCGGAATTCTTGGGCCTTGCGCGAGAGTCGAGACGCCGCAGCACAGCAGCGGCGTTCGGCAGCCGGCGCGCTGCAGACGCCGGCAGCTTCTCGCCCTCGTCGCGGCGCGCCCTTGAGAAGATCTCCGACGCCAGCGCCTGCACCTCATGTCTCACCCCCCTCTCGGCGCCGCGTCAGTCTTCTGGGCCGCATGACGAGCACAAGGCCTTCGTCTGCAACGGCGTTTCCGCACGAGAGCATCATCGCCTTGCACTCACACGCCGATGCAGGACGACGCAGGGGCCAGCAGGGCCACGCTCCGCCTCAGGCCGCGCGAGACCGCATCGGCGCGTGCGCGGCGCTCCGCTCCATTCCGAGCTGCACCGCGCGCTCCGGACACTTGTCTCGCTGACCTTGGGCGGAGCGCGGGCGTGCCTGCCCCTGGCATGCCCTGAGGCATAAAGGTTTGCAGTTTCAGCGTGCGCAGCCAGGCTAAGAGTGGGCCCACATGGTATTGGTCTTGCACGCGGGTCGATGACGCTGCGTGCCGAGGCAGGGCACCGCCCACGAGCATCGAGGCCGTGATAGCGTGCGAAACAGTTTCGCTCGTCGCGCAGAGAGATCAGCGAGACAGAGCTTGCGGCGCCGGCTCGGCTGGCCGTCGGCTCGCAGAGGTGCGAAGTCTGATACGTCCGGGCGCTGGTGAGGATGCGGCTAGCGTGGAGGAGAGGGAGGGAGCGGCGCCGGCGCGGCCGCGGCGCCGGGCCGAGCGAGCACGCGCCTCTCGCACGAGAAGCAGCGCGCTGCTGCGCTGCCGGCCCAAGCTGCTCTGCTCGCCTCACGCCCTCCACCCCTTGACGCTCTCGCCAGCGTTCGCCCTACCGCAGCACTGCACAATGCTGCGGCCGCGCGTGCTGTTCTGTCTCTTCATCTGGCCCGAGCTCCGCGAGGGCCGTGAGCCATGGCAGCCTATTCTAGATGCGTGAGCGTCTCGCAAGAGCAGGCGTGTCCTGCCGCCGGCTGACCGTTGGATGCGCGCGACCGGCAGCATTCGCATGCGTCCGCAGCTGGACTGGCTCATAATCATCAACCCCAACTCTGGGCCAGGCGAGAATCCGCCGCATGAGGATTACCTGCGTGCACTGCCGTTATTGCGTCAAGCTGCGGCACCGGGACAAGCGGTCGAGCTGCTGGTGAGCAGGCACGCGCTCGCGACTGTCTGCAGCTGCATGGCTCACTGCACGCCTCGCTTTGCAGGGCTACGTGCGCACTGTCTGGACACAGCGCGGCGTCCACGACGTGAAGCGCGACGTGCGGCAGTATGCCAGCTGGTCATCTTTGGGTCCCGAATACGCGCTCAACGGCATCTACTACGACGAGTCGACCTGGCACGAGGGCGCGGTGACGCACTACGCCGAGCTCGCAGCCTTTGCTCGCACGCTGCGCTGGGACGCATGGAAGGCCTTGCCTGCGCAGGCGAGCAGCTCGGCAAGAAGTGATCTTATTGCGCTCAATCCCGGATGCAACGTCCACGAGGATTACTTCCAGTTCGCAGACCACATCGTCGTGCACGAACAGACGGTGCAGTCGTGGATGTGCGTGGCGCGGAGAGGTTCAACCGGCGCATGCTTACCCGTTCCTCGTCCAGGCCCGGAAGTCTCCTCAACCGGCCGTACTCGCACCGCAGCATTCCGTCGCACAAGTACGCGCTGCTGCTGCACGACGGGCCACTTGGGACCGCAGCTGTGGCTCCCGGCGGCTTTGCCTCTAGCATTCCGCAGCATCTGGCCTTCAGCGTCGACACGCCATGCACGACGCAGGCAGTGTCGGAACTTGCGCTGCGTCGCGCTCGCGTCGGCGCCTTTTTCCTCACGTCTCTCTCGCTGGAGATCGAGGACATCTACGCTGCGTTTGGACGCAATTTCGAGGAGTGGCTCGACGCATTCGAGCGCTGCCTCTAGCTTTACCCGACAGTCGACGGGCTCGCGCAGCCGTAGCCCGGAGCTATCCTCGCGCGGCCCCTCGGGTGCTCGTCTCCTCCCCCACATCCCACATAGACGGCCAGACGTGCCGAACATTCGCCTTGCCCCCCTTCAATCGTTACCCCGGCACTCAGTCTTGCTGCGCAAGCAAGCCGCATCAGAGACACATCGTGTGAAGCAGCAGGGTGTAGCCGCGACGTGCAGGTGTGGCGGCGGCGGGAGCAGGTGGCTGCTGATATGCACGCGCGCCACACGCTGCTCCCATGGGGCGGGAGCACGGGCCGGACGCGCGCGGGCCCTGACGCGCGCATGGCTCGGACGCCGCCGGACGCGCCTTCTGTCCGCAGCTGCCACGCCTCACACAAGGACATACAGCAAGCACGCTGCAATTCCGGTTCTAGTAGTGACAGAGAGGGCGCCGAATAAAGGGGTAAGAAAGAGGCGAAGGGGTAGAAGACGAAGGGAAGAAGAGAGAGGGTAGGGACCGACGCGCGCGCTCGCTCAGAGCTGGAGGTACAGGCGTGCCGCGCGCACCGAGTTGGACGAGAAGGGCGTCTTCGAGTCAAACTGCCATGCGCAGTTGGCCTGGTACTGCGAGATGGGCGTCGAGGCGGGGATGGCGACGAGCACGCCGTCGTCGTTGACCCAGATGAACTTCATCTGGATGGCGCTGCCGTTGGGGTCGATCCACGTGAGGCCGACGTCCTGCTGGCCGTTGGCGGGCGCGGAGAGCGAGTAGGCCTTGGTGATGAAGGGCTTGCCATTGAACGGGCCGTAGCTGTTCGCATCGAAGCCCGTGCCGCGCGGCGAGTCGTAGCCAAAGACGAGGCCGGCGCACTTGTCCGTCGAGTTGCCCATCGAGCTGCCGAAGATGTACGCCTCGGCGCCGATGACCGACGTCAGGCCGGAGCGCACCAGCTCGTACGTGCCGTTTGTGCTGCCCGACACGGACACGACGGTGGCGTTGCTGTTGATGCCGAGCGCCTGCTTGCGGTACTGGTTCGCCGACGTGCCGAGGTTCGCCGTCGTCTTCTTGCCCGACGCGTCGGTGAACTCGAACATGAGGGCGTTGGCTGGCGAGGAGCTCGTCGGCGCGGCCGAGGTGCTGGTGCTGGTGCTCGACGTGGTGGTGCTGGACGAGCTCGTGGTGGTGGTGGCGGGCGCGCTCGTGCTCGTCGAGCTCGAGGTGGTCGACGTCGTCGTGACCGGCACGACGCTGCCGCCCGGGCTCACGTTGCCCGAGCTGCCGCCGCGCACGACAAAGTGCGTGACGCGCAGGCGGCGGCCGTTGCTGTCGTCGTTGGAGCGCACAGTGATCGTGTGGCGGCCCGGCGGCAGGCTGTGCGTCTGGAAGAGCGTCCACTGCGCCTTGGTGTTGGCCTCGTTGTTGATGTCCCACACGATGATGTTGCCATCGATGAGGATGCGGTAGTTGCCGCTCTCCGGGCCGCGCTCGCCGATGACCGAGATGCCCGTGCCCGTGAACGTCAGCGTCATCTGCACGCCGGCCTGCGTCGTGGTGCGCGCCTTGCCGTTGCCGTAGATGCTCGTGTCCGTCGTCCACGTGCCGGTGGTCACGATGGAGGAGTCATCGGCGCCGATGTACTGGCGCGTGCTGGACCGGTCGATGTAGCGGATGCCGTCCATGTTCAGGAAGCCGCCGCTGCCGTCGGGCCGCTTGCCCGTGTTGACGACGGAGACGGTGTACGTGCGCGGCCAGAGGTCCTCCATGGCAAAGTTGTTGAGCGAGAGCTGCGTGTCGGGCATCCACGAGTTGAGGTAGCCGACGGCCGGGTCATTGCCGCTGCCGCTGCCGGGCGCGAGGCGCACCGTAGCTGCGCGATGTTAGTGTGTGTCGGTGCGAAGTACGTCGCGCGCTGCTCACCGTACACGCCGTCCGACTTGCCTGCCGTGAAGACGCGGAAGCCCGTGCCCGTGAAGGTGAACTGGGCGTAGTCGCCCGCGCCCCACGTCGACCAGAGCGCGCTGGAAATGTCGCCCTTGACCCAGGCGCCCCAGCGCGAGCCGACGCGCTTGGCGGCCGTGATGGGGATGCCCGTCCACGCCGGCTCGCCGGTCGTGCGCGTCACCTCGAGCGCGTCAAACGAGATGGTGGTGCCGCCGCCGACGCCGTTGGGCCCGCCCTTGATGAGGTTGTTCTTCAGCACGAGCTTGTGGCCGCCGTCGGAGAGGCCGTCGATGGTGAGCAGGTTGTACTGCGGGCGCCCGTACGGCGCGTAGCTGTCGTACAGCGCCACAACCTTGTCGTCGACCCACACCTGGCCCACGCCGCCGCTGCTGCGCGCCTCGCCGATGAGGTTGAAGCCCGTGCCGCTGAAATACACGGTGACACTGTCTCCGTTGGTGCTGGACACGTGGTGGCTGTAGCCGGCAAAGACGCAGTCGTAGATCTGCTGCCACGAGCCGCCGTTGGGGTTCTGGTACGAGAGGCGGTTCCAGTGCGCACTGTCAAAGACATTGTCCGGATTGTTTCGCTGGTCGCGGCTCACGAGCCCCGAGCGTGCCTGGAGTGCGTTGGCTCGGCGGCGCGCCATGCGCGGGCCGTCGCACTGGTTCTGCGTCGCGCAGGCGGCGTTGCGCGCGTGCACGGCGCTGCGGTTCAGCAGCGGGTCGTCGTGCGCCAGCGGGCCGACGGCGGCGATGGCCGCGTGCGCCGCGCTGAGCAGGGCCAGCCAGGAGCAGGCGGACGGCAGCTTCATGGTGTGAGGGGTGGGGGAGAGAGGTGCGCGTCGATGCGAGTCGCTGTGAGAGGGCTATACTTGAGCGGACAAGGCGTCGCGCGCCGCCGCGGCGCGGCGTCGGCACTGTAGATCACGCGCTCTCGGCCGGCCGCCTGTCCGCATCTCAGACGCAGGCACGCCGTACCGAGAGGCAGCACCCAGGCAGAACTTCTCTCGAGGGCCCTGGGCCACTTTGTGAGACGCCCGCGGCGGCACAGAGCTGCCCCTGTGCCGGGCGCGGCATGGCGGCGGCGCCGGGATCGTCCCGAGCTGCAGAGCAGCGGCAGGCAGCGCAGGTGTGGCTGGGCCAAGCGCCGCACCACCGTGCCAAGCGTGAAGGCCGATGCGCTGCGGGCGAGGCGCGGCGAGGGAGAGAAGAGCCGGCGTGCGGCGCGCAGCGAGCCATGACGGCGCGGAGGCACGAGGCGAAACTGCCGCCGGGCCCGTGCTCGGTGCTGTGCCGGCGCTGCACCGCGCGTGACTGCCGCGCAGCTGCACGTCTGTCTCAGGCGGCTTCTCCTGCAGCGGCGGGCCCTGAGCGGCTGCGTCTGCTTGCTCTTGCGCGTCCAAACAGATCCGCGTGCTGGCCTCGTGCCGCGCCTGCGGAAGCTGGTGCAGCGCAGCTCCGCCTTGCCATCTTGCGCGGCAACCCTGCTCTCATGCGTGCGCCGGCGCGGCCTAACCTTGCGCGTGCCGGCTGCCTGTGCTTGTGCCTGGGACCACGCGCGGCAGCAGCGCAGACAACGGACGTACCGCCGCGCCGGCGTCGGTGCCGCCGCTGAAGATCTGCGAGAGCGGCAAGCGAGCCGTGCGCGCCGGGCCGCCGCTCAGATTCCCTGCGGAAGGGCAGCAGGACAGCGGCTTGCGCGCGGATCCTTCTTCTCGCAGCGCGGGGCCGGGCGCGAAGGCAGAGCCCTTCGGCACGCTCCCCGGCGGCGCCGGCGTGCCGAGCCCTCTCGGAACGACCCGTCCCCGCTCGTTTGAGACCGGCACAGCCGGTCTGGATCTCCCGCCGAACGTGCCGCCAAGCTGGGCAGGCCGCTTGGCAGAGGGCGGACCCGCCGATGGATGTCTGAGATCGGTCGGAGGAGGCCATGCTCGGCAGCCTGCTGCAGAGGCGGGGAGGCAGGCGTCATGCAAATGCAGCCATCTGCTCGATGCCGGGCTGTCGCAGAGCAGCAACCGAGCGGGCGAAAGGTTCTCTGGAAGGTCAGCGAGGGCAGGCCATGCTCGGCAGCGCGGCACGCCGGCGCAGAGTCTGGCCTCCGACGGGCAGTCCCGCGCGGCGCCGCAGGGATCTCGCCCTGCAAGGCACAGAGAGCGCTCAAACGCCGCCTCCTGTCCCACTGAGACTGAGTGCTGATCTACAGACGGCCCTTGTGGCTGGCAGCCTGCAGCGCCCGTGCGAGAGTGCCAGAGAAAGGAGGCAGCCCGCGGTGTGCGAGAGAAAGCGGATCTGGCGGCGCGCGCGGCGCGCGGCGGGCGTAGACGCGCGAGCCGCGGCGCGCCTCTTGCCTCCTCTCACCTCGGTATAAAGCCTCTCGCCGGCAAAAGTGAGCGTGAGGCGACCTTTCTTTCTGCTCCACATTCTCGTCGGCGTCGACTCCACGCACCTCGCTGCCACAAGAAGCCGCAGCACTTGCCTCTCTCCAGCATGCGTTTCTTCGCCGCGCTCGGCGCGCTTGCCGCCGCGGCTGTCTGCGCGTCCGCGCAGGCCGTGCGCCAGCCGTGGCTCCCGGTCGCCCTCTTCGGCTACCCGAGCGCAGACTTCAACTACCTCTACCAGGCCATCGCCGCTCACCCCGAGATCAACTTTGAGATCATCGTGAACCCTTCGGGCGGTCCGGGCAACGTGAACAAGACGGAACTGCCAGACATCAATTGGCAAAACACCATCTTGAAGCTCAAGTCCTACCCGAACACCGTTCTTGTTGGCTACTCGCGCACGAAGTGGACGTACGGTGAGTAGCTTGATTCATAGCGGTGCCGCGCGCTCCATGTCTCGTGCCCGCTTCGCCTGCTGCCCGCGCCGCTGCCTCGCGTCGCCCTGGTCCGCCGTACCACCACAAGAGCGTTGCGCTGACGCCGGCCGCAGGCAACCGCAACGCCACGCAGAACCAGATCGAGATCGCCCAATACAATCGGTGGGGTATCTTGAGACCTGATCTGGCTCTCGACGGCGTCTTCCTCGACGTGAGTGCACGACTGCAAGCCGACACGCCGCCATGAAGTGTCAAAGCCCTGTTCTGATCCGACTTGCTGCCAGGACTGCCCCTGGCAGGAGGAACTGCTCCCGGCTTGGCAGGTGAGAGCGGAGAGCAGAGAAAGGAGGTAGAAGAGGCGCGGCAGAGCTGACGCGCGCCGAGCAGGACTTCGGAGACCGGATCCACGCGGGCACGGGCTGGCGCAAGGAGGGCCCCTGGTTCAACTCGCCGAGCTACAGGAATGGTCTAAGCTACTGGAATCCCCTAAGTATTACTCTTGAGCTTCCTGGCGATGCGATACTCATACCATGCGTCTCCAGGGAAGCCCCACGTCGCCGGGTTTTTACGGACCAGCGGACAGAGTGAGTAGCACGCGTCCGACGCGCCTGACGCATCACCGCGGCTCGGCCTTCTCACATTATTCCTTCAGATCATGACGCAGGAAGTCTCGTACGACTATGCGCCGCTCGAGTAAGTGCGAGGTGAAGGAAGTCAGTGGAACGTAGCTCACTGTGTCTCAGATGGGTCTTCCGCGCCCCGAACGCGCCGAGAGAGAAGCAGGCGGTCCTCAACTACTACCAGGGCAGCTACGACGCGAACCTCGCCAGACGGGTGGCGAACAACATGGTTGGCACGAACTTGGGCTCGTACAGCTTACACGCCATTGGCAAAGATTACATGGTGAGCATCGCCTGACCGTGTGCAGATGCACGCCCGTTCTCACCAGCTGCTCGCCCAGTACAACGTCATCGGCTCGGCCTTCCCTTCCGCCGTCGACCTCGTCGCCAAGTCCTTCCAGTACTACAACGATCCCAACAACCTGTACAGTGGTTGCGGACAGTACCGCTTCTAGATCTGGCGAGGGGTGGAGGTCATGCGAGGAGAGGGCGAGGGTACGCGACGCTGCTGCCGGAATGTGATGCTTTTCTTACCGACCCGACTGCGCCATCCTAGGTGCGCGCGCTCTGACTAGCAGCTCGATGACTGCTACTGCCGGTTGATCAGGAGCATCTGGGCGAAAGCTCAGATGGGCTCAAATGAGCCTGGGTTGCGGTGGAGCTTCGGCGGCGCGGCGACGCGTCCGACTCCCCCGTCTTTCCGCGCCTGCAAAGCGTCTCTCCATAGACGCGCTACGATATTGAGCAATACCATTTTGTGGCTCTGTAGACCTGCTTGCAACATTCTGCTGCTTGCATCGCCCCCTTCCTCCGGCTGCGTCTGTGCGCTTGCAGTGTCGTGCACCTGCGAAGGCGCCTCTGCTTGGAGCCGTTTCCTCGCCAAGCGGGCGCGTCCCGCCCCATTTACGCGTCCGCCTTGCCGCGTGGCGCGGCGGCAGTAAGAGTCCAACACCTGGCACGCGGCGGTGCTGCGCGCGCCACTTCGTTCTGCACCACATCACCCGCACCTCACGCTCGCCCACGGGCTCTTCCGCCCACCTCCGCACCTGCCGCTCCTCGCTCGGCGCCGGTGCGGCCTGTCTCGCGTCCGCGTAGCCGCCCTCGCCGGCCGCCATGTCCACGCAGCGGCGCCCTGCCGCGACGCAGGCGGCCGGCGCGCGCCTGCAGGACGCCGTCGAGGCTGCGCCGGCGCTCGTCAATGCGCTCGTCGACGACCGGCGCGGTCGACTGCGCACGCTGCGGCGGGCGCACCGCGGCAAGGAGATCGTCATGTTCCCGCCGAGCGCGTCCGAGGCTGCCGAGCATGCCGCGGCAAAGGACGGCGAGCCGAGCAACGAGACAGACCGCGGCGCGCACATCCTCTGCAGACTGCTGGCGGGCGTCTTTGTCGTGTCGCTGTGCAACTGGGAGGGGCCGCATCCTTGTGAGTCGGCCGCCACCGCAGTCTCCGTCACGACGTGCGCGGGTGTGCCTGCCGCCCTAGCCCACATGCTGATGCCTCTCAACCCCAGCCGAGATCACTCGGCCCAACCACGCCGAGGGCCAGGCGGAAAAGGCGGCGTCGATTGACGTCGTCGCAGCGCTGCGCCTGATGCGCTCCGAGATCACATTCCAGCCGTCGCTGCTGCTGCACCGCTTCCACTCGCGCACGCACGAGCAGCGCACGTCGTCGACCGCACAGGGCCGCTCGCTCGCAGCGCAGGCGCAGGCCGAGGCCACGGCGCTGGCGCTCGAGAGCAGCACCCTCACGCTGTGGCTCTTTCCGCGGCTGCTCTGCGCGGCCGCGACGCTGCTGGCGCGCTACCCAGACGACCGAGTGGCACTGGCTGCGCGCACAGAGATGCTCGAGCTGCTGCTGCTGATCTCGACGCTGGGCCTCGAGGGCGACGGCACCGAGGATGTGCGAATGTGTCTGTTCGATGCGCTGCGGGCCTCGCTCGATGGTGAGTTGCTGCTCAGTCGCTGGAGGGCAGTTCACTCTGCTGAGCACGCACCGGACAGCACTCGCATCGGCAGGCCGGCCTGTCTGCGATGACCGCGCGTCGTTTCCCGTCAAGCTGATCATGCCGGCCGAGGATGGGCAGGATGACCCGTCGTCGCGCGCGGTGCGCTTCTTCGCGCTGCCGCTCGTCGCGGGCACGCACATTGCCTCTGCGATGCTGCCGCAGAGCGGCGACGGTATCGTGCGGACGGTGCGTGGCGTGCGAGTGTCGACTTTCGCCTGCGCTGACGCTCCCTGCAGTGGGCGCCCGAGGACTATGCGACGTTCTGCCCGCCGCTGCCGCGCGAGCACGCAGTCACCATGGCCCATGCCCTGCTGCAGACAACCGCGCTGCTGACGCAGCAGCTGGCCGCGCGCCACCCTGCCCAGCTTAGCGATATGGCCTCGACAGTCTCATCTCTCTTCCTCGATGCATGGGCCGTCGACGACGCAGCGACAGGCATCTTCTTTGAGGCGCTACCTCCGCACCTCTGTAGCGCACGACTAGAGCTTGCTGCGCTAGCCCTCCAGCCACAGGCGGGCTCGTCGCCGGTGCTGCGCGCCAGATTCTCGGCACGCGTCGCACACACGCTCGACTCGTGCCTGAGCGCGGCGAGCTCCGCGAATGACGACGATGAGGCGGACTCCGTCGATGACAAGGTGCTTACAGCCCTGCTCAGGGCGGTCAAGACGTGGCGCGAGGGCGTGCGCAAGAACAGCGCCTGGCGTCCGGCGATTGCCTCTGTGCTCCTTCCGCTTGCTGCGAGCTTGGTGACAGAGGTGCTCGTGGCGCCATCTGTCGAAGAGGCGGGCACCGCACTTGAGCCTGCGGAAAAGGCTCGTCTAGACGCGACGCTCTTGCGCAAGGTCAGTGCCAGACCCCACATGCAGCCGCTACACTGAGCTGACGCGCTTCAACAGTCGAGCGCCTTTCATGCCCTGCTGGCGTTGCTGGAGGCACGCCGCCACGGCGCGCTGCCCATCACATCCGGCGAGGCCGAGCGGCTGCGCAACGAAGTGCTTGGCCCTGCACTGGGCCGCGGCGAGAGTCAGACCCTCGAAGACCTCGACCTGGCGTCGGCATGGCTGACGCGTTCGGAGCTGCTTGGCCTTCGCGAGGCGCTCGACTCATTTGTCGCTACGCCGGAGCATGCGCAGACTCTCAAGCGCAAGCGGCAAGACGACGAGTCGCAGTCGGCTCGCTCGCAGCGGCCAAATCGGCTGGCTGAGCACAGCGCGACAGCGACCGGCCAAGACATCGATCAGTGCATCGGCGGCAAAGCCGGGTGGGTCGGCGAGGCCATCAGCAGGTGAGTGCTTGAGCCATACTGCGTCACCGCACCTGCTCATCATCGCCACAGCGTGTCTCTCGCCATCGCGACGCTCCGCCGCGTGGCTGCAGAACAGTGCTTAGCCGCAGGCACCCTGACTCGGACGAGCCGCGGCCTGCGCTGCGCCAGCTGCGATGCGCCGTCCTTCAGCGCCGCCTCGCTGGCCCGCACAGGCAAGGCAACTGCCGCGCCGCTGCTCAACGTCATCTGCGAGACTTTTCGCACGTCGCCAGCCGACTCGCCCACTGCAGCCGCAGCTCTTGCTGCGATGCGCAGTATGGCGGCGCATGCGAATGCTGAGGACGTCGGCAAGGCGTTCACGGGGCGTGCTGTGCACATCTTTGAGCTGGGGTTGCGGCACCCTGACCGTGCCGCTCGACTGGCCACTGGGTGAGCATGTCAGATAACCGCGGCGTCCGGTGCTCGCTGACTCGTGACACCAGACGCTTGATCTCGACCGTCGTCGATGCGTACTTCCGCATGCATGCCTCGGACCACGACGCGCTGCGCCAGGAGCTTGCGCCGGTTCTCGCGCTGCACCAGCGCATCGTCAATGGCCCGTCGCAGGGCAAGCTCAAAGAGATCGAGGCGGCATACCTCAGCCTTGGCTTGCTTGCTCGGTGAGTCAATTCGTCATAGCATGCGACGCGCGGTGCTGACATTCACGCAGCGTCGCGCAGGAAGAGGTGCAGCACGAGGTGCTGCTCGTGCTGGTGCTGCATCTGAGCGTCGATCAGCCGCTGCGCTCGCTGGTGTACCTGCAGGTAAGAGACCGCAGCGGCGCTGCATCGCATACCCTCTGACCGCCTGCGCAGATCACGCAGCTTGCAGCCTACCACGGCAAGACGAGCTTCCAGCTCCTCGCGCCTTCACTGCCGACTATCAGCGCGCAGGTCGTGCAGCGCATGATGTCGGCGCCGACGCTTTTCGAGGAAGTGCTCAACCTGCTGAACCAGGACGCGAACAAGTTCCTGCAGACGACGCTGCAGCACACGCTGCCGCCGCTCATTGCTGCCGGCAACGACAAGCTGCTGCGCGCCGTCGCTGCGGGCGTCAATCAGCAGGTCCAGGCGATGTGCTTCTCGCACGTGCCGGCCATCCTGAAGCGCTTCCTGCTGCTGCCCAAGGGCGAGCGCGAGGCGAGCATCGACAAGCTTGTGCACCTGCTGCGCGGCACGGCCGACCGCGAGATCACCGAGGTCAGCGTGCGCATGCTGTTCAAGAGCTACAAGCCGCAGCTGCTCGGCCACCTCATCACGCACCTGGGCGACCCCGCACAGCGAGCCGCCGTGAGTCGCCCGTGCTCCGCCACACTTCGCCCGCTGACACCCTTGCTCAGGCCCTCGACGGCCTGTATTTCTTCGAGTCGATGCGTCCGGAGCGCGGCAGCAACGCCGGCAACAAGAGCGCGGCGCTGTCGAGCTTCCTTAAGGAGGACATCCTCGAGATCCTCGCGTGGATCAACGACGAGCTCGCCGGCGCGCACGGCAAGACGACAATCGCGCAAAAGGTCATGACGGCGCGCAGCATCGGCGCGCTCGTCGACGTCATCGGCCAGACGATCTCAATGGTGACGCCGCAGATCATGGCCACGCTCAACACGACGATGCAGGTCAACGAGCTGCTGCTGCCGACGCTCGAGTCGTGGCGCACGTTCATCACGAAGCTGCGCTACGAGGACGTGGCGCCATTCATCGGCCAGACGGGCGCCGCGCTGATCTCCGCCTGGCCGCGTCTGGGCCGCGCCGAGAAGGAGATCGCCAAGGAACTTGTGCACTACATCGTCATCGACAGCCGCGCCGAGTTTGAGCCGCAGCTGCTGCAGCAGTTCCCGAATTTGGACAGCATCGGCGACGACGTGCCCGAGGAGAGCAAGCGCATCCGCAAGATGCAGGGTCAGGCGCCCGAAGCGAGCCTCGCCCGCGTGCTCGACCGCGCAGCGAGCGAGAACTCGAGCGTCTCGCTGCAGGGCCTGCAGGAGCTCAAGCGCTTCTTCACGCTCGAGCGCGAGTACATCGCGCGCATCACGACGGGTGACTCGTTTGCGCCGATGGTCGGCAAGATCGTCGGCGTGCTATTCTCCGCCTCCTCGCGCACTGGCGACAGCCAGACGGACATCCGCGACCTGTGCTTCGAGACGCTGGGCATGCTCGGCGCCGTCGACCCGGACAGATTCGACCTGCCGAGCGAGGACCAGACGTACATCGTGCTGCACAACTTCACCGAGCGCGACGAGGCGATCGACTTTGGCGTGCACCTCATCCGCCACACGCTTGTCAGCGCGTTCCGCGCGTCAGAGGACACCAAGCACCAGGCCGCGCTGGCGTACGCCATCCAGGAGCTGCTCAAATACTGCGGCTTCACCTCTGCGCTGCTCGTGCCGTCGGCGACGAAGCCCGTGTCGCTCAAGGTGCGGCAGCGCTGGAACGAGCTGCCGACCGAGATGCTCGACACGATTGCGCCGCTGCTCGACTCCAAGTACTCGGCGCACCTCGGCGAGCCGACGCCGCGCGAGAAGCCCATCTACCGCCACTCGAGGACGTACCGCGAATGGATCCAGAACTGGGCCAACGAGCTGATCCTCGGCGCGAGCGGCGGCGACGCCAAGGCCATCTTCGGCGTGCTGCGATCGGTCATCCGCGACCACGACCTGACGATTGCGCAGCACATCCTGCCGCATCTCGTGCTCAACGCGCTCATCTCCGGCACCGAGGAGCAGCGCAGCGATGTGCTCCGCGAGATCTCCGCGATCCTCGAGGATCAGGTCATGCCGGCGGTGGAGATGGATGCGGACCAGCGCCTGCTCTCGGCGCAGACCGTCTTCGGCCTGCTGGACCACATCAGCCTGTGGATGCGGCGCAAGAATGAGGAGTCGAGCCGTGGTGCCGGAGGCCGCGAGGCGGCCAAGCGCGGGCGCGAGATGCCCTACGAGGCCGCGATGATGAACGTCCGCGAGATCGTCGACTTCGTCTCCGATGAGCTCATGGCTCAGGCGGCGCTGAAGTGCAAGGCATACGCGCGCTCGCTGCTCAACTTTGAGAAGCGCGTGCGCAGCATGCGCTCCGAGGGCCGCAAGGACGCCGACATGCAGGAGTACTTTGAGAACATGCACTACATCTACGCCAACCTCGACGAGCCCGACGGCATGGAGGGCGTGTCGACGCGCGTCATTGCGCCGTCGCTCGAGCACCAGATCCGCGAGCACGAGAGCACTGGCCGCTGGACGTCGGCACAGAGCTGCTGGGAGGTGGAGCTGCAGCGCAAGCCGAGCGACCCGGAGCTGCACATCGGCCTGCTGCGCTGCCTGCGGAACCTGGGACACTACGACACGATGCGCACGCACATTCGCGGCGTGCTCAGCATGCATCCGGAGTGGGACGAGCTGCTGGCGCCCTTCAACGTCGAGGGCGCGTGCATTCTGTCCGACTGGGGCGAGGTGCGCCGCGCACTGCAGAACGGCTCGCAGCAGAGCGCTGCGCACGCGACTGCTCGAGTCGTCCTCTCACTCAAGGACCGCGACGAGCTTGGCATGGCGGATGCGCTGCGCGATGCCAGGCGCCTGGTCGGCAAGCCGATCGTGGCTGCAGGCAAGGGCTCCTACGCACGAGTGTACGAGGCCGTCACGCACCTGCACATGGTCAACGAGCTGGAGCTCATCCAGAACAAGGTGCAGCTGCGCAACAAGCCCGGCGGCCCGGTGTCGGCCGCGCACTCTCTGCGCGAGGTCGACCCGATCCTGCTCGCGCGTCTCAACGCCACGCTGCCCTCCTTCCGCACGCGCGAGCCGCTGCTCAGCCTGCGCCGCTCTGCCTTTGCGGCCGTGTACGGGGGCGACGCTCGCGCGCTCGGAGCGTCGGTCGGGCAGGCGTGGATCCTGACGGCCAAGAGCGCCCGTCGTGCGGGCCACTTCCAGACGGCATACAGCGCGGTGCTGCAGTCCATGCAGTGCGAGGCGCCCTTTGCGTTCATCCAACGCGCAAAGCTCCTGGCGCTCGACGACAAGAAGCAGACTGCGATCCAGGAGCTCAACAACGCGATCCCGAACATTGCCAGCGCCATGCAGGCCGCCACCGACGCGCAGAACAAGCGCAGCGCTGGGGCCGCGGCGGGCGTGATCGACCTCACGGCCGATGAAGACAGCCAGGATCTCATGGGCCTCGGCAAGCGCGCCTATGCCCGCGCGCATCTGCTTCGCGCCCGCCTCGTCGACGAGACGGGCCGCTACCCGCCCAACGAGGTCATCGAGCGCTACAAGACGACGTCCACGATCGATCCGGGCTCGGAAAAGCTGTGGTACCGGCTGGGCCACTACTACGACTCGCAGAAGGAGACGCCCGTGGCGAACCTGATGACCCAGTCGTGGAGCGTGTGCCGCTACTACCTCAAGTCGGCGCAGTGCGGCACCAAGTTCTTCTACCGCACCCTGCCGCGCGTCCTCACCGTTTGGCTGGACTCCGGCGACGATGCGTACCTCATCAATGTGGCCAAGAAGCAGGAAGTCGTGTGAGTAGGCCTGCTAATACATGTCCGTGCTCTGGCTCACACGCTCGCCCGCAGCAACAAGGCGACGGACCCGGACGGCTACGACAAGGTCGAGCAGTTCGGGCGCATCATCGCCGAGATCCGCAAGGCGCAGCGCCGCCTGCGACCGTACCAGTGGCTCGCCGTCTTCCCGCAGCTCGTGTCGCGCGTCGTGCACAAACACCTCAAGGTGTGGGAGACGCTGGCTGACATTGTGGCAATGGTCGTCGACGCGTACCCGCATCAGGCCATGTGGTCGATGATCGCCGGCTCGCAGTCGAAGGACGCCGAGCGCAAGCGGCGCTTCAACGAGGTTGTGTCGCGCGTCAAGGTGCGTGACTTTGGTCGCTTGACGCTCTCTCGATACTGACAGACCTCTGCGCAGAGCCAAGCAGCTCGCGACAACAAGGACACTGCGCGCATCGTCGACCAGTCGCAGCGCATGGCGCGCGAGCTGCTCTACCTCTGCGACTTTCCCGTCAAGCGCGAGACGCAGCTCAACATGCCGTCGCAGTTCCCCAAGCTGCAGTCGCTCGCGGACGGCAACCTCATCCTGCCGCTGCAGTCCTCGATCAACGTCAGCCTGCCGTCGAACCACCTGCTGTCGGGCGACCATCAGCCGTTTGCGGACAACCTGCCGCGCATCACTGGTGTGTTCGCGTCTCGTGCGGCCCTGTCTTCCCTCGCTGACTCTGTGCCAGGCTTCGATCCCGTCATCGACATCATGCCGTCGCTGCAGAAGCCGCGCAAGATTGTCATCATGGGCAGCGACGGCAAGCGCTACGCCTTCCTGTGCAAGCCCAAGGACGACCTGCGCAAGGACGCACGCCTGATGGAGTTCGACTCGATGATCAACAAGCTGCTGCAGGCCGACTCGGAATCGCGTCGCCGCCGCCTCTGTGAGTCAGAAGCGCCGCCGCGCCGCGCACTGCGCTCATCGCTCTCTCCAGACATCCGCACGTATGCAGTCGTGACGCTCAACGAGGAGTGCGGCCTGATCGAGTGGGTGCCCAACACCATCGGCCTGCGTCACATCCTCAGCAAGCTGTACGCCTCGCGCGGCATTCCGCTCTACGTGCGTGACGTGCTCTCCGCCGCGTAGGTACCCTCGCTGACATCCACTGCAGACGACGGACATCAAGGTCAACATGGAGGAGGCGCGCACCAACCCGCGCCGCGCCGGCGAGATCTTTGAGACGCGCATCCTTTCGCGCTACCCCTCCGTCTTCCACGAGTGGTTCCTGGCGACGTTCCCCGAGCCGACAGTGTGGCTCAAGGCGCGCCTGGCGTATGGCCACACGCTGGCCGTCATGTCGATGGTCGGCTACGTGCTTGGGTGAGTGCTGATGGTGCGGGCGTCAGGTGCTCGAGCTCACACGCGCGACAGACTGGGCGACCGTCACGGCGAGAACATCCTCTTCGACTCGTCGTCGGGCGACACGGTCCATGTGGACCTGAACTGTCTCTTCGAGAAGGTACGCGCTCTCGGCCTGCGCACGATCTGCCGCATGCTGACGGATCTTGCCAGGGCCTCACGTTCGACGTGCCCGAGCGCGTGCCCTTCCGTCTGACGCACAACCTCGTCGATGCGCTCGGCGTCACGGGCGTTGATGGTGAGCTCGCGCCTAGCCGACTGACTCGCACCTTCGCTGACCTTGCTCGCAGGCGTCTTCCGCCGTGCCGCCGAAATCTCGATGCGCATCCTGCGCGACAACAAGGACTCGCTGCTCAGCGTGCTCGAGGCCATGGTGCATGACCCGCTCGTCGAGTGGGGCGCGGACGATCGTTCCAGGGCGCGCGTGAGTTGCGAGCGACGCTGCCTCTCAGCTGCCGCCTTCTTACTCTTGCCGCACAGCAAAACCGGCCTGATCCTCGCGTCCTCGAGGCGCGCAAGAGCCTCGCGCCCATCACAAAGAAGCTCGACGGCCTCGTGCGCAAGCGCGACATGGACTGGACGCCGCCGTGCTCGGTGAACAACGCCGTCGACGCGCTGATCCGCGATGCCACGAGCTCCTCGCTGCTGGCGCAGATGTGTGAGTCGGCCGCCGTGTCCTCGTCCGCGCTCTCTTGCTGACGCGTTGCCGGCGGTCCTGCAGACGTCGGATGGGCAAGCGTGAGTCTGAGCACACGACTCGCTCATGCTGTCCCGAGCTGACGTCATCTTCTTCTCCAGTACCTCTGATACGCCAACACTCTCCTTTTCCGTGCTTGAGCCCAGCGGACCTCGCTCCGCTGCCAGGCCCAAGCTGCCTTCCGAAGCACGCATCTCATCTGTACTTCTACACATATAGCCTGGACAATCATGCAGTCACCCTGCCTCGAGAGTCGTCTGAGTGGGTCTTCGCTTAGCCGTCAGATGGTGTGGCGCCGCGACAGGAGTTCGCCGCCCGCAGGCAGAACGGAGAGCCAGCAGAGACCAGATGAGCACGGGGGACAGGCTGAAGTGAAGTCGGCTGCTGAATCGTCCGAGTCCAGCGCATCCTGATTATGCAACTGTCCGGCCGCCAATACTCGAGAACAGTCGTATGTGGATTGTGAAAGCATCACCAAGAGCCCACAGCAAGCGTAGCGACAGCAGTCGGCAGAGAGGCACGCCAGCATCGAGGAGGGCCGGCGAGGAGCGGCACTAGGCGCGTTCCCACGAGTCCCACATCTCCCGTGCGACTCGCGCCGCATGTGGCTCCGGCAGACACGGCCGCGCTCCTGGCGCACGGCTCCTCATCGTGCCGGCGCCCCACTTGTTCCTCTCATCCTAATGAAGGCTCGGCACGCGGCGAGAACCCCTGACGCCTCATCGCATTGCAGAGGCGCCACTCTTCATGAGCATGATCCAGGCACACGCCGCGGCTTGACCGGCTACCACCACATCCAAGCCACGCAGCACCACGCCTAGTCGAAGAGGCATGTCGCAGCCACTCGCGGTGCGCGGAGCGCCGTGCGAGTACCCTCGCAACGTCAACTTGGCGGCATATCTGTTCTCGAGCGCGCACCAGCACACGCCGGCGCCCACTGGCTCGCCCAGCCACACGTTCGATGGACAGCCCATCCCCGAGGACCGGCCGTGTCTCGTCGATGCCGCCTCGGGCAAGAAGCTCTCCTGGGGCGAGGCCAGGGACCGGGTGTGGGCTGTCGCAGCCGGCCTGAGAGACCGTGTCACGCCCTTGTCTAGCGATCATGCCGGCGTGGTACGTCGCAGCAAGGCGCTCGAAGCTGCGCACTGGTTGACGCCGCTCGCAGCTCCACTCGCCCAGCACCACGCTCCTGCTCCACCTGCCCAACACGCCCGCCTTCCCGATGCTGCTTCTCGGCGCCGTCGCAAACGGCCTCACCGTCTCGCCGATCTCTCCGCTGCTGACGGCGAGCGAGCTGAGCGTGCTGCTCGCCAAGGCTCGACCAGCGCTGCTGTGCACCACTCTTGGCGCAGGCGAGAGCATCATGCGCTCAGCCGTGCAGCAGCTTGCGACGCAACCGCTCGACGTCGGCCCTGGAAAGCAGGCGGTGAAGCGCTGGGCAGACGACACAATCGCGCACTGGAGCTCTCGAATCTTCACGGTGGACACAATGGCGGACAACTTTGACTTGCAAGCGACACAGAAGCGAGCAGCCAGCGACTGGACACAGCTGCTGCAGCCGACTGCAGAGCCCTTCGTGTGCAAAGAGATGAGCGGAGACGAGCAGGGCCGGAGAGCAGCCGTGCTACTCTGGAGCAGTGGCACGACCGGTCAGCGCGGTAGAAGCCCGCGTCTGCGGCCTGCGCTGACGCTCCCTCTCCTGACAGGCGCTTCGAAGGGCGTGCTGCTGTCGCACCGCAACTTTGTCGCCAACACGCATTGCTTTTGGACCAGCTGCCCGGTGCTCGACGGGCCTCGCCGAGGCGCCTTTGGCGGCGGCGAGCGATGGGTCGCACTTGCCCCGTGAGTGCTGTGTCCAGTCCTCGAGAATGCCGCTGACTCGTCTCGACCTGCGCAGGTGGTGCCACGTCTATGGGTGCGCCTGCCTGGCTGCTTCTGCACGGGATGATGCTCACGCCGCTTTGCACAGGCTCGGCACGCTCCTGCTACCGACGTTTGCCTTCGGCGTGACTTTGGTCATCCCGCCTCCCGGCCGCTTCGACCTGCTCAACTACCTGCGTCTGCTGACGCAGTGCCGAGCAACGTACGCCCACATCGCACCGCCAATCGCCGTGATTCTGCGTCACACGCCGCTGCTCACCTCGTCCGAGATGCAAAAGCACGCGCTCGACCTCTCGACGGTCAAGGGCATGATGTCAGGCGGCGCACCCGTGCCGGCCGAGGTCATCGAGGGCGTGTATCACCGCACGGGCATCATGATCCAGATGTCGATGGGCACGACGGAGACGATCTCGACGAGCGGCGTGCGCAGCACTACGCTTGAGCACTCGCTGAGCGAGGGTAACCTCGGCAGCAGCGGTCTTGTCTTTGACGGCGCGCAGATCTGCATCGCAGGCAGGGCATCGAAGGAGGAGGTTGATCAATGGCAGCAGGAGTGCGAGGCGAAGCGCGCGGCAGGAGAGAGAGTGCCGCTTGGCCCTGGCGCGCCGGGCGAGATCTTGATCGGCGGCGACACAGTCATGCTGGGCTACTACTCCGGCAAGGGCTCCGAGGAAGGCGGTGCGCTGGATGCTGAGGCAACCAAGGGCGCCTTCACGTCGGACGGCCTGTATCGCACGGGCGATGAGGGCATGCTCGACGCGAAGGGCAACCTGTGGATCACGGGCCGCATCAAGGTGAGCTCCACTGGTTCCCGCTTACCGCCGTCGGCTGACCTTGTGCTCGTCAGGAACTCATCAAAGTGAAGGGCTTCCAAGTGGCGCCCGTCGAGCTTGACAGCCGTGCGTTCCGCCTTTGCTTGCTGCTCTTCGCACTTCTCACCCGCTGCCACAGTTTTCGCCAAACACCCGGCCCTCCTCGACGCAGCCGCGTGCGGCCTCTCGCAAGAAGGCCAAGAGCGCGTCGTCATATTCGTCTCGCCGGCAGACAGCGCCGTGCTGCAGGACGAGGCGAAGCAGGCGAGCTTGGTCGAGCAGCTGGCGCAGTGGGCTGCGCCGCAGATTGCACAGTACGTGCCGTGCTCGCTGTCCGATTCGCGTGTGCTCACGTTGCTGCAGCTACAAACACCCATCTCTCTACGTCTTTTGCGCTGCGATCCCCAAGAGCCCGACGGGCAAGGCGAGTAGCTTTCGCCGCGTGGATGCAGCTGCGAAGCTAATGCCTCGTCACAGATCCTCCGCAAGGACCTGAAGAATGTCGCTGGGACTCGCCATGTCGCACCGAGGATCAGCCGGAGCGCGAGACTGTAAGGGCCGGCTCTTGCACTTCATGTACGCGGGGCGCCAATGCACACGTCAAAAGCCTTGCGGTGCGGCTGTATGCGAGACTGCGCAGGCGTCGGGCCTCTCCCTTTCAAGAGCCATCTTACCGCTTTCGTCCTCTCCTCCTGGCCCTCATCCCCTCGTGACAGCCCACGGTGCAAGGTGAAAAGAGCCCTGGCATTGCTTTTGCCCGCGGAAAGAATACAAGCCGCTCAGCGGCGAAGCATGGAGCGTGCATGGCGCGCCGGGCGAAGCGTAACGCTGAATTAGATGAGAAGACGCTCGATCTGCAGCAGAGACGGGTGTCAGCGACTGGAAGAGGCAGGTCTTTCGGCTCCAGGGGTTGCTCGAGCCACTGCGCTCATCTCCTTCATCGCGATCGCTCCGCACTCACAGCCTGCTTGACGGACTGGATCTGGCTCTGCAGCTCGCGCGCCTCGTTGGTGGTGACGGAGCAGGCGACGACGGGGCGCGAGACGCCGCACGCGCGGCCGAGGGCGGTCTTGGAGGGCACAAAGACGTACGGCACGTTCTGCACAGAGAGGTGTCAGCCATGGGTGAGAGCCTGCATTGCCCTCCTCTGTCAGCTGCAGCACGCACCTTGTCCTCGCACAGCAGCGGCAGGTGCAGCACGATCTCAATCGGCTCGACGTCGGCGACCATGACGATGAACTCGGCAATGCCGCGGTTGAGCGTCTTGGTGGCCTCGTTGGCGCCCTTCTTGAGCTGCTTGTAGTGCGCGGCCTGCTGCACGAGGTCGAGGATCTGGTTCGTGAGCGCGGCGTCGGCCAGCGGGAAGGCCTTGGGGTTGGGCGCAGACATGGCGAAGTAGAGAAGGAGGAGGGAGAGGGGTGGTGTGGTATGGGAGCTGGGTGGACCTCACGACTAGGGATCACAGGTCGGGTGGGATGGGGAGCAGAGGCAGGCGGGGCGAGCCTGGCAGCCGTGGAAGAAGCGGCGGCGGCCGCGGCAGCTCGAGACAGATCGGCGTGGCACGTGACCGCCAGAAGTTCGCGCGGCAGGACGGCGTGGGAGCACGCCATGGCGCGGCGCGCTCACGCTCAGGGCCTTGTCCGAGGCGCGGCGCGACTTCGGCCTGCGCTCGCTTTTTGTGGCTGGCTGCTGCTGAGCATCTCGCACAGGCAGCGAGCGAACCTTGCCTCTCGCCCACCTCCACCCTCCTCCATACCCGCCATGGCCTCGTTCCGCCTCGCCCTCGCGCGGCCGCGTGCGTCGCTCGCCGCGCCCTCGCTCGCCCGCACGCTCGCCACGCCGGCGGCCGTGCCGCACCGGCCCTCGCACCGCGTGCTCATCCTCGGCGGCGGCGCGGCCGGCCAGGCCATCGCGCACCAGCTGACGCGCTCGGGGCGCTTCGCGGCGGGCGAGATCGGCGTCATCGACCCCTCCTCGACGCACGACTACCAGCCCGGCTGGACACTCGTCGGCGGCGGCCTCAAGCAGAAGGAGGAGCTGCGCCGCCCGCTTGCCGACCTGCTCGCTGACACGGCGGGCGTCGTGAGCCTGCTGCCGCACACCGTCACTGGCCTCAAGCCGGAGAGCAACGTCGTGCAGACGGAGAGCGGCGAGGTCGGCTACGAGCACCTCGTCGTTGCTGCGGGCATCGACTGCAAGTGGGACAAGGTGGAGGGCCTGGCCGAGGCGCTCAAGGTGCAGGGCAGCGGCGTCAGCAGCATCTACTCCTACGTGAGTCGCCGTTCCGCAGCTGCACCGGCGAGCCACACTCACACGACGCACAGGACACGTGCGACAAGCTCTTCCCGCAAATTGACCAGCTCAAGAAGGGCAAGGCCGTCTTCACGCAGCCGGCCGGCATCATCAAGTGCGCCGGTGCGCCGCAGAAGTGCGTGGCAGAGGTGGCGTCGGCGTCGCAGCACTCGAGCTGATCTCTCTGCAGGGCCATGTGGCTGGCAGAGGACCACTGGCGCTCGCACTCGCTGCGCCGCACCAACAACGCCGACTCGCCCGTCTCCGTCACGTTTGCGAGCGGCATGCCTTCGCTCTTCTCCGTGCCCAAGTACTCTGCCGCGCTGGACGTGATCCGCGAGGAGCGTGGCGTCGAGAAGCTGCTGCAGCACAACCTGATCCGCATCGACGGCCGCAAGGCCGTCTTTGCCGCCGGCGAGGGCGAGGTGACGCTCGACTTTGACCTGCTGCACGTGGCGCCGCCGCAGGGCCCGCGCGAAGTCTTTGCCAAGTCGGCGCTCGCTGATGCGGCTGGCTACATCGAGGTCAACAGCGGCACGCTGCAGCACGTGAAGCACAAGAACGTCTGGGCTGCCGGCGACGCCAGCAGCCTGCCCACGTCCAAGACGGTCGCTGCCATCACGGCGCAGGCGCCCGTCCTGGTCGAGAACCTGCTGAGCGTCATCGACGGCAAGGAGGCTGCCACGACGTACGACGGCTACACGAGCTGCCCGCTCCTCACCTCCTACGGCAAGGTGATGCTGGCCGAGTTCAAGTACGGCCTCGAGCCGAAGGAGACGTGAGTGCGCCGTGCCTCGCCTCCCTCACCCCGCTGACCTCGTGCCACAGCTTCACGCGCCTTTTCGGCATCGACCAGACGGTGCCGCGGCGGGCTTTCTACCACCTCAAGAAGGACTTCTTCCCGTCCGTCTACTACTCGTCGTTCATCAAGGGCACGTGGCAGGGCCCCAAGGGCTGGAGCCTCTCTGCGCCCTCGGCTCGCAGCTTCTCGAGTAGCGCGCGTCGCAGCTTCAGCACGTCGTCCGCCGCCGCTCGGGATCAGCCGGCCCGTCGCCCTCGCGACCCGCTGGCCACCTCGCCGCACGCCGTGCGCCACGCTCTTCCTTCCGGCGAGACGCTGATCGTGCGCGCTCCGCCGACGGCCGGCACGCCGCACTCCATTGCCGACTTTGGCGCGCGGCCCGCTCAGCCCGGTGCTAGCGCAGGCGAGCTGTTCAACGTGGCGCCGCACGCCGGCACGGGTGTGCTGCCGCCGCCGATCCGCGCGCCGAAGGTCGCGGCCAAGGAGCCGGAGCTCAATGAGCAGGAAATCACGGAGATCCGGCGGCTGCGCGCTGCCGACCCGACACTCAGCGCTCGGGCACTGTGAGTATCACTGCCTCTTGCTGCTGCTGCCACAGGGGTGCTGACGCCTGTGTTCCTCCACAGTGCCAAGCGCTTCAGCTGCAGCGCAACATTCATTCAGATTGTCGCGCCGTTGCCGAAGACAGTGCGGCGGGAGCTTGAGGCGGAGCGGTCGCTGTTCGACGACAGCATGGGCTTCAACAAGCGCAAGGCGAGCGTCGAGCGGCAGGAGCGGCGGGCACTCTGGTAGAGCGCCGTGCGTTGTACACAGCATCGTCATCATATAGAGTTCACCATCAGCTGTGCCAGCCCGCAGGGCCCATCTGTCATCATGAGGCGCAGCGCAGGCGCAAGAGTGGATTGCTGGTGTACAAGTGCTGCCGTCGCAGTGACTCTCGTCGCGTCTCTATATGTCCAGCGGCTACCGCACCTCGACTGCCACCTTGGCAGCCTCCTGCGCCGCAGCCACAGCCTGGTGGCTGACTGGCGGCTCCTCGATCTGGTCAGCCTGCGCAGGTGCAGCAGGTGCCGGCGTGCCGTCTCTTGCGCGCAGGCTGGCCTCCAGATACCGCTTGCCGCCGGCCCAGTGGTCGTTCCGTGCTGCCGGCGCGTCGGTCATGGCGCCCAGCTGTCCACCCACACCCACGGCGCCGCCGGCAGCGGCCAGCCGTTCTGCCTGCCGGTACGCCATGCCCTCCTCGACGGCGCGCCGCTCGCGAGCGTGGAAGCGCGCCGCCTCGCGGGCGCCGCCCGACTCGGCCACCTCGCCCCACGGCAGCCGCACGGGGAAGGTGGCGCCGAATGCGACAGCCTCGGCAACGGCGGCGCGCCGTGCGTGCTCGTGGGCCGCCCGCAGTGCGTAGAAGGTCGAGAGCGTGTGGTGGTACGCCGTCGAAAGAGAGATGCCCTCGCTCTTGTGCAGAGCGACGACGCAGGAGACGACGCTGCAGCAAACGGGTCAGCATGGAGGCAAAGGGCGACTGCCTCGTGATACGCCGCTACATCTTCCTGCCGAATGGAAGCGCTCTTGCAAGGCAAGCTTCTCACCAACCAAGCAGACTTGCCTCGTGCAGAGCAGCGAGCCTCTCGACGCGCTTCTGTAGCTCTGCTGCTCTCTGCCCCACCGCGACATATCTCCTTCATCGGCGGCCCCCGCAGCGACCACAGACTCACTCTTCGGCGCTCGGGTTGGGGCCCCAGTTGCGCAGGTCCACCACGCCCGGCTTGCTCATGACCTCCTTGGTCTTCTCCGCCTCGGTCAGGCTGCGCGGCCGCGCCGTCTCCCAGGGGTGGTCGTGGAAGAAGCGCCTCCGCACGCGGTCCTCGAGGTAGACGATCTTGCGCGGCGCCAGCGACGGCGCGGCCAGCTGCGGCAGGTCGGCGCGCGGCACGGCGGCGCGCGGCGGCAGCGGCGCCGGCGGGTGCAGCGCCAGCACGGGCAGCACGAGCGGCGCCTGCTTGAGGTAGTTGCCCTGCAGCAGCCGCGAGAGCGTCGACGGCAGCGTCTGTGCGATGCGCCGCGGCATGGTGGGCTGCGCGTGCGGGACCGGAGCGGGGAGCGAGATGTAGTGGGCAGGAAGGAGGGAGCGCGGCGCAGGTCGGACGAGGGCGACAATTGCAGCATCACGTGACGCGCGCACCCTGGCCGTGGCCGCTGCTCGAGCTGCTCCGCTCTCCTTCGCACCGCTCCACATCCACCCCCCCTCGGCCTGGCCCAGCATGTCCTCGACCCGCCGCATGCGCGGCACGGCAATACACCGCGCCCTGCTCATCGGCAGCACCGCGACGCCCCTATCGTCCGCCGAGCGCCTCACCGCGCCGCCCGACCACACGCACCGCTGGACCGTCGCCGTGCGCTCCGCCGCCTCGAACCCGCTGCCGACGCTGCCGGCGACGACGACGGGCATGCCTGTCGCCGCGGGCTCGTCCGCCGCTGCCTCGTCCAGCGTCATAGCTGCAGGCGCAGCGCAGGAGGAGGAGGGCATCAGCACGCGCGGCCGCGACCAGTCGGACTTCCACCGCTGCGCCGGCGGCAAGGACGACATCAGCCACTTCATCAAGCGGGTGCAGTTCAAGCTGCACGACACGTACGCTCATGCCACGCGCAGTGAGTCCTAGACAGACCGCCCTCGTTGTTGGAGCTCTGACACGTCTGCGCAGACATCGACCGCGCGCCTTTCCAGGTCACCGAGACGGGCTGGGGCGAGTTCGAGATTGCCATCAAGATCTTCTTCGTGCCCGAGAGCGGCGAGAAGCCGCTGCAGACGCACCATCACCTCAAGCTGCACCCGTGGCACCCCGTCTCGCGGCCTGTCGTGGCGCCGCCGCCAGCTGCGCCAACAGAGGCAGCGCCGACAGAGGGAGCCGCAGGCGCAGAGGCCGACGCCTCGGCGGACGTGAGCATGGCCAGCGTGGAGGAGAAGGCAGACGATGCGCAGCCGCAGCCGCAGGCAGAGTCATCGCAGCCAGCTGCGACGCAAGAGAGCAGCGAGTCGCAGTCGAAGCTCGTGGACCCGCCGCCGGTCGTGCACTCGTGGGCGTACGAGGAGATCGTCTTTCCGGAGCCGCTTGAGCCGTTCTACGACATTCTCATCGCGCACCCGCCGACGCCGTGAGTAAGGCGCCGCTGCATCTGCTCGGTGACTCCTGTCTGACGCCTTGCTCCTCTCAGGCTCTTCTCTAGCTCGGCGCAGGCGTTTGCTGATCCTTCGGCCTATCGTTCCTACCTCTCCTTGCTCTCTTCGCTGCCCGCCTCCGAGTCAGCCGGCGTCGGTTTCGCGCCGGACGCCCACCAGCTCGGCTCCGCAGCAGCAGCCTCAGGCACGCTCCTGCCACCGCATCCTCTGCACGCTTCGACCGGCGCTCTCTTCGATGCGCTGTCGCTCGAGGCCGTCGCGCACGAGGCCGACCGCCTCGACGCCGCCCGGACAATGGCGGTCAGAGAGCTCGAGGCATGCCGCGCGAAGCTCATCGAGAGCGAGAAGAAGCTACGCGAGGGCAAGAAGCGGCTGGAGAGCGGCATGGCTTGACGTCTCGCCGGTGTCTCCCCTCGCGCCCGCTCCGACTCGGGCCGTACTCCTCTGCAGCGCTTCCTTCGCCACGCCTCCCGGGTTCATCAGTCACGCATCGCCGCAATACCATCACAGCATCTCACATCCGTGACGCAGTCGTGCGCATTTCTCGGCCGACTGCAGCGCAGGCGCTCGTAGAGAGCGCCGCGGGTGACCGAGGTGGGGGGATCATGACGTGAAGGGGCTCGATAGGGGCGGGTTGTGTGTCTCTTGAGTCGGGGCATGACGTGTATAGGTGTTTGGGTGAGAGGATGAGGAAGCGCGAGCGCGGCGTGATGCGGCGGATTAGGCGCCACGACGCCGTCCGACGCTGGCATTCCAGTGCGCCCGCTGCAGCTGCGCAAAGTCGGCGCGCGAGAGGACGGGCGACGCGCCGCCTTCGGGCCAGGTCGGCGATGTAGCGCCGCTGTTGGGGTTCGAGAAGGCGCTGCCCTCGCTGCCTTCGCGGCTGCCGTGGCCGCCACGGTGCGCCCGGCGCGAGGTGAAGGGGTATGCGGGCGGCGAGATGGCGCCCGAGTTGGAGCCGCCGCGCGAACGCGCAGAGGCGTAGCCCGACGAGTTGCCAAAGCCGTACTCGCGCAGGCCTTCGGGCGCAAGCGGCGTCGAGCGGTCATATGAGGAGCCCAGCGGGTCGGGACGAATGCGCTCGCGCCCGGTAGGCACAGTGCGGCCGCCTTGCGACGAGAGCACATCGCTGGCTGGGCCAGTCGTGCTGGCCGAGTCCTCGGCGGAAGACGAGCGCGAGCGGCCCATCTCCACGATGCCGGCGGCGCCAGCAGCGGCGCTCAGCGTGCCAAGCGGCGCCGAGCCGCTGCCGAGGGAGATGGTGTGGCCGCGCGGCGACCGCGGCGAGGCGTTCTGCTGGGCGAGCGCCGAGGATTCGACCTTGCGCTGGTAGCCACGGCCAGGGCCAGTCGACGAGCGATGCGAGCGCGCGCCGTTGCCGCCGCTCGAACGCGAGCCGTCCCGCTGCGGCGGCGAGGCAGCGCGAAGCACGTCGTTGGCCACCTCGTCGCTGCCGCTGTCCTCGCCCGAGCTGCTCTCGTCGTCACCATCGCCGCTCTGATCCGCAGAGATCGGCTCGGGTGCGGCGTTGTTCGAGTTCCAGTCCTGCGAGCCTTGGATGCCGGACATGCCTCCTGCGCCCGCACCAGCACCGCCGCCCCAGTTGCGGTACGGGCCGCCCGATTGCGTGCCTTGTGCGCTCAGCGACGGCGTAGCCTGCACGCCACGAGAGTTGTGCGCTTCGCGCGTGCGGCGGTAGGCCGCGCCGCTGGGCCGGCCGAGCGAGCCGATTTCGTCCCATGCGTTCGTGTAGCTGAGGTCCTTCGGCAGGCCGCGCTGCGGCGCCTCGGCCGGCACGGAAAACGAGCGTTGGGCGAACGTCGGGCTCGTCGTCGACGCAGCCTGCAGGCTCTGCTCGTGTGCGCCTGTGCCGGGCGAGACGCTTGGCGGCTCCTCGTCCGGCCAGATGCGCGAGCCAGGGCGGCCGGCGCCTCGCTGCTCCCACGGGAACACGGGCTTGACTGCGCTCGGATCCGGGCGCGTCGAGGCGAGGTTGTCGAACCAGTGCTCGCGCTGCAGCTTCTCCATCGCCCGGCGCCGGCTCTTCTCCGCCGCAGCGTTGCCCGTCTCCGGCTGGAAGAAGGCCGCCTTGCCCTGCGGTCCGTCCGCCGCTGGCCGGTCCCACGCGTTCTCGTAGTAGGCGTCCGGCGGCGCCCGCATCTGGTACGACGAAGCGCCGACGTTTTGCGGCGGAGGCTCGACGGCCGGGTTCCACGAGAGGTACGGCGCCTCCCACGGCTCCGTAGGCGAGCCAGATGGGTCTTGCTGTTGTTGTTGCTCGCGCGGCGAAGACGGGCCGGAGCCTTGTGGCGAGGCGTGCCGCGGCGAGGCAGACGGCGGCGGGCTGGAGCGAGGCGTGGCGTCGTCGTCGCTGTCGCCGGGCACCTCCCAGGCGCCCGGATTCGGCGCGAGCAGGCTGGCACGGCCCATCAGCGGCAGACTGAAGTACTGGCCCGGACGGCCAGGCGCAGCGATCGTGCTCGCTTCGGCCTGACCGGCGCCTTGGAACATGCCCTTGAGATCGTCGACGCTGCCTGGCCCAGTCGGCACGTCGTGGGCCTCCGCACCGGCGTCCCATGCCGCCTGGTAGGTCGGCACGCGGAAGGGCTCTTCAACGACCTCGACGCCGCGCGACGTGTGGATGACGCGGACGGACGGCCCGGAGCTGCGAGCAGCAGAGGGCACCGCCGTCTCGTAGAAGCTATGCCATGCGTGCAGGAGCGCCGTGTAGTCGTTTGGCGCGGCGGCGTCCGGCACGGGCGTCGATGGCCGCGGCTGAGACCAGGGCTTGTGCGCGCCGATGAAGTGCGCAACGTGAATGGAGCGTCCGTACCGCGCATACGCAGGCGCGTAGCTGTCGGATGTCGTCAGCACAGCAGGACAGCAGCGGCCGCTGATAGGCACCGCAGACGGCGACTCACGTGTACCCGCCATTAGGCGTCGCATTGTAGCCAAAGCTCAGCCGGTCCCAGCCTCCGCCCTCGCCCTCATCGCCGCGCCCGCGCTCGCCACCAAAGTACTCGTTCAGCAGGCCCTGGTCCGCGCCGTCCCACGTGCCGCGCGTCGCGGCCAGGACCTGCAGGGCGCCAAACGTCGCCTCGCTTGGGGTGAGGAGCAGAACGCCGGAGTTGAAGCAGTCTGGCCAGCCGACGTCTGGTGCGGCGTAGAGTGGCGATTGCGGCTGGGCGAAGAGGTGGTGCAACGAGCGCTGGCGGCAGCACGTCAGCCCTCGGCGCGACAAGAGCGACGGCTGGCACGACTCACAAGCGCGATGGTGTCGGCATCAAGGAAGAGTACACGCTCGTAGCCCGTCAGCCGCCAGGCGTGCAGCTTCGTGAGTGCTGCACCGCTGCCCTCGCCAAGATCGGGTCGGCCTGAGTAAAGGACGTGTCAGCTCCAGGGCTCAGAGACAGGACGGACAGTAAGGCTGAAATGCTCAAGGCGCTTTACAGGTCTTTCTACAAGCTGACGACAAGACGGACGCCCTCGCACCCGCCTCTCTGCTGCTTCGAGTCACTCACCAAGCAGGGCCAAGTTCTTGGCCGCCTCGCGCCGAATCTGTCTGCCCACCTTTGCCTGCTCTGCCTCGTCGTTGGGATCCGGCGCAGCAACGCCGGCATCCTTGACCCTGCGGTCTGCCTCGTCGACGACGGCGCTGGCGATGCTGAGCGGCTCGACGCCGACCACCCGATCGTACGCAGCGGCGAGGGAACGCAGCGAGCGCGGGCTGAGCGTGACTGGCGTGGCGAGGACGAGAGTGTGGATCTCTGCGCGCGACGGAGCGTCTGCGAGCGAGTGGCGCAGCGAGGCAGCGAGCGCCAGGGCGCCGGGCAGGTAGGCGTCCGAGGTGAGGAGCGTCGCAATGGCAAAGCGTGCCAGCGCGCCGGAGCCATTGCCCCGCCCACTACTGCTGCTGCTGCTGCTGCCGCTGCCGCCGCTGCCGTGGGCCGGCGCAGGACGGACAGCCATGCTGGCGAAGAGTGTGTGTGAGGGTGCAGCGGGCTGCGTCTGCTGCAGCGCACAGCACGATGGGATGGAGGATGGAGTTGGGGAGAGAAACACAACAGGCAGCTGTCGGTGCGGCAAACTCTTGCCGGCGCGCCCAAGCCTGGTGCGCGCCAGGCGGTGGCGGCGCACACTAGACTCGCGGCCTGCCGTGGCGCTTCGCGTGCTGCGCGCGGTTGATCCGGAAGGATGGATGGGCGCGGCAGGCGCGCTGTGTCGCGGCGCGCGCCCATTCCGCGGCCGGGGCGAGCTGTTCTGCATGCGCTCTCCTCGCTCTGCCTCTCCTCAGCCCTCTCCTCGGAGCGCATACACGACATGCAGGCTAAGCGATGACCATTCGCTGCGCCGCAGCTACGTCGTCCTGATCATCCAGCTGCACAAGAAGAAGGGGTGCGCCAGGCGTCGGTGCGGCTTCGGCCAGCGTTCGACCTCGTGCTTTGTTCGACGCACCCCACCGCGCTCTCGACTCCTGTCTGTTTGAGGTGCCTGGTCTCAGGGGCCGGACAACAGCATGCGAGAACCTCTCGCTCTCCCCTCTCTCGCTCATCGCAGGAACGACGGGCGTCCTGCGCTCGAGTCACGGCGTCACAGAGCGGGCCTGCAGGTGCTTCTATTCGCGATAACCAATCTCTCCTGTCGCCGCACCTCAGCGCCGCCGGCGTAGACATTCGCCGCCGCACACCATCTCCTCGTCGGCGCTGCTGCTGCATGCTGCGCCTCTCGTCTCGCGGGCGCTTGGAAGAGCAGCTGGCTTCGATGCGGCCCCGGAGGGATGAGGGCGTGCGGCGTCGGCGCGCCATTTGCTGCGCCGAGCGTCTTCGGATGCGGCCGCCTCGGCGCCGGTGTGGCGCCACAGGATCGACGCCGCGCCGGCCGACCGGCAGCCACGACGGTGCTTTGGGGCGCTCGGTGTGCCCGCGGCGCTCCGCACACGGCAGCCAATTTGCAGCTCCGCCCCAGATCTCCCTTCGCTGCGCGGCAAAGGGCGTCGAGAGGCCTTCTGTGCAGGCACGAAGGCCCTCTGCAAGCCATCAACAAGATGCACGACGGACGACGGAGAAGCAGAAGCACAGGAGCAGCAGCATATGCGGAGACCCAGCTCAGGAGAGCATGGAAGGACGAGCATGCTGTGCATCCGGCCGCCGCATGCTGCGTTGCCTGTTCGCAGACTCCGAACGCATCGCATCGAAGCGCGAGGCACGCCAGACGGCCCGAAGATTTCGCATCTGCGCTGAGCGGCTGGATGGCGAACCCGAATGCAACAGCTCGCTGGCCGGGGCGGGCGGGCCAGCTCCTGGCTTGAGGGGCACTACGAACAAGCCGCACCGCCGAGGCCGAGCCGTCGGCAGCCGAGGCATGACCACATGCTGGTCACACCTGCATGGCCCGCGTCGGCAGCAGGCGGAAGTACCAGCACATGCACCATGCGCATCGGTGCCAAGAGAGACGGTCGCGAGCGGTGCGGCACGATGCACGACGCTGCAGCACGGGAAGGTGTCGCGCTTCTCCGCGTCGGACCGGGCCCCGCCGGAGTGGATGCACCGTCGATGCAGCCGCGATCGGCCCACGTTTCGCCGCCCCCACAACGGGGACAAGACGCCCGGTCCGTCCCGTCCCGTCATGCAGCCCCGAGACCTCGAAGATCAGCCGCTGTGGATGGCAAAATATTATTGCGGGGGGTATCAGAAGATGGAGAGGAGCTTGGACACGCCGCCGAGGCCCTCGATGTGCAGCGGCAGGCTCTGCGCATAGTCAAACACGGGAATGCTGAAGCCCTGCAGCTCGACCTTGGCCTGCACGTCGAGCTCGAGCGTCAGCTGGCCGCGCTCGGCAAGGAACGTCTTGACGAGCTTGTCGAGCGACTGCGCCAGGCGCACGTCGATCTTGCCGCTCTGCGTGCCGGGCGCCGTGGGCGTGCCGGGTGCGATGCGCAGCGGCGCATCGCGCACAAAGGTGCACTGCGCACTGCCGAACGGCGCACCGCGGAACGTGGCGGCAAACGACAGGCTGCACAGGTCGATGGGCACGGCGAGCGGGTTGCGCACCACGTACGTCGCCTCGACAGTCGAGTGCGTGAGCACGCTGGGGCCCAGCTGCACCGAGATGCTCTCGAGCAGCTCGTGCAGCATGGGCTTGAGCGTGAACTCCATGCGGATGCGCGAAAGGGCATCGCGCAGCACCGGCAGCTCCGTCGACTCGTCGTCGCCGCGCACCTGCAGCACCGTGTTGCGGCCGCTCAGCAGGTTCGACGGCAGGTCGCGCACCCGGTCCTCGCGCGCCGGCGAGTAGCGGAACTCGACGCCGTGGATGGCCACGGGCCCGCCAGGCATGTCGAAGGAGCCACTGGCGATGAGCGCGCGTCCGACGAAGGTGTCGCGCAGGTACACGCCCATCGACAGGCCCGTGTCCGGCAGACGGATGTGCATCGACGTCGAGGGGTTGTTGAGGAAGAGCGAGAACGTCACGCGCAGATACTCGGGGTTCGCGTCGACGACCTGGAAGTTGCTGTACTGCAGCGGACTCTCGCGCAGGCTGTTGAGGCCGGCCACGCGGATGCGATGTGCTCGGCCCAGGTCGACTGTGACCGGCAGCTCGCCGAGGGTCGTTGCAACTCGCACATGCGCTGTGCCACGCAGGCTGATGCGAGTCGTGCCGCTGTCGCCGGCGTCGAAGACGTGCGAGACCAGATCGGCCATCATCGCCTCGTCGTGCGTGTGCAGCTCGAAGCGCTCGAGGCCCAGCGTAAAGGTGCCCTTGGCGCCGCCGTCGTCGGAGCGCGCGTGCTCGTCGCTGATCACGCCTTCGCGCGTCTTGGCCCGGCCGACGACGACGTCGTCGAAGATGACCTCGACGTCCGCAGAGGTGGTCACGGGTCGCAGCTCGATGGGGTAGGGCAAGCTGTAGTCGATCAGAATGTCGGTCGCGGTGATGACGGGCGGGCCGTTGGCGGGGAACGAGGCGTCGAGCTTGCCGACGTCGACGCCGTCGACGAGGCGCAGCGGCTCCTGCTGCAGTGTCGCCGACAGAGAGAAGGAGGCGAGCGCACAGTCCAGCCACGACAGACGCTGCGGCTCGCTTGTGGCGCGACGCTTGCCTGCCGCGCCGCCGACAGCCGCAGGCGGCGGCTGTGCCCAAGCTCGAGCGCCCCGCAGACCGAGCTTCACTTCCCTTCCGGCGACGAGAGAGCTGATCATCTCGCCCAGCTTGGGCAGGACAATTTCGCGATCTGCGTCCTCCTGGAGATAGACGAGGCCACGCGCCTCGAGCGGCGTCTCTCCATATGGCTCGATGACCACATCCTCCAGAGCCAGCTGGCCGACTTGCGCACCGTCGTAGGACAGCGCCAGCTCGAGACGCGCCAGCTTGATCGTCATGTCGCTCGGATTGACCAACGTGACGCCGGCGCAGATCTGAAATGCGCCGTTGTTCGTGCCTGCTGTGCTCTGCAGTGCGGCCTGCAGCAGACTGCCGCCTGCTGCCGGTGGGCGAGCCTCGCCCAGTACGCTGAAGTGCGTTACGCTAAGGTCAGGGAAGCCTCCGAGGCCGGCGAGCTTGATCGTCTTGTTCAACGGCGTCAAGAACTCCACGCCACCGGCGGTGATGACGACGTGCTGGGCTTGCAACTCGAACGCCGCGGTGTGCTCCTGGAGCAGGGCTGCCGCGACGGCGCCGAAAGCCTCTGTCGCACCCGCGCCGGTGGGCGGAGCGAGACGGACATCTGTGCGCACAGCTTCGAGCATGCCGGGCTCGACTGCAACGCTGCCGGAGATAAAGAGGCGAGCCACCTTCTTGCCGTCGCGGAAGAGGTCTGCTGGCTCGTCGAAGCGGATGGAGGCTGCGAGCGGGCCGAAGTTGACAAGACGCAGGCCTGCGCTCGCCACGATGCCGTCCTCATCCATGCCGTGCACCACAACGGCGACGAGCTGCACCTCAGCCCGCTCGGCCAGCGCACCGACGAAGGGTGCACCCACCGACGGAAGCAGTGCAGCCGAGCTGGCCGTGCTGAGCGCAATCGGAAGCCGCCGCTGAGTGAAGCGCAGAGTACCAGGGATGCGGTAGTCGCCTAGTCTGGCAGTGGCGTTCACATGCGCAGTCACGCGCAAGTCCGCGAGAGCCCGGGAGAGCAGCGACGCCAGGTCTCGCGAAGGGTCTGCGTCGCCGCTTGCACGAGGACCCTTGGCGCGCGAGGATGCGACGCTGTTGCGTTTGGAGCCGTGCGGTGTCTTGCCAGCCGTGCCGCCGCCAGCGCACAGCTCATCGAAGAGCTCCTCGAGCGACTCGCCGATGTCAACGCCCCGCGTCTGCGCCGTCCGCCGCATGATGGCGATGAGCACGTTGGGATCGCGGTTGATCTCGATGGGCAAGCTGGTCGCGACACCCTCGCCTCCAGCCGGGAGCCGCAGCCCATCCCACGAAGTCGGCGTCTGGATCATCGCGAGCTCGAGCTCGCTGCCGCCTTCGCCGGGCAGCTCGGTCGCTAGCGCTTGGACCGAGAGAGACTCGACGTGGATGTCTGCACCAAAGCTGTTGTGAAGCGTGGCGCGCGCCACGCTGGAGCCGCCGGCAGCCCCGTTACTGTTGCGCGAAGCTGTAGACACACCTCGCTCGAGCCTTGGAGAGGCAGGGGTTGGCCGAGCTGCCATCGCTGCACCCTCCACACGCAGCTCTGCGCCGTCGAGCAAGCGCGAGCGGTCGCCCAAAGCTGGCACCCGTGCGTCGATTTGCGCGCCTTTCAGCGCCGCGGCGAGCCAGGCAACAGGCGAGGCGCCGCCATTGCTCTCCTGTGCAACGGCACAGATTTCGATCGGCTCGTCCTGCAGCAGCGAGGAGAGCAGGTTTGCGCCTGCCGCATAGGCCAAGGATGCTGGCGAATCCGAAGCAGAGCCTGCAGGCGGCTCCGCTGGGAGAATGACAAAGCCTTTCGCAGTGACCTTGTTTGTGCCGGGCCGTAGCGGCGTTGATGCGAGTGTAAGCGAGCCGAGGCTGACCATGCTGCCTTTCGCAGAGGGTGAGCACAGAGAGAAGCGAAGCTCGCCAGGCTCGAAGGTCAACGCCGGGCTCTGCGACGGGTTGACGAGAGAGACGGAGGCGCTGAGCTCGATGCCCTCACGCGCATGGCCAGCCACGATCTGGAACTCGCCGATCTCGAGGGGCGCTCCGGGTGTTGAGACAGGCGCTGTGGTCTGTGAAGATGTCCCGACCGCAGACGAGCTTGCTCGTGATGAGCTGGCCCGCGACAGCCAGGAGCGGCGCTTGCTGTGCTTCTCCGAGGCGCTGAGATCCGATGCGCGTGTGCGGACCGGCATCGATGGGAGGCCCAAGGAGCCTGCTGACGCTCCAGAGGCGCCTGGAAGCTGCAGCACGCCACCGAGTCCGGCCAGGCCCCCAAGCGGCACGATCTTCTCCAGGCTGAGCCCGGAGAATTTCATGCCGTAGGCCTTGATCTCGGCGCCGCGAGCACGCAGCACGAGCTGCTGCGGCTCGCCCTCTGCTGGTGCGGCAAGGAGCGTGCGGACGAAGCGCGAGAGCGCCTCGCTACCGCCAGCCGGCGTGCGGATTGTAAGCTCGATCTCTGCACTAGCCGCACCCGGCACGGCACTGGGCCGCAGGCGAAAGGGAGGGATCTCGGCGTGCGCGACGAGGCAGCTGCCGGTCTCTGGCAGCAGAGACGGAGTGCTGCTCGAGCTGGCCCTCTTGCCGCTCTTGCTGCTGCTCGCGGCCGAGGCATGCTCGATCCAGTGCAGCTCCGTGCTCTGCGCCGGCAAGCACACCTTGACCTTAACGAGCGGGAGCGGCCCAGTGCCGATGTTCGACAGGCGCAGCTTGGCGCGCGCCTGGAAGCCCGTGTCGCTGAGCGAGTGGACGTGCAGCTCGGCGATGTCGAGGCGTGCGCGGTGCAGCAGCCGGTCGACGAGCGCCCGCACCGCCGGCACGCGCGAGAGGCCCGTCGTCTTTGGCGGCGCGCCGGCGGCGCCGGGAGGCGTGTCGGTGGAGGTGGCCATGGTGAGGTGGTGGTGGTGGGATGAGAGGCTGCGCCGCTCTGCCGCTCTGGCAAGATGAGGCAAGCTCATCTCCGCTCCGTGCCTGACCGCATCGGCATTCAGCCGCTCAGGCGGGCCTCCTGCTCAGGGTGCTGCGCTGCTGAGCAGAGGAGCGTGAAATGGTCCGCGTCCGTGAGACCGAGACGTGGCGCCGCACCTGGAATGAACGGCGATCATGCATCTTGCAGAGAGCGCCCGAGCGCGCAGCAGCGCTGCCCCACGCAGAGCATGCCCCTTGGCTGCTTGCAGCAGAAGAGCAGAGGAAGCTTGCCCTTGGTCATGGCAGACACGGAGCGTCGCCGGAGAGAGCGGGGTTAAGCGGCGCCGCCTCGGGCGCAGATCAGCCGCCAAAAAGGCAGCAACGCGCGTCATCGCGCCGCTGCCGCCGCTCTGCTGCGCTGCTGCTGCGCACGACTCTTTCTGCGGATCTGCCGCCGCTCCGCCGCTTTCAGCGCGAGGCATCCTCGTGCTGATGTGCTGCGCTCCGTGCTGCTCAGCGCTGCCTTGTGCACGCTCCCCGCAATCGCGGTCCTCGTGAGAGGTAACCGCTGCGCTCTGATGAGCATCTTGGAGCGGCATGCTGCGCAGAGCATGCTTGTCCGAGCGCCAGCCCTCAGAGGGCCTGAAGGTGCGCCCTTGGCTTGGCGAGGGCTCGATGCTGGACGTGCGAAGCGCTGACGGAGCCGGGCTGCGGCTGTCGGTCAAGCACACGGTGCTCCGGACGCAATCAGACTTCGAGCACACACAGGACACTCCGCGCGAGGGGGCACATGTGTCTGGCGGACGATCAATCGCAAGCGAGGATCTTGATAGGGCGGCAGCGGAGGGGGCGTGCAGACCGCCATCGCAGCCGCTGCTTCTGGCTGCGCGATGCCGTCGCACCCACCACGTGGAGCTCGCCGAGGCGGTCGCACGCTACGAGCTATCGCGACGTTGGTGCTGCACTCAGCGCCAGGTGCAGCATGCAGAGGCTGGCGGCTGGTGGCTTCGGAGGGCAACGTGGTCCTTCGGAGCAAAGGCCGGCCGTAACCTCTGCATGCTGGCGCTGCATGCTGCAAGATGCGAGTCATGGTGACGCTCCCCGTGTGCCTCTCGTGGGCAGCAGCCCACAAGGCCAGCTGCTGCAAGCAGGACGCAGGGTTCAGCTGTAGGTGCATGTGCCTCCCCGTCAGGTGCAGCTTAGGGCCGAGGTGCACGGTGCATCCTGCATCGCGGATTCGCGGCGCGGCGCGTCCAGCCAACGAGGAGAGGCGGAAGAGCGCCACGCGGTCGGTGCGGCGGGAGACGCGATCTCGCGGCTTGGCTGGGGCTCCGCAGCTGCCTTCGTTCCTGACCCTCATCCGGCGCCGGCTGGGCAGCTGCTGCTTCGCATCTCACCACTCGCACCCGCCGTGCGCACCATCCTTCCACATACTCGTCCGTGCACCCTCCTCGCTCGTCCCATAGCTGCTCTTCCCGCCGGCCAGTCGCTGCGCACCCGGCCGACGCAGATCTTGTGCACTTTTCGCACGCCGACCTCCACGTCGCACGCCGCGTCGTCGTCTGGCCAGCCAGCTCTGCTGCCGCAGAGACCCGGGCGCCGGCTCGCATCGTCACCGCAGCTACCCGCTGCACTGCTGCTCCAGAGATGCTCAGCTACGAGCACTCGCTTGCCGAGGCGTCGGCCAGCGCCTCGCGGCCCGCCGTCGCCGCCGCGACGGGGCATGATGCGGGCGCCGCGGCGAGGGGCCCGAAGCTGAGCTGTCTGCCGTGGTGAGCGCTGCCGAGAATGTCTTGGTAGCCCTGTCGCTGATGTGTGTGCGCCTTTGCGTAGCCGCAAGCGCAAGTCGAAGTGCGACCGCGGCGAGGTGAGTCAGGTTCTGTGCCCGCGCCAGGCCCCGGCGCTGACGCGTGGGCACTCAGCCATGCTCCTCGTGCGTGCTGCGTAGCACCGAGTCGTTCTGCTACACCGTCTCTGAGCTGCCCGAGGGCTCGGCCGTGGCGTCGCGGTCGAGCAAGATCATCGGAGATCGGCAAGCGGGCAATGGCGGGCCCACCAACGGCGCCGCGCGCGAAGACGCGAGTCCCAACAGTGCCAACAGCATCGACCGCAGCCCGCGCGACGAGCTGCCGGGTGCACCTCGCAGCGCAAAGCGCAGCCGCTTGAACACAAACGAGTTCTCTGCACGACCTCCGTCGGCGACAGAGACGCCGTCGCCTCGGCCTCACCCGCCTCCCACGCCCTCGAGCTCGAGCCATACAGGCAGGAGCACGGCTGGCGCGGCAGATCTAGCGACTGTGCGCTCGATGCTCAGCTCTATCCGCTCGAATCTGGAGAGTGTCGAGAAAGCTGTGCCAGCGCTGGCTTCGGCCTCGTCTGCAGTGCCAGAAGCGACAGGGAGAGACTTGCGGTGGGCAGATCTGGCGCCGCACTTGCCGTCCCCCGACGACTGCATGACGCTGTTCCAGTGCTTCTTCAGCGAGGTGAGTTGCAGCGCTCTCGGCGCGTGGGCTCGCACGCTGACGGCCGTGCATAGCTGGACTGGCATGTCTCGTGCCTGCATTCCGGCACCTTCTACTGGGTCTGGCACCAGCTGCAGGCCGGGCATCGCATCTCGCGCTACTCAGCGACCATCTTCTACACTGTTGTCGCGCTCACGCTGGCGCTGCGACCGACAGCGCACAAGGCGGCACGCATCACGAATGCGCCGCACTCGCACAGCGAGTACGCGGAGCGTGCGCACCAGCTGCTGCAGCCACAAGGCGGACCCGAGGACACTGGCCTGAACTTCACGCGTCTGCAGGCAGAGACGTGCATCTGCCTCTATCAGGTGCTGGCGGGAGGGCATGACGGCAGCGAGAAGGCGTGGTACTACGTCGGCGCTGCCATCCGGCGGGGCAAGGCTCTGCAGCTCTTTGATGAGGGCCACTGGCGCGCGTGGGAGATGAGGTACGTCGAGTCGACACCCAGCCAGCGCAACGTCCTTACACTCCTCACAGCGCGCTGCAGAAGGAGCTCTGGCGGCGCGTCGCTCACGATCTCGCGACGCTTGACCGCTGTGAGTCTCGCAGCCAAAGGCTAGCATGTCGCACGTGGCTGACCACACATCACAGGGCTGGGCGTGCTGTATCAGCGTGCGATGGATCTCGATGCGCCGATTGCTGTCGAGCAGCCCGAGTACGTGTCGGCAGACTGCTGGGACACCACGACGGGCGCGCGCATCGAGCCCAGCACCGCCTCGCCGAACTCTTCGGCCTATCTCGTCTCGCGCAACCAGTATTCGGAGCTGATTTTGCAGCTGCATCGCTTCCTGCGCACGCTGGCCAACACGCCGCCAGCAGAGCGATATGCCTCCGCACTGGCCATCGACGCGCGCTTCGTCGAGTCCGATGCCCGCCTGCCGTCCGAGCTGCGCTTCGAGAACGCACGCGCCAACATGACGCCCAACGACCCGGCCAGCCACGTCACCGCAGCGCAGGCCATCGTGCGGCACTGCAGCACGCGCTACCTGCGCTGCAGCCTCATGCGCCCCTTCCTGCTCGACCGCGCGGCGCCTCCGAACCTCCGGTATGCGGCGCTCGAGCACGCGCGCAAGATCCTCGAGACGATGCCGACTCTGTGAGTGCCGCTTTGCTCAGGCACGTTGACGCTGCTGACGCGCGGTGACAGCGTCACGCTCGCGTCGTGCCCCTGGGTCGCGTTCCAGACGAGCTGGAACAGCCAGCATCTCTTCGTCGCCGCCACGACGTTCGCGACAATGTTCCTGGACGACAGCAACGACAAGCAGATGTGGCCGGCGGCCGATCTCGACTGGTTCTCGTCGCAGGTGTTTGAGGTGAGCAGAGCGTCTCGTGGCGCCGAACTAGTGCTGACCGCGTCACACAGGCAATCGAGACGCTCAGTCTGCTGTCGGAGAGCAACGTCACGGCACGCATCAGCCATCAGCTGCTCGTCGGCCTGTGCACGTCGCGAGACCTTCTGCGCGAGCGTGAGTTGAGCGCGTGCCTGCACACCCGCGTCCTTCGCTGACAGCCAAATGCAGGCTTCCAGGCGCGCCGACGAGAGGCTCCGAGCATGCGCAGCTCGCGTCCTGCGCGCTCAGAACAGCTACCGGCCGTGCTCCGCATGCAGGGTGCTGCGACGCCTGGCTTGAGCGCTCCCTCGTCCATGTCGCCGCCGCTGCCTGGCGCCATGGCGCCGCCTGCCACCGCCAACGCCAACGCCGCACGCACGACGCGCAACCCTGCGTCGGGCACACCGCTCGGCGCTATAGGCTCGGCGGAGTGGCCGGGCGGCGTCGACCCGCTCATCATGCTTGAGCGCATGCCGGGCCCCGAGGACGGCACCGACTGGCTCGCGCTCGACAACCTCGACTGGGCCGAGCTGACGGCGCACCTGAGCACGGTCGACGGCATGGCCTCGAGCGGCGCGCAGTCGTGACGCGCCCAGCTCCCCGCTAACTCTCCCTTCTGTAGCCTTCCGGATCAGCCGCTGCTCTCGCAATCACGCATTCATTGTACCGCCGCCGGCTCGGAAGCCTAACGCTGCGTGGCGTTCTCCGCCTGGCGCTTGAGTTCCGAGGCACGGTCACGCAGCGACTCCGTCTTTTCCTCAGCGTCGCGCTTCAGTCCGGCGGCGCGGTCGCGCAGGCCCTCGGTCTTGTCCTTCGCCTCGCTAAACTTGGCCTTGATACTGTCCTTTGCGTCGGCGGCGCGCTCGCGGATCGCCTCTGCGGCGCGGTCGACGCTGGCGGGGCTGCCCGACTTGCCGAGCACGCCCTCGTGGCCGCTCGTCGTGCCGTTCTCAAGCGCCTTGGCCGCGCGGTACTTTGAACCCTGGAGCTTGGAGGCACCCTCGCTGCCCACGCCGACCGTCGCCTTCTTGCTGTCGCGGCCGAGCGACATGAAGATGCCTGCGCTCACGGCGAGCACGAGGACGGAGCCGGCGAGCATCTGCGTCGTGCCCGTCTTGCGCGAGCCGGACTGCTCCGCCGGCGGGTGCTGAAGGTGCGGAGTGTGAGCATGGCTCAGAGGAGGCAGCCGAGAAGCGCATGTAGAAAGTGTGTGCAGAGCGAAGCTGTGTGCCCGCGCCAGTGCTTTTGGCGCGAGCTGGAGCCAAGGCTGCGAGCACGGCAGCTCGCAGCACGAAAGCTTCGCGCCCTGCTGATGCGTGAGGCGCGAGAGCGGGTGAAGACAAGAGGCCCATTGTCGCACACAGAGAGAGACAGCTCGCAGGCGAGAAGGGCTGCTCTGAGTACGCAAGGCTGTCATACTCGTGCAGACACTGCTGGCGAAGGCCAAGAGCAGCGCAGAGCCCGCGCAGGCTGCAGGTGCGAGCGAGCCAGCTCTGAGCTGGCGAGTCGCCTGTCACGCAGCTCTGCTCGACAGGGACAAAGGGCGCATGCAGGAACCCCTTCTCGGCACTGCGACACTCACTGCGCCAGGGGTGGGAGCGGCGTACGAGCGAGCCATGGGCACGGGAGCGGCGATGGCGCGGGGCGCAGTGCGCATGGCAGGGCGGAGGGTGCGAGCGAGCGACATGGCGGGCTGAGTGTGTAGGTGGAGGAGGTGAGGCTGTTTGAGTTGGCGGGTGGATGTGGTCGGGAAGGAAGAGGCCTCGCTCGAGGGCGGGCTCGTCTGGGCGTGCGTGCCTCCGAGCGAAGGTGCAGAGCGTGCGTGCGGATGAACAGCTCACTGCGGAGCTTGCTGACCACATGCTGCGCTCGCTGGCGGACGCGGAGGCGGACCCTGTGCTTCTGACGCGCTGCCGCTGGCGCGAGCGGGCACGGCATCTTGCATCTCGCTGGCGCACGCACCGCAGGAACTCCGTGCCTGCTGCACAGCGACAGCTCTCCTGCCCGCTGCGCCCGAAGAGGAAGAGGCCCAGGCCAGAACGGCAGCTCGAGCATCATCACGCCGCTGCGAGCCGAGCGGTCGGGCTCTTCTTGCCGCATGTTGCTTCGCGTGCAGCCTCCGCACGCGCATGGACCTCCACCTCGCGCGCGCTGTACCGCTGACAAAGCACCCCGCGCGTCCCTCGCACGCACCTCTTCTTCTCCAGCACCCAGGCCCAATCTATGCTACTGCCGCTCAGCAACAGCGAGCGACATATATGCTCGAGCTGTGAGCTATGCTGTCCGCTGGGCTGTTCTGCTGCTGTGTAGGCGCAGCTGAGAGGCCCAGATGATCGAGCTCGGGCGCAGGCTATTTGCAGCGTCTGGGGGCGGAGTAGCGCGCGCCGATGCGGTGCAGGGTGCGTCATCGCGACGCCTCGAGCTCGCCTCGCTGGCCCGCTTCTCGTCGTCCCCGCTGCGAGCTTGTCTCGTTCCCACGGCGTGCTCCACCTTTGCGGAAATCTCTCCGATGCCGGGGCGTCAATCAAGATGGACGAGCGGTGCGGCTCAGGGTGCAGTCGCCAGTGGGGCTCGACGCGCACGTGACGCGGGGTCGAGCGGTTGTCGATCACGCTTCCCACGCTGCAGCCGAGGCGTCTCTGCCCCACAGCCGTGCCGGCCCGCTCCGCCCCGGACCCCTATTGCCGCCAAGGACACCTCGCGCCGAACGCACACGCAGCGAGAGATGGAGGCAAAGAGTTCACTTTCAGAAGCGCTGCTCGCGAGTGAGCAAGCAGCACATCATGGCACAGGGATGGTCGCGGGCAGATATGGGCAGGTGGGTCGCGGAGAGTGGGCGGGGCTGCAGCGACAGTGAGCTCGCCGGCAGCGTGTGATGGATGGGGAGCGCTTAAAGCAGCAGCGTGGACCTGTGGAGATGCGTGAGCAGGCGGACAAGAGGCAGCGCAGGCACGCAAGACGCACTCGACGATGATGCCAGTGACCTGGTAGGCGTCGATGTTGCTGGCCGGCCGGCGCTGTGGGAGGGTGGGGTGAGCTCGAGCTTGCAGAAGGCAGCATCGCATAGCACGCCTGCTCAACGGCTCCTACTCACGTCCTCGAGGTAGCCGTAGCCCTGGGCGGCGACGTGGCGGGGAATGCGGATCGAGGCGCCGCGGTTGGCCACGCCCGAGGAGAAGTCGCCAATGTGGCCTGCACGCGCGAGCAGCGATCAGCCTGTGCCCGCAGCACCTGACCCACACTCTTACTCACCCGTCTCGTGCTTGCCCGTGAGGCGCAGGTCGTTGTCGGCGCCGTACACGGCAATGTGCTCCTTGTGGCGCTTGCTCAGCTTCTCAATGGCCGCCTCGATGGCCTTCATGCCGCCCTCCTTGCGCATGGCCTCCGTCGAGTAGTTGGTGTGGCAGCCGGCGCCGTTCCAGTCGCCGGGCACAGCCTTGGGGTGGAAGCTGACCTTGACGCCCCACTCCTCGGCGATGCGGATGAGCAGGTAGCGCGCCATGACCATGTCGTCGCCCATCTTGATGCCGAGGCACGGGCCGACCTGGAACTCCCACTGCGAGGGCATGACCTCGGCGTTGATGCCCGAGATCTCGACGCCGGCGTACAGGCAGGCGCGGTAGTGCGCCTCGATCAGGTCGCGCGCGTACACCTTGCCGGCACCTGGATGGGGCATGCATAAGCGGCACGCTCACTTGCGCGCGCGCAGACGCCCACATCTGGCCCACGCGCTACTCACCGACACCGCAGTAGTACGGTCCCTGGGGGCCCGGGAAGCCGCCCTTGGGCCAGCCGTACGGCTTGTCGTCCATGTCGAAGAGCGAGTACTCCTGCTCAATGCCGAACCACGGCACGTGCTCCTTCGCCTGCTCCATGAACTTGTTGCACTGGTAGCGGTGGTTCGTCTTGTTGGGCGTGCCGTCGTTGTTCCAGCACTCGGCCACGACGATGATGTTGTCGCCGCCGCGGAAGGGGTCCGGGTAGTAGGCGGCAGGGCGCAGGTAGACGTCCGAGTTGCCGCCGGGGGCCTGGCCTGAGCGCGCGCAGAGGGAGTGTCAGCGCGCAGATCGATGCCGAGCGCGCGCATCGACTACGCACCGGTGGAGGAGCCGTCGAAGTTCCACTCCTTCAGGTCCTTGAGGCTGGTGACCTTGGAGTCGACCGTCTGCGCGCGCGAGGAGGCAAGATCAGCGCGCGCTCGGCAATCCCTGCGCGCAGTGTGTGCTCACCGTCGTCTTGCCGCGGATCTCGCCTATCAGCGCACGAGGGTGTCAGTAATGCAGCTGCTGAGCGCTATGCTGAAGCAAGAGCCAAGCGCTCCTGCGGTCCAGCTCGCTGCGCAATGCTAGAGAGCGCGCTCCACTGGGCACGCAGGCCGGCACATCGGCCTGCAATGTGTAGCAGGCCGACGACTGCAGCAGAGCCGCAGCTCTTTCCTCTACGTGCACCCTCTGCGCGCGGCTGCCTGAACGCTGCACTGACCATCTCCGTCGATCCAGATGTACTCAGCCTGGACCTTGCCTGGAGGATGGAGAGTGTCAGAGAGGCTGCGCTGCGGGTAGCTGGTTGCAGAGCCACTCACCGCGCTGGTCCAGCTGCATGTACGGCGCCATGAGGGCTGAGAGGGGGCGGCATCGGCGTCAGTACACTGTGGGTGCGAGCCAGGCGCAGCTGCGAGAGGGTTTCGCGCGGCCGGCCCTGGCCTGTGCGCACGCGTGTGCCGGCTACGTACCGGCGTTCTTGGCGTTGGGGTTGGCAGACATGGTGTGTGGTGGGTGGGTGGGGGAGAGGGATGTGGGGGTGGTGGTGGTGGGAAGGATGGCTGAGCGTCGGGATAAGAGGCTGGCTGAAGGGCAGCGCCGGCGCCGGTTGATGATCTCGGCGGCCGCCGCGTGCGGTGCGGAGGCGCTGGTGCTGGGGCGGAGGGTGCGGCGGATGCACGGCAGGCCGCCTGCCGCTGCGCCTGCGCTGTGAATGCGCGGCCAGCGACGACTGGCCGGCTGCCGCTGTCGCTGCGCCGAGCGCAACTCTCGCTCGCCGAGTGCCGCCCGCCGCGATAAAGCGAGCCGCGGCCCTGCACCTGAAGCTGCGCTGCATGCGACGCTCGATGGGCGCTGAGCTGGCGCAGGCAGAGCGCCACGCCGCCGGCCGGAGCAGCTCGAGGTTGGCACAGCGCAGCGCCGAGCCCCCAGCCCAGCCAGCCGCATGGCCCGCGTGACCATCGCACCCGCCCCTGCCCGCCGCCCACGTCCGGGCGCACCCTTCGCCATGCCCCTCGCAGCGCAGCGCGAGAAGGTCTGGCTCGCCCTGCTCCTGAGACGGGGCTTGGGTTGAATGAGTGCCTGGGCGCGCAGAAGGGCTTCTAGACGGCGAGGGTGCGCCCCTCTCGGCCATCTGCCACGCGCCGGCGCCCAGAGATCCCCAGCGCGGCGGCACGGCCCCTGTTGCGCGGCCTGTGATTGGCTGCAGCCGGCCACGCCCGCGCCCCGCCAGCGCCAGCGCCTTATCATAGTCTAGCCGGGCAGTTCTTCTCGCACCGCCTCGGCTCTCGAGCCACCTCGAATTCAGGGCGACGGCGACAGGAGCTGCCAGCACAGCTGTCCTGCCGCGGCCCAGGCCGAGCCCGGCGTCGCTCTGGGGCGTCGAGCAGCGCCAGCGAGGATGATCCTCTCCTCTGCGCTGCAGCGTCTCAAACGCCGGGGCGGTCACGCGGCTTGGCCGTGCGCTGCATGAGAGCTTGACCTCACTCGCAGGCTCGCAGCACAGCTCTATTTCGCGCGCACACGCTACCGCGACGTCATGGCATGGTGCGGCGCCATCGTGCGGCAACCAGCAAGCATGCTGTGCGGAGGGAGGTCATGTCTGCGGGATGCACAGCATGCAGCGATGGTGCGCAGGCAGATGCAGCCGCAGCGATGGCCTGCATGCTCGCTCCAAGCACCGCGGCGGATGGAAGCGCGAGAGGCGGCTTCTGTCTCGAGCGGAGGTGCAAGCTCGGCGCGGGAGCGAGCCGAAAGCCAGCCACCGTTTCGCCGACGGCCGCCAGCGGCAGAACGAGGTGGGTGCAGCTGTCGTGGGAGCAAGACCCAGCTGTGCTCGCCCGAAAGCGCTGCCGCTGGCATGGCCCGGCGAACCCAGCAGCCACCCCGCACTGCGTCCCGATGGCAAGCCCGGGCGTACGCCGAGCAGACGCCGGATAAGCCAGCGGCGAGAGCGTCCACGTGGGACGACGACGCACCACGTCCAGCGCCTTCCCTCTGCACCTCACGCACACCCCTGTCAAGCTCGTCAGTCACGTATGAAAGCGCGCGCGCCTGTCGCATTGCCCCAGCGAGACGCAGCGCTGCTGTGCAAGAGAGACGATCGGAAGAGAAAAAAGGAAGAGCCGGCGAGCAGAGGCCAGCTACAGCAAGCCGGGCGACGAGTCCTGCGGCTCGTAGCGCACAAGCGTCTCGGGACGCGCATTTCGCTGCGACGCCGGGTGCGCTGCCGAGTCGGGCGCAGGCAGCGAGAATGGCGCGGTCGGGAGTGCCGAGCGCGGCGTCGTTGGGAGTGCCGAGCGAGGCGTTGTCGGCACCGAGCCGCGCGGCGCCTGCGGCGTGTAGAAGCCGGCTTGCGCGCTGTGCATCGGACTGCGCTGGCTCGCGAGCGTCGAGGGCTGCAGCGGCGGATAGGCGAGCGAGTTGGGGAAGTCGAACGTGCTCGGCGTCTCGGGCGGCGGCAGTGCTCGCTGCGAGCGCGGCGAAGGAGGAAGAATAGGCTGCAGTGCCAGCGATGCTGGCTTGTCGTGGCTGCCCGAGCTGCTCGAGTCGCCGCCAGAGACGAAGTCGCCGAGACGAGCAAAGAAGCCGCTGCCGCGCCGTTGGCCCTGCACGCTGCTCGGCATCGGATCGGGCACCTCGCTGGCCCGCCAAGACTGCGGAGCACTGCGCACAGCAGACAAAGGCGGCCCGACGGACGCGCGAGTGACGGCGCTGTCGTTGGCCTGCCGCTGCTGCAGCGCCCGGCGAGCGCCGACGGCTTGCGATGCGGGGTGCAAGTCTGGCATGGCGCGGTGGTCGCGAGAGACGTTCTGGCCGCCGCGAATGCTGCTGATGGACGCCTTGGCGCCGTGTCTGCCAGCTGCTCGCCCGTTGTACGACTTGGACGAGGCCTGCCGCGCCAGCGACACGCTTGCTCGTCCTCGAGACGTCGATGAGACCTGCCGCGTGAGCGAGACGCTGGCTCGTGCTCGAGACGTCGAGGAGATGAGCGCGGCGTGAGGAGCGATGGCCTCGTCGTCGAGGACCTCGTCCGCTGGAAACAGTCTCGGCGCAGTGGTCTGCTGCGCACGCCGGTGTCGCCAGGACAGCGAGCGCGAGAGGCCCTGCTCGAGGTCGGACTCAGCTAGCTGCGACGGCTGCAGGCGACGTGGTCCAGCCGGACCAGGCGGACGCGAGCGCGGCGCGACGAGCGGCTCGGTGAGCAGGCCGATCTCCGAGCCTGCACTGTCGCGAAAGGAGGAGCCAGAGAAGGGCCGGAACGAGGCCGCTGTGCCCGGCCGGCTGTTTGCGGCGCTGACGGGCGGGCTCGAGCCCAGCTGCGGCGGCGAGAAGCCGCCCGGCGGCGGAGCGGCCAGCAGGTGTCGGTCGGACGCGGCGAACGACTCGAACGTGCCGAGCGTGCCGGCGCTCTTGTGCGTCGAGAGCGAGGCCGAGGCATGCTCACGCGAAGTGCTGTGCGAGCCCGCCTCTGAGGCGATGAGCTGCTGGCGACGGCGCATGGCCGCCTGCTCGATGGCTGCGTCCCAGGCACGCGCATCCTTCTCCGTCATGGCCTGCCAGCGACGGCGGCCTATCCCGGCCCACCAGCCCCACGCTACGCCGGAGAGGGCCGCGACGGCCAGCAGAGTGGCGGCGAGGAAGACGACGATGACGCGCTCCGAGTAAGGAAAGTCGCCCTCGGTCACGTCGGGGTCGAGCCACGTCATGGCGGGCGCAAGCGAAAGCGGGTGGAGGACCGAGGAGCGGGGGATAGGAAAGAGGGAGGAGGTGGAGATGCGGCAAGAAGCGCACAGCCCTAAGGACCTCGTGCGACGTCGAGCACAAAGAGATCAGGGGCAGGTGTGACGAGGCAGTGCAACGTGGGATGGCCCAGGCACGGCTCGCGTCCATTTAGGGCAGGCCCTGCCCCATCAGGCCGCTTCGAGCGTGCCGCACCTCGGCGCGAGCCCGCTACGCAGCGATCTGGTGCTGCGCCTGTCCCTCTCCTCGATCTATGGACAGCCGACATCTGGGCCGTCTCCTCTCTTCCCGGATTCTTATTGAGCTTTCTCGCGCACGTTTGCGGCCAGAAGGTCTTGACTGCGGTCCCGCACCCTGCACGCGACGTGTCATCTGCGCAAGATGCGCGGCGCGACGTGCCGAGCGCGGCAGGCCCCTGAGCGGCTCATCCCTGCCGCGTGCCGCCGCCGCGCTGCCCTCTCATCAGCGGCGTGATGTTGCAGCAGGCAGACGGCAGCCGCAGAGCGACATCTCGGCTTCTGATGGCCGCAGATGGACAAGCAGGGTGCATCCCTCTTGTGCTTGGCGGCTTTCTTCGTCGTCTCACCCGCAAGTGGGACACTGGACACTCTCCACACCTCGAGAGGACCTCTGCCCACATCGCGACCTCTCTCATCACACTCTCGCGTCTCGGTCTGCAAAGACTGCGCATCTGACATTCAGCCGGCACAATTACAGTGAATGATGGTGGAAGCAAGACGGGAAAGGCAAGCAAGGGAGAGTGCAAGGCGCGGGCTCCAGGAGCACCTGCGGGTCCAGAAAGCTGCAGCCGGGGCGCACCTAGGAGTCTGTGGCCGGCGACACTTCGGACGGAGCAGCAGCAGTGGCGGCGGCGGCGGCCATCTTCTTCGACGACGAAGAGAGGCCGAGCGAGATCTTCTTGGCGCCGCCGGACTGAGCAGCGGCGCTCGAGGCGGCTTCGGGAGCCGGCGTCACAGACTTCTCACGCAGGAAGCCGCCCTCTTCCGCGTCGGCCTCCTCCTTGGCGATCGACTTGCGCTTCGCCAAACGGCCGATGAGGTCGTCCTCCTCGCTCTCCTCGTCGCCGCGCCGCCGCTTCTCCGGCATCTTCAGCGGCTCAGAGGCGTCGGCAGAGCCGCTCGTGTCGGCCTCGTCGGGGATCGAGGGCAGCTTCGAGGCCGCGGGCAGCACCTCGGGATCTGGCTCGGCATCGCCGTCGTCGTCGGCGTACGCAACGAGCCCGGGCCGTGCGGGCGCAGAGGAAGACGCAGCTGGCGAAGCATCGCCAGTAGGCGCACTCGCTGCTTGTGCAGCGGCTGCGGCGATCTTGTTTGCGGCCTCCTCCTCATCGTCGTCATTGAAGTAGCTCTCCTCGTCCGAGTCCATCGTCGCGCGGTTGGCGCCGCGCCGCTCGAGATCGCGTTGCCTGAGGTTCAATGGTCAGCACTGACCCCAGCAGGTCTGCGATGCCCGACTCACCGCCGCTCGCGCTCGGCCTCAGCGGACGAGACCTCGGCAGTGGTGCTGGCCTCGGGCACCGGCTCGACGTGCTTCTCGTGCTGCAGCACGAAGGCGGCGAAGCCCGGACCCACGGTGGGCAGCTGTGCCAGCTTGCGCACGCGCTCGCCGTACTTCTCCATCACGTGTGAGATGAGCGGCTTCATGTTCTCCTGCAGAGGAAGCAGTCAGCGAATGCAGAGCAGTGAAGCAGAGGTTGTGCAGCCGGTATCTGTGCGCGCCCACTGTGTTCTTGTGGGGGCGGCTCATATGTCGACCGCGCGCAGCGAGTGCGCCTGATCTTGGTCTCTTGGCACCTGCACGCTCCCGAAGGCTCACGCAGGGTCCCGCACCTCGCCTGGCGGAGAGACGGACCAGGCGCTGCGCAGGAAGAGGCCGGGGACACGAAGCCACTGCAGGGCACAGCACTCACCTTGCGAATGTGGAAGAAGAAGTCCAGGACGGCCGAGGCGACGAGGTTGTCTCGCCGCTCCTCGCGCTCCACGACGTCGAGCACAGCACCAAGCAGCTCGATCTTGACAAGATGCCGGTTGATGAACTGGTTGTTGCGCGCTAGGCATGCGCGGAAGAAGCGCAGCGCAGCGAGGCGCATGTGCTTCTCGCGCGCCGCCAGCAGCGCGGCGACGGAGATGGCGATCTCCGAGGTAATGACGAAGTACTGCGAGCGGAACGTGTGGTTCGCCATGACGTAGCAGAGCAGGTCGCAGAGGTGACCGAACAGCGCACTGCGGGCGCGCGGCTGCAGGTCGACGTGCGTGCCGGCGGCGATCTCGCGGAAGTTCGGCAGCGTGCTGAGCGGCGAGAAGAGGCGCTCAATGTCGCTCTCGTAGATGAACGTCAGGAAGCGGTCCGCCTCGTCCTTCGCCTTCGAGCCAGCGGCCGCTGCGGCGGCGGCGGCCAACGACTGAACGACAGCGTTGCCAGCCGACGCCGCGCCCTCGATGCCCGTGTCAAAGAGCACACGCATCGCCTCTGCCATTTGCGTCTTGAGGCCGAGGTCTTGCTCGGCGTGCAGCGAGTCGATGAGCAGCGTCGAGAGCGGCGTGGAGAGCTTGTGCTCTGCCTGCACAAGGATGTGCGCGCGCACGCTGTTGGCGTCGTACTCGATGATCGTCAGCAGCACCTCTGCTGCAGCGTTGCGCAGCCGCGTCTCGGCGCTGTTCTGCTGCAGCGCCCACTCGAGCACGCGCAGCAGGCCCCAGTCGACGAGCGAGCGGTAGAGGCTGATGCGCGCCGGCAGCTGCACCTGCTTGCCCATCGCGCAGAGCTGCTGGATGAGAATCATGCCGTCGCGCTTGCGCTCCTCGCGCTGTGCCTTTTGCTCCTCGCTCGTCTCTGCCAGCGCCTCCTTCTCCGTCTGCCGCCGCTTGAGGATCATGGCCGGCGTCAGCTGATAGCCCTCGTTCCAGAGCGCGAACAGCGGCACGAGGAACGCCTCGCAGCTCGTGCAGAAGCCGACGATGTCGACCTGGTGGAAGAAGATGAAGGAGTTGAGCACCGAAAACATTGGGTCGTCGAGCACGCGCGCCAAGATCACGTCCTTGAGGTAGGAGAGGCGGTACGTCTGGTGGATCTTGGCGAGGATGTGCGGCTCGACGATCTCGACGACGCTGCGGAACTTCGTCGTCTTGGTGAGGAAGTCGCGGTAGTTGGCCTTGAGCGTCGGGAACTCGGGATCGTACTCGAGCATGCCGACGACGCCGAGGAACACCTCGTCCTGCAGGATCGTCTCGAGCAGCGCGTGGTCATTCAGGGACACTGCAGAGCAGTCAGCGGCTGAAGGCAGAGAGGGCGCCGGGCGTGCTCACAGGTCGCCTGCATGATCGTGCAGAGGTGGTGCAGCGCGGTCAGCTGCTCGAGATCCTCCGCATCGCTGAAGACCGGCAGCAGCTTGTTGAGGAAGCCCTGGTAAGGCTGCGTCAGCGCGCCGCTGTCTTCGTCGGCGATGTCTCCCCACTCACTGTCTTTAGCATCCACGCCGCGACCTTCTCCCGCGCGTGCGGCCCACGGCTCGCCGCGTCCTTGAGCGTCACCTCTACAAGCTCCAGGTTGTCCATCTGCGGCTCGGGCAAGTAGAACGCGCCGCCATCGGCCATGACGAGGCTGTCGCCCTCGTGCAGCGGCCCCGGCACCGGACTGCTGCCCGCGTTTGGCGTGAGCGGCGGCGAGTCGGAGAGCGCGCCTTCTTGCCCGGCCGGCATCGCCGTGCCGTTCAGGATGAAGTGCTTCTGCACCTCGGTGAGGAACTCCCAGATCTCGGAGCAGCCCTCGGCCTCTTGGAAGGACAGCGCCATGTCCACGCCTGTCGGCTCGGTCCAGACGACGAGGGTATCTGCAGCCGCACGTCAGCTGAGCTCCCTCACGCACGCCTGTCGCTGCGGCCACTCACCTTGCTGCCGCTGATACACGTCTTCCCGGACCACCGTCGACTTCAGCAACACATTCTCGCCCTCCAACGTCGGCGTCACGACCAAGATGAAGCCAGGCGCGCCCTCCTCCGTCTCATTCTCGAGCGGAATGACGGCGCACGACTCCTCGCCGCACGCCACGAGCAGCGCCTCGTCGCGGCCCTCATCGTAGACGCCGGCGCAGAAGCCCGTGCCCCGGTCGTGCCACGTCTCGCCCTGCAGCTCGTACACCTTGACTCGGCGCGCCGTACCGCACTGGTGGTACGAGCCGCGGCTCACTGTGCTCGAGATGTGCAGGCCAGCACCGGCTTCGGAAGGATACTGGAATGCAGAGGCCAGGCCTCCATTCGAGCCTGTTGAGCTGGCCGAGCCGCCAGAGATGTCGCCGACGTCATCGACGGAGCCCGTCGACGTGTCGCCGTCGGCATCCAGCTCTGCGCCGGCAGTCGCACGAGGCGAGCCGTTCCCGGCACCGTCGCCAGCAGCGGCGCTCTTCGTCCGCCGTGGACTGCTGGCGTTGCGGCGCGTCACGCCGTTGCCGCCGTTGCCGCCGCCTCTCCGCTTCGGGCTCTGCTCCGACGAGGTGCGTGCGGCCTTGGCGCCCGGGCTGCCGGCAGACTCCGCGCCAGCGTCCGGATGAGAGCGCTTGCCTTGACGCGTAGGCGTGCCTGCAGCTCCAGCGCCCGTGTCTCTCTCCTTGCCTTTGGCACTGGGAGACGCGCGGCCCGAGCTGCGCGGCGATGCTGACGTTGCAGCACTGGTGCCCGGCGTCGAGGGCGACGAGCGGCCGGAGCTGGCGGGCGAGCGCCCACCTGGCGAGGATCCGGCAGCTGAGGTACGCGTGGTACGCGGCGGCGTCTTGCTCGGTGCGGCCGTCACTGTCGGCGACGAGGAAGACGGCGCTGCAGACGCAGCCGCAGTCGCCAGCGTCACAGCAGCGGCGGCCAGCGAAGTGTCGGCGCCAGAGGCAGCCGGAGCAGCAGCGGCCTGTGGCTCAGAGACGCTCGTCGCTGCTGGCTGCGGCGTCTGCTGCTCTGCGGCAGGCGGCGCGGTGGCGGCCGACGGCGAGCTCATGGCGGCCGCTCGGAGATTGCGACGCGCGCCTGCAGCTGGCGGCAGACGCGACGCGCGTGGCAGCACGAAGGCGCAGACGGAGGTGGGCCGGAGCGGCGCAGGTGGACGCGCGCGGGTCGCCGCTGAGCCGTCGCTCGCGCAGCTGTGTGTCGGCCAGAAGGAGTGTGAGGCGGTGGAGGTGGGCTAGAGTGAGGGGCAGATGAGGGCGGCGGTGGAGGATGATGGGGAGCTAAGCGTGGGGCGCGTGACATGTGGCGGCGCGGCGCGCCTTCTCACGCCGCGCGCCAGCTCGTGCGATGAGCGGCGGGCGCGGCGGCGGCGGTGCGGGCGCGCTGCAGCTGCAGCCCAGCAAGCAGGCCGCGGCGGCAGACGAGAGGGTGAAGGCAGCACAAGTGCCGTCGTCATCGGGCCCATCAGGGCCCCAAGCGCCCATCCTCGGCGTCGAAGCGGCAGATCTCAGGCACGAGGGCGCAGCTCGGAGCAGAGTTGAGATGCTGGAACAGATGTTCGAAGCAAGTCCGGAGAGCAGCTCGACTCCGTCGAGGAGGCCGGCCGTGAGCTGCTGGCGTGCACGCGGTCACCGTGGGAACGCGGCCAAGCTCGCTCCGCCCGCTCCGGCGCCGCACCGCTCTCGGGCGCACGACAGCGCACGGCCGTGCTTCTGGACCCCATCCGCTCTCCACGCCGCCTCGCTCGCACCGCCTGCCTCTTCGCCGGCCCCGCTGTTCGTCGCCCGCGCTGCTCTGCGGCATCGAAGTCGCACGCAGCTGCCCTCGCCGCGTCGATCTTGGAGCGTCGTGCGCGCGAGTGAGGTACAGGGCGCACAGACGCTGCTGCGTGGTGAGTGCCCCGCCGATCAGCCGCGAGCTCGGAGTGCGCTCGAGGCCGGCAGCAGCGTGTGGGCAAGCGAGGCAGACGCACGCAGCTCAGGCCTCGCCGTCCCCTCCTGGCCAGCGCTAGCGCCAAGCGGACTCAGGCTGACGGAGCTGCACGTCGTCCAGGGCACGCGCCGCCAGCATGTTCGACGAGTGAGTCCGTCGTGCGGCTCGACGAGCGCTCTGCCTCTGACCAGCATCCTGTTCAGATTCGTACAGAGCTCGCGCTCTGCCGGGCTGGAGGCCAGCGTATCGAGCATGCCTGGGCCCTCGCGCGCCGGCAATGTGGGCCTGACGGCGCTGGGCTCGGCGCAGGATGTGGATGGCGATGGCTTTGAGCTGGACGGCCCGGTCGAGCCGCTGACTGCTGTGAGTCGATATGCTGCTGACGGCGCTCCGCAAACTCATCGTATCGCACCGCAGCTCGAGACAGGCTTCGTCTCCAGCGACCTCGACGGCGCCTCGCTCGTGCCCATCTTCCAGCTCGGACGCGTGCAGTATGCCTTTCCTGCGCCGCTGGCGCTGCTCACCGTCGCCTCGAACATCCTCACCATGTGCCTCTACTCCTATCCGTCGCTGCAAGCCGGGGGCGGCTTCGAGAGCGCCGCCGCACAGCGGCCACGACTGGTGCGCATCAATCTGGACGACCCAGAGCGGACAGAGGAGGCCGAGGTGCCGCTGCCGCCACAGCCGCGGACACGCAATGCGCCGCCGATCGATCCGAACCTGCTCGGGCCGCACAAGATGTTCTCGGATCCCAGCGGCCGGCATCTGGTGCTGAGCATGCGCTCCGGCGACAACTTCTACTGGTTCTCTGGCTGGAAGAAGGCGCGGCCACTGCCGCGGCTCAAGGGCCTCGTGCTCGAGAGCATCGCGTGGAACCGCGCGGCATCTGAGCAGCTCGCATCGAGCTCGCAGGGATCAGCGCGGCGGCCCATCTCCTCGCCGCTCTCCACGCGCGAGATCCTGCTGGGCACGCGCGCCGGTGAGATCTACGAGGCAGTCCTTGTGGCGCCGCCAGGCGGCGACCTGGACGAGGGCGACTTCCTGGACCGCCTCACCAGGCGGACAGCCGGCGGCAGCAGCTCCGGGCCCGAGATCGATCGCGTCTTGAGGCATGTTTTCACGCTGCCGGAGCAACAGGCCGCCACGGGCCTGGCGGCTGAGCCTCTCACTGGCTCGTCGAAGGGCAAGGGCAAGGCCGTCGTCATCATCACGACGAGCACGCGCATCTACGAGATCCTTGGGCCGCTAGGCAAGAGCAAGAAGGACGAGAGCGAGGGCGAGAGCCTCTACGACGCGCTGTTCGAGCCGTATCGCGGAGATGCCGCGCCGCCATTGCGTGAGTACAGCGGAGCGCTCATGCGGTGGCCGTGCTGACGCCTCGCGCAGGGTCCGAGCTGCCTGGCGATCTGCCCTACTCTGAGCTGCATCTATGGGCTGCCAACGAGCGCAAGTCGCCAAAGGCCTTAGCATGGCTTACCGGCCCGGGCGTCTACCACGGGCTGCTGTCGTTCGCCGAGCAGGAAGGCGCCGACACCGTCGTCGACAGCGCCAACCTGCTGCCCTACCCCGCGGTCGCGCTGGAGGAGGACGAGGCAGAAAGCGCAGCCAACGGCGGCGGCGGCACGGTGGCTGAGATCCCGCTGTCCATTGCGCTCACCGAGTTCCACTTTCTGCTGCTCTACCGCGACCGCATCATGGGCATTAGCTCGCTCGACGACCGCGTCGTGTTCGAGGAGGTGCTGCCGCTCAAGCCGCACGAGCGCGTCATCGCCGCAGCCGTCGACCCGAGCCGCCGTACGTACTGGGTGTACACGGACGCCAGCATCTTCGAGCTCGTCGTCAAGGACGAGGACCGCGACGTGTGGCGCGTGTACCTCGAGCGCGGCTCGCACGACACGGCGCTGCGCTACGCCAAGACGCCGGCACAGCGCGACATGGTGCTCTCCAGCCAGGGCGACCGCTTCTTTGCCGAGGGCCGCTTCATCCAGGCGGCGCAGTGCTACGCACAGACGTACGCCCGCACCTTTGAGGAGATCGTGCTGCGCTTCCTCGACGCTGCCGAGAACGACGCGCTGCGCTACTACCTCGTGATGCGGCTGGAGCGCCTGCGCAAGACGGACGTCACGCAGCGCATCATGCTCGCCACGTGGCTCGTCGAGATCTACCTCAGCAAGATCAACGAGCTCGAGGACGTCGCCGCGGCCGAGGCAGCTAGCACGAACGTGGAGAACTACCGTGTGGAGCAGGAGATGCTGGAGGAAGAGCTGCGGCAGTTCCTCGTCACTTACAAGGTGTGTGTGCCGCCTCGAGAGCGCTTCGCTATCTGCTGATTACGCGTCCACGCCAGGAGAACTTGGACCGCAAGACGGTGTTCAACCTCATCGGGCGGCACGGCCGCACGAGCATCCTGCTGCACTACGCGTCCGTGATCCAGGACCACGAGCGCATCGTGCGGCACTGGGTACAGGAGGAGGGCTGGGAGCAGGCCATCGAGGCGCTGAACCGGCAGTCCTCGCTCGCACTGTACTACCGCTTCGCCGCTGTGCTCATGCGCAACTCTCCGCAAGCGACCGTCGACTCGTGGACGCGTCAGCCGGCATTGCAGCCGCGGCGGCTCATCCCTGCGATGCTGCAGCACAAGCCGAGCTCGGGCGGAGCGAACCAGGCGGTGCGCTACTTGCGCCACGTCATCGACGTGCAGGACAACACCGACGCTGCGGTGCACAACTTGCTCCTCACTCTGTTGGCACGCGGCGCGCCGCACGAGCCGCGGGAGAGGGGCGATGCGGCTCTGTTGACCTTCATCGCCGACAGTCGGCCAAATCCGAGGACCGGCGCTCCGTGCTACGATCTCGACTACGCCCTGCGCACGTGCAGCGCCAACGGACGGCAGGAGGCATGCATTCGCATCTATGCCAAGATGGGTCTGTATGAGAGCGCCGTCGACATGGCGCTGCACGGCGGCGACATCGAGCTGGCGTGCATCTGCGCCGATATGGCGGAGGGCAACACGAGCCTGCGGCGCAAGCTGTGGCTCAAGGGCGCACGGCATGTGGTCGAGACGAAGAAGGACATCCGCGCGTGAGTGGCACTTCGTGACTACCGTTCTTCTGACACTGATCGACTCTGCTGCAGCGCGATGGTGTTCCTCTCCCGCACAGATCTGCTCTCCATCGAGGATATCCTGCCGTTCTTCCCCGATTTCGTCGTCATCGACGACTTCAAGGACGAGATCTGCGGCGCGCTCGAGGGCTATGCAGCGCGCATCGAGGCACTCAAAGACGAGATGGACGAGGCCGCGCGCAGTGCCGACTCGATCCGTGCCGACACTGCCAACCTGGCCAAGCGCCTCGTCACCGTCGAGCCCGATGAGAAGTGCGCCGTGTGCGACCAGACGCTGCTGCAGCGGCAGTTCTACGTCTTTCCCTGTCGCCACAGCTTTCATGCCGACTGCCTCATCGCCGAGACGACGCGGCACCTGCCGCAGCGCACCCTGCGACGCATCCTCGAGCTGCAGGAGCAGCTGTCGTCGCTCACGTCTGGCCTCATCCCAGCGCCGCCACCGCTATACGCATCCGCGCTGGCGCAGGTCGGCCGCGTCACGCGCAAGGGTGCAGGCGCCGCGGCGAGCATACCCTTCGTCGGCCTAGACCGCCTGCGCGAGTTCATCCTGCCGGACGCCATCGTTGGCGCCATCAGCGCCGGCGTCAGCGTCGGCGTGTCGAGCGGGCGACGGGTGCTCGACCCACTCTCGTCGGCCTCGCCGTCGGAGGGCCGCGCGAGGCTGGCAGCGCTCGGCCAGACGAGCACAGAGGCCGACGGACACGCCAATGCTGTCGCGCCATCACGCAAGATGGAGGAAGAGGAGCGCATCGAGGAGCTGCGCGACGAGCTCGACAGCCTCGTCGCCAGCGCCTGCGTCGTCTGCGACGGCAGCGTCAACGCCATCGCCCGGCCGTTCATCAGCGAGCGTGAGGGCGTCGACGAATGGACGCTGTGAGGGACGCAATGCAGTCATTATTGCGGTCGATGCGAATGTGTGAGACATTGGGGTGCGTAAGTGGGCGTGAAGAGGAGGGGTTCAGGTGGCCCTCGAGGCGCGGTGAAGCCATCTCAGCGCGGGATTGCGTGGGTGTCGGAGAGGCTGCGTAGCATGTCATGACCTGCTCGCGCATTGGGCACGCCTGAGGCGCGTCGAGCCGAGCTCGGCATGCGATGATGAGGCGAGAGGGACATCATGCCGGTCTCGTCAGCGGCCTGCCACTGCGGCGGGATGACGAGAGGCGCCGAGAGCGGTCTTGCGCCGGTGCGGCGCGTCTGCAGCGCGCTTGGCGGTGGTCCGGCATGACGGCGCGATGGCGACGGCGTTACCATGCTGTGCTCTGTCCACCAGCAGCTGTCGAGCCTCTCCTGCCCCGTTGCCGCTCGCTCGCTCACGGCGCGCTGCAAGGCGGGTCTGCTGCTGGCCGAAGCTGCGTCGGTCGCAGGCAGAGATGTGCGCTTAGTGGAGTAGCGCCGAGCGATCGGAAGCTCGGGCGTGTCTGGAAGCCTGGCCAGACCTGCCGCGTCTGCATCGCCGGTCTCATCTGCCGGCAGCTCGACGCTCGTGTCGCAGCTGCCCGCCGCCGAGTGCGGCAGCATGATGCTCCATGCGCTGCCACGGCGCGTGCCGTTGGGCGAGCCGGCACTGACGATCTGTGCATTCGTCTGGAGCACGTCGTGCTGTTGCAGCAGCGCCTGGCTCGCGAAGAGGAAGTCGGGCGCTGACATATCGGGACTTGCAGCGTCGAGGTGCTCGTCGAGTCCGGGCGAGGACGACAGCTCGGGGATCGGGCTGTACGGCGCCGACGTCGGGAACTCGTATCCCGGGCTGCTGACGGAGTGGAACGCTGCTGCCCGAGCGACGGAGCCCTCCGTGCTTGGGCTGACAGGGCCGCTGTAGTGTGCACTCCACGGCACCAGCGAGGAGAGCGACGACCTCGGGCCTTGCGCCACATTCGTGGGCAGGGACTCTCGAGGCGGTGCCCGTGCTGCAGCCTGGTCGGCAGCGAGTCTGGCCTCCGCACCGAGACTGAGGCTTGTGGGACGCGAGCGTCGCGGCCCTCGACGTGCTCCCACCTCTTCGTGCGTCTCGCCTCGCTCGAAGGCCTGCTCGGCCGCATGCTCCTCTGCCGCCAGCGCCTTGCCACTCTTGCGCGAGGTAGGACTGGGCCCTGGGCTGTGGCGCTGCTGAGAAGAGCCGAGCGAGATGCGCCGGAATGAGAAGCGGCTTGCCGGACTGATGCTGGTCGAGCTGGCGCGGCTGTCCGAAGGGCTGATGGAGAGGCGACTGCTGGCTCGACGGAAGGACGAGATGGGACTCTGTCGTGAGCCAGTGTGCTGCGGACTGTGCCCGATGCCGTTTGTGCCCGACGCGCTGCGCGGCACCTCGATGCTGAGCGGCTCTGCAGTGTACTCGGGAGTCGCAGAGAGCGCTTGCTGAAGCTGCGGACGCGTGGCCGTGCGAGCTCGGATGGTGTGCTGCTCGTTGGAGGAGGGAAGCACGGGCGTAGTGGAGCAGAATGCCTCGACGAGGCTGATCGCGATGCTCGCCTCAGCCTCGAGCGTACCCGTGGCCGTTGAGGCGCCATTGGAACGGCGCGGGGACATGTTGAGGATGGAGCTCTCCGATGCCCGCTTGCGATGTCCGGCACGAGGCGGAGAAGCAGGTAGCGAGGTTGACAGCGGCATACTCATGATGCCGTCGTCGTCTGACGAGTCAGGCGAGTGCGTTGTCTCGAGCACGCAAGCCGCGTGGCCCTCTGCCAGCGTGACGCCGAGCCCACGCAGCGCCGCCTCGTCCTGCTCGTAGACAGCTTGGGCAGCCGCATCCGCTCGCTCCATCTGGGCAGACTCCGAGTGGGAGATGTATGCGACGGGCGACGAGGTGCTGGCGGCTGCCACGGCCGCGAGTGCCTCTGGGGTGAGGTCAAGCCCGAGCGCCGTCGTCGGCGACGGCGTTCTCTCCAGATAACCCGAGAGCGGCGGCGAAGTGCAAGTCTCGGACGGCTCGCCTCTCTTGCGCCAGAAGGCCAGCGTCGAGGCGAAGCTGCGCGGCACTGCTTCACGCTGTGCGGCAGCTCGACTCTCCTGCTCCTGTGCCACCCGCCGACTGTCCGAGACGAGCTTGCGCTTGCGGAAGCGGAAGCGCTGCGAGGCCGTCATCGGCCGCGCTGCTGCTTCTTCGAGCTCACGCTCACTGCCTGAGAGCGGCGAGCGAGGCAGCGCCGTGCTGGGCACCGACTGCGACATGTCCCGTTCGTGCGAGCCAGATCCGCCTGCCGAAGACGCCAGCACGGCGAAGGACGACGACAGCGTGCGCGCATCGTAGATGTCGGTGATCTGTCAAGGGATCAGCGATAGTTCCGACAACGGCACTGCAAGGCACTCACGAAGTCCTCCTCATCTATCGGCTCGCGCGGCGTCGACGTGCTGGCGCGCGGCGAGAGGCTCTGCAGCGCGGCCGGCAGGGCGAAGAGCGACTTGGACGAGCTCGGCGCCGGCGAGACGACGGGCGGCGAAGCGAGCGGGAAGGCATGCGCCAGACGCTGCGAGCGAGAGGCGAGCGACTCGGGCAGCAGTGCCGAGAGCGATGCCAGCGGCTTGCGGCGCCGACTGGCGATCGTCGGCCGCGCTTCTGGCGTGTCGCCGACGGACATGGTGAGCGGACGTGAGTGCGTCGCGAGCTCGGCAAAGAGCTGTGAAGGAGGAGGGAGGTGGTGGAGCGAAGCATCGCTGCCTCCTCCTCTCGAGCATCTGTCACATCGTGCGAGCTGTGCAATGCTGCGGCTGGCCGAAGAGGGCAAGCATCGCCAGCGGCGATCTCAGGGGCTGGGAACTGCGATAGGGGCAAGCAGACGCAAGCACCCTTCAACCGGCCCGATCGAAGCGATCGATGCCCGCTTCGGGCAGGTGGCGTCGGCCCGAGGCAAGAAGGCCGCAGCCGAGGGCGAGGGCGCTGCGTCGTCGTGAGGCTACCGCGGGGAGCGCAAGGCAGCCGATCAGCCGCAGGAGGACCGGCCCGGGGTGCTGCGCAAGCCCTGGGATGCTGGCCGCTGCCTCTGCCGTCTGCCGCCGCCGCTCGCTGCACGCTTGAGCGCATCGACCGTCATGCGAGCTGCCGCTGCCACCCGACGAGGAGCAAGCCGCAGCACAGACGCCGGATTCGGACTCTGGCGAGCGCCGCTGCGGCAGCTGGCAGGGCAGCGCTGCAGGTGAAGCGACGGCGACCTCGTCACTGTCAGCTGGAGAGACGCCGTCCCAACGGTCGGCAGCCCCGTGCAGCATGCGCCGCGGCGGCGCGTCGCGCCGCTCCTCGATGCTCCTTCGCGACGTCCTCGAGCCGCGCCCGCTGCCCTGCCATGCTGCGTGGGCCACTGCGATGCTGAAACACCACCAAGAGGAGCACCCTCGACCCCTCGTGAACGACGCTCGGCGCCAGCGATGCCGCCGAGATGAAGAAGTGCCGGCGGGGAAGATGCCGCTGTGGTGGCACAGGCTGCTGTGCGTGGGAGCGGACGTCACGTCACGTGCACCTCTCCTCGGTCGGCCAGGCCTCAGCTCTCAAAGCCAACCCAAAGGCCCATACGCGATGATGAGGAGCGATGTTTCACAGCAGAATCCCGCTCTCGTCCCTCTCGCCGCGGTGGCGTCCTCAGAGCCACGTCTGTGCGCAGCAAATCGCCGTCTGGCGCCGAGGAGTGCTTCCCGCTCTGCGAAGATCCATGCGAGCGCCGCACAGCCTCGCGCGAATCTCCAGCCGCAGATCCTTCTTCTCGAGCTCCTCCGCGGAAGCCGTGCTGCGGCAGCGTTGTGTCCGAGCTGCCGAGCGGCCGTCTCCCCTCGTCGTCTCGAGCGAGCTCGCCATCGTCATGGCTTGGGCGTTCCGCGGGTGCGAGCGCGAGGAGGCGCACCTCGGGCGGCGTATGTCACCGCTCGCAGCGCCGAGCCACGCCTGCTTCGAAAGAACGCGTCTGGCACAGCACAGCCTCGCGGGCGATGCAGGCGCCGCCAAATTCGCCGCTTCTCTGCCGCCTCTGCCGCCTCTTTCGGCGGCGAATGACGATCTGCGCAGGCACGGCGAGTGACGAACTGACGAGAGCGTCTTCGCAGCACGACAGCTCCTTCACTCGACGCAGCGCGCGCGGCGCTGGGTGCTGGCGCCGCATCGGGGACGGTGGAGTCGAGTGCGCGCGCAGCACGAGCGCCAGCACTCAGCAGCGCCTGACTCCTGCAGGGCCCGCGTCGGTGCGGCCCGAGGTGCGTCCGTGGGGCTGCGATGGCGGCAGCAGCGCCCTCTCTCTCGCATCAAGGTGAGGGCACAGCCGGTGCGGAGTGTGCGCAGATGACGCTGCCTTGCGGGGCGCCAGGCACCGCACGTGTGCAGCGAGGCCGCTCGTACGACGGCAGCAGCGCAGCGGCAGCGGGCCGCCTGCCAAGCGCTGACGCGCCGTCGCGATGCCAAGACTCGGGCCTGCAGCCGCATCTGCTCCGCCCATCAGGCACGCCGCCTGTGTGTGCGCCCCGGCGCGCGCGAAATAGCCTCGCGCGCGAAGGCGGTGCTGAGCGCGGCTGGCGGCGGCGCGGCCGGCTCTCCTGTGGCCCTGCGCTCTGGCCCCTTGCGCTGATGGCGCCCTGCCGAGGCGCACTGCTGCGGAATACGACGCATCATGCGCTGCACATGGCGGCAGGGAGGGCCAGGAGGGAAGGCTCGAGCTCGCGAGAGGCCGAGGGAGCCGGCGGGCCGCTGCGGAGCGGCAGGCGGGTCTCGCGGGCATGCGGCCGCGCGGCGATGCGGTGTGCGTGCCTCGCTGTCGCGCGCGCAACAAGCACCGCCGCAGAGGCGCAGAAGCGCAGGCGCGCCGCCAACGTCGTGCTGCTGTGCCAGAGGTCAGCCGCCGCGGCCGCCTCCTCGCTTCCGCCTCTTGAGCGGGCCCGTCGCAGCGTCTGGCTCTCTCCCCGCTACCACCACCTCCGGCCGCACATCCCGCAAGGCTCCCTCCCGCTAATCACCCCCGCCGCCACTCCACTCCTCTGGCGCGCACACCACCCTCTGGCTGCCGACCCGCACTCCCTGCGCTCTGCGCACACCCCCCGCTCGTGCGCGCGCCACCATGAGTGAGCCCACGCAGCGCGATGCGCTCCCCACCATCGTCACCACGCCCGAGGTGCACGTCGACGACACGGCTGCCGCCGTCACTGGCACGCCCGTCGACGCGCCACCAGCAGCGGCGACGGGCGACAGCCCGCACGGCCGCAACTTCAGCATCTCGAGCATGGGCGCCGGCCACGCGCGCAACGCCAGCCTCACGGTGCCCGGCGGCGATGCGCCGCCACCCTCGTCGCCCACGCTCTCCACCACGTCGGAGATGAGCGCCATGGGGCCCGACAGCCCGTCGCCCGAGTACCGCACGTCGCTCGCGCTGCGCGACAACGACCCGCGCACGGCGCACGCGCGCCAGATCAGCATCGCCAGCGCCTTCACGGACGCCAGCGCCGAGCCGGCGTCGACGGCCAACGGCGGCATGGCGCCGAGCGCCAGCAGCCAGGTCAAGTTCGAGCAGTCCTCACCCACGTCCGACGGGCGCGGCGAGAAGCTGCGCGACGTGCCCGACGCGGCCAAGAAGGAGAGCATGAAGGGCGTGCCGGCCGACGAGGCCGACGCCGCTGCCAAGCTCTCCGGCTGGCAGCGCTTCAAGGCCAGCGTGCACGGCAAGACGCGCGCGGGCCGCGCAAAGGCGATCCAGGACGAGATCGACGCCGAGAAGAAGCGGCAGTACGAGATGGACCCGGCGCCGTTCAAGTACCGGCCCGTGGAGCTCGGCGAGCTCGTCGACCCCAAGAGCGTGGCGCTGCTACGCGACATGGGCGGCGTCAAGGGCCTGCTGGCTGCGCTCGGCACGGACGGCACGTCGGGCCTCGACGTCGGCGGCACCAAGGCCGAGGAGGAGGGTGCGCAGCGCGAGAGCGAGAAGGACATTGAGCGCGCCGCCGGCTCGGGCGAGCCGCGCGGCGCCGACTGGGTGCAGGCGTCGCACGAGCAGCGCGAGAAGGTCTACGGCCGCAACGTGCTGCCGACGAAGAAGAGCAAGAGCCTGCTGCTGCTCATGTGGCTGGCGCTGCAGGACAAGATCCTCATCCTGCTGTGCATTGCCGCCGTCGTCTCGCTCGCGCTCGGCCTGTACACCGACTTTGGCGCCGACCCCGAGTTCGTGCCGCAGATTGTCAACGGCGAGCTCACCGAGGTGCGCGCGCCGCAGATCGACTGGGTCGAGGGCGTGGCCATTCTGATTGCCGTCGTCATCGTCGACGTCGTGGGCTCCGTCAACGACTATCAAAAGGAGCTGCAATTTAAAAAGCTCAACGCCAAGAAGGAGGAGCGCGACGTCAAGGTCATCCGGCAGGGCCGCCCGGCACTCATGAGCGTGCACGATGTGTGCGTCGGCGACGTGCTGCAGCTCGAGCCCGGAGAAATTCTGCCGGCCGACGGTGTCTTCCTGCGCGGCCACAACGTCAAGTGCGACGAGTCGGGCGCCACGGGCGAGAGCGACATGATCCGCAAGATTACCTACGATGAGGCGCTGGAGCAGCTCGAGGCCGCCGAGGCCAACGGCACCAAGCCGCCGAATCGCGACTGCTTCCTCATCTCCGGCGCGCGTGTCCTCGAGGGCGCGGGCGAGTATGTCGTCATTGCCGTCGGCCCGAGCTCCTTCAACGGCAAGCTCATGCTCTCGCTGCGCACCGAGGCCGAGATGACGCCGCTGCAGGCCAAGCTCAACCGTCTTGCCGAGATCATTGCCTACTGCGGTTCCGCCGCCGGTCTGCTGCTCTTCGTCGCGCTCATGATCCGCTTCTTCGTCTCCTTCCGCCCTGGACAACCGAGCCTGACGCCCGACGAGCGCGGCAAGCAGTTCATCGACATTCTCGTCATTGCCGTCACCGTCGTGGTCGTCGCCGTGCCCGAGGGTCTGCCGCTCGCCACGACGCTGGCACTGGCCTTCGCCACGAAGCGCATGACGGAGCAGAACCTCCTCGTGCGCGTGCTCGGCGCCTGCGAGACCATGGCCAACGCAAGCGTCATCTGCACGGACAAGACGGGCACGCTGACGCAGAACGAGATGAGCGTCGTCGCCGGCAGTGTCGGCGTGCACCTCAAGTTTGCCTACAACTTGGAAGAGAACAAGGGCCGCATCGAGAGTCCCGAGGACGACAGCGCCGCCGAGCGCATGGCCTCGCGCTCGAGCCTGCAGCGCCACCAGGGCCGCCGCGACTGGGCCATCGACCAGCAGGAGCTCGGCTCCGTCATCTCCGGCAAGCTGCGCACGCTGCTCTCCGACTCGATCTCCGTCAACTCGAGCGCCTTTGAGGAGGTCGCCGAGGCGGGCGGCGACGACAAGCAGGCACCGCCGGGCCTCGGCGCGCTCAAGAAGGTCTCGTTCCTGCGCCGCCTGCTGCCCAAGAAGAAGGTCGAGGCGGAGAAGACGAAGCAGCTCGGCTTCGTCGGCTCCAAGACGGAGACGGCGCTGCTCAAGATGGCCAAGGAGCTCGGCTGGGAGGACTACCGCGTGTCGCGCGAGCGCAACGAGGTCGTGACGAGCTTCCCGTTCAGCTCGGAGCGCAAGGCCATGGGCGTCGTGATCCGCAAGCCCGAGGGCGGCTACCGCTTCCTCGTCAAGGGCGCGTCCGAGGTGCTCACGAAGATCTGCACGCGGCACGTGATCGTGCCCGACCCGGACTCTGGCGATGCCGACGGCGACGTTCAGACGGCGGCCTTCACCAAGGAGTCGCAGGAGAACGTGGCCAAGACGATCATCTTCTACGCCAACCAGACGCTGCGCACCATCGGCGTCTGCTACCGCGACTTTGACACGCCCTCGTGGCCGCCGCAGGGCGCGACGATGACCGAGGAGGGCGAGCTGGACTACGACTTCCTGGCGCGCGACCTGACGCTGCTCGCCGTCGTCGGCATCGAGGACCCGCTGCGCCCCGGCGTGCGCGACGCCGTCGCCGCGTGCACGCAGGCCGGCGTGCAGGTCAAGATGTGCACCGGTGACAACGCCCTCACGGCACGCTCGATCGCGACGCAGTGCGGCATCTACACGCCCGGCGGCATCATCATGGAGGGCCCCGTCTTCCGCAAGCTCTCCGACGCCGATATGGACGCCGTCGTGCCGCGCCTGCAGGTGCTGGCGCGCTCCAGCCCCGAGGACAAGAAGATTCTGGTCGAGCGCCTGAAGCGCATGGGCGAGATTGTCGGTGTCACGGGCGACGGCACGGTGAGTGGCTGCGTGATATGCGCATCGGTGTCCTGTGCTGACTCCATGCGCAGAACGACGGACCGGCTCTCAAGGCCGCCAACGTGGGCTTCTCGATGGGCATTGCCGGCACGGAGGTCGCCAAGGAGGCGTCCGACATCATCCTCATGGACGACAACTTCGCCTCGATCGTCAAGGCCATCATGTGGGGCCGCTGCGTCAACGACGCCGTGCGCCGCTTCCTGCAGTTCCAGCTCTCGGTCAACGTCGGTGCCGTGCTCATCACGTTCATCAGTGCCGTCGCGTCCGACGAGGGCTCGAGCGTGCTGGGCGCCGTGCAGCTGCTCTGGCTCAACCTCATCATGGACACGCTCGCCGCGCTGGCGCTCGCCACGGACCCCGCCACGCCCGTGCTGCTGAAGCGCAAGCCCGACCGCAAGGACGCGCCGCTCATCTCGACGGACATGTGGAAGATGATCATCGGCCAGTCGATCTACCAGGTGTGCATGGCCCTCGTGCTCGACTTCCGCGGCAACGACATTCTCGGCCTGCGCATCCCCGCCGACGCCACGCCCGAGCTGCGCGAGTACCTCACCGCCACGTACACCATCGAGCGCAACTCGCTCATCTTCAACGCCTTCGTCTGGTGCCAGCTCTTCAACCAGGTCAACTGCCGTGAGCTGGGGCGCAAGTTCAACTTCTTTGCCGGCATCCACCGCAACAAGTGGTTCATGGGCATCATCCTTGTCGAGATCGGCCTGCAGGTGCTCATCTCATTCGTCGGCAAGAGCGCGTTCGGCATTGCACCGCTCCAGCCCGACAACCCGGCGCGCGAGAGCAGCCGGCCCGACTGGGCCATCGTCATCATCATCGGCCTCGTCTCGTGGCCGCTCGGTGTGCTGATCCGCTGCTTCCCCACGGCGCCGTGTGAGCGGCTACTCATCGCGCTCGGCATCCACTCGGACCCCAACCGCCTGCCGACGATCTCGCACGAGGCCAAGGAGGCCGAGGCCAAGGAGTACGGCGAAGAGTTCGGCGGCGTCGCCGAGCGCCTCTCGGCCTTCTCGCGCATCCGCGGCGGCCGCTCGCAGCTCGTGCGCCTGGCGTGGAAGAGCAAGAGCCGGCGCATGCGCGATGCCGACGTGCACCCGCAGACGCTCATGGCCCTCGTGCCCGCGCTCATCGGCGCCTCCGTCGGCGGCGGCTGGCGGCCCACGAACCCCGAGGCGGCCTCGCGTCGCGACCCGGCGGCGGGCGACCCCTCCGTCTCGTCCTGGCAGCTCTACCAGGGCGGCGCCATCCAGCTGCACCCCGACACGGCCAATGACGACCAGTTCCTGCAGAAGCTGCAGGCCGGCGGCGGCAGCAAGTCGGCATAGACGGGCCTGCCTCTCCGCACACTTTGTAAATAGACTCGATGCGCGCCGAGCGGGACACCATTCCAGGCCGGCTGGCCTGGGGCCGCTCGCGCGCTGTACATACAGCGCCCCCTTTCCCTTCCCGCTACCTCGTACTAGGCTCGTCGCATCTCTGTTACATCACCCACAATTCACGACTCGATAAGCTATGCCTCTGCGTGCGTGTGCGGGCGCAGATGTGAGAGGAGGAGGCGACGCGTGACAGCCGTAAGGCCCTCGCGCATGGCGCGCGTGCGAGCTCCTTGCGAGTCGCGAGACTACAGAACCGAGCGCTGCGCGTCCAGCGATCACTTGAGCAGCGCCGCACTCGGACTCAGAGACCTCCCTGGGCCGTGCTCAAGGCGCAGTCAGGAGGAGCTCGACGAGTGCCGGTCACGTGGCAGCCTGAGCACGTTGCCTCCCGGACTCCGGGCGGCGCGCCTCGTAATAGGTCCTTCGGTGCGGCCGCTCCAGCACGCAGGGGCAGCTCAAGCGCTCCTCTCTGGCGTATGCATGCGGTCATGATGGAGATGGAGCTACATAGGTTCTATTGATCATCGACAGGCGAGCGCGCAATCCCAGGGCGGGGGTGTATCAACTCTGCCTGCCCTGCCCTGAGTCGGAGCGCGGACCGACTGCGGAATTCCACTCCGCGAGCCCGAGCCGCTGCAGCTCGGCAGGTGCACTGAGGCTGTAGCGCAGGTGCGTCTGCAGCAGACGGCGAAGCAGGATGGATGGGAGGAGGTCCCGCTCTCGGATCCGAGGCCCATTCGACGCCCGCCAGGCCGCGTGCGGATGCGAGTCGTGTGCTCTCGGCCTTCGCCTCGGCCGCGTGCAGCGCTCAGGCATGCACGTACCTCAGGCGGGGGCGGAAGCGAGAGCGGAGAGGGAGAGAGGGCCGCCTGCATGCTGCAGTGTGCGAGAGAAAGAGAAGCAGAAGAGAGGCAGTCGAGATGCTCATCGAGCGCCGCCGAATGCGAGCCTTGGCACGGCCCATGCCGCAGCCGCGCGTGCCGTCGTGTGTTGATGCGCAATGCCCGCCCGCCCTGTGCGGGGCGGGCGGAGGCGGAGTGACAAGCTCTGGGCCTCAGCGTGTGCATCGTCTCGCCGGACTCCGACACCGCTCAAAGTGACAGCACTTTGACTGATGATCTGAGCGTAATGCGCGAACATGCTGCGCATGCAGCAGGGTACAGAGCATGCAGCCTTTCGGGCTCCGCCTCCGCGTCTCGAAGGGTGCGAGGCGCAGAGGTCCGCCTCCAAAGGCCGGTCCGCGGACGCAAGACGACCATGCGGAGGCAGCGAGGTCAGCTCGCCGTCGACGCACCGACGCTGCGCGCAGCGGCGGTGCTGCCTCACCTGCCCCTACTGCGCCTCGATCTCGGACGCTGTCTCGAGCGTGCAGCTGCAGCTGCGGTACAACACCTTCGAGTCCACCCAGCCCTCCACGCCCCGCTCGATATGCTTCGTCCGTCTGTGTCTGCCGGTGATGCGCTGAGTGTCTCGTCCGCATGCTGCGTTGTGCTGCGCGAGAAAGCTCGGAGTAGATTGCTCCCGCAGACAAGAATGAAGGCTGCGTTGCAGAACATGCCCGCAAGGAGGAGCAGGACCGCTTGTCGCGTGCCCAGACGGGCCAAGACGAGTCGCCGTCGATCAGCATCCAGCCTCTTTGACGGCCCGCTTTTCGCACGCCATGCAGGTGGGCATCTGCCCGTCGAGACCGCATCCGCTTGTGGGTCATCAGCTCATCCTGCGGCATGCACAGCTCCAGTCTTGGAACGCTCGATCGTCGGCGCAACGACGCTTGTATAGAGCGGCCATGCGAAGGGGTGAAGGAGCGAGCAGCGAGGAGGTCTCGTCTCACGCCGCGCGCGCGAGCTCGGAGGCCGGCATGCGTGCGTGTCCTTCGCGGGCCGGAGTCGAGCACGCTGCAGCTGCGTGCCTTGGCGAGTCACGGGCCTTGCAGCGTGCGTCACTGCGCACTATGAAGTAGTGCATCTAGGCTGAAGCGCACGGCGAATGAGGAGCGGCATGCTTCTCGGGGAGCACGAGGAGCGCTTGGCGGCGGCGGCGCGGCGTGCTTGCAGGTGCAACGGCTGAACAAACCTCGGGCCGCGGCCGTGCGCTGTGCTGCGTGCAGTTCTAGCTTGCAGGCCAGTGAGTGGGATTCCGCTGGCGCGCCGTGTGCGCCAGTGGAGCACCCTCGGAGCCGCGCATGGGTGCAGGGCACGAACGCAAGGGGAGCGCGGCAAAGGCCCGAGGCGCGCGCGCACGCGCGGCCGGGCGGCGGCGGACGAGGTGCTGCTCCGGCGACGCTCCTGCGCAATCCGGAGCGGCTCGGACTGGCGGACCTTGCGCCCGCACGACACAGGAGCAAGTCGGCGCAAGCACGCCGCTGCCGCGCCTGCGCTTCGGCGCATTCAGAAGCGCCGAGCGCGCCCAGCGTGCCTGCTTAGCGTGGAGCGCGGGCGTCATGCTGCCTCCAGCATGCACAGATGCGCGCCAGAGCGGCAGACGCAAGCACGCCAGCGCCAGCACCGCCAGAAGCGCACCGCCGACTGTTTGCAGAAGCCGAGAGGGAGGCATGGGCGCTCCGTAGCGTGCACGCTGGCGCCGCATGAGCGGCATCTCGCGCCCTGGAGCGCGGCCCACGATGACGCCGCATGCATCTGCCCTCTGCCCCTTCCCTCCGCGCGCGCTCGAGATGCCGCTGCGCGCCGCAGCAGGCTCCTCTCCTGCGCCGCGCTCCCCGCTCCTTCATTGCAGCTCAGGTCGTGCAGCGTCTGCGTCTTGCCATCCTGCCGCTTCTCACGCTTCGCGCCTCAACCCGCTGGCCGTCTCGCACGTGTGGTGGCTGCTTTGTAGTGGGGACGCGAGACGTGTGGGCACCGCCGGAATGAGGAGCCGCCGCGGAGGAATACCACGCGGCAGCGCCTGCGGACTACATAGGCGATTGCACAAGCGGCATTGTACGTTGCTGAGCAAGCACAATACACGCCGAGCCGCGGTGCAGAGGTACAGAGAGGCAGCCCGTGGGATGGCAGAGTCGCGAGGGGACGCGTCCCGTCGGCCATGTCACGCGCGCAGACCCGTCGGCCCGACATCTCAGCCCCATCGCTGCCCATCTGACGCCTCATCGCCTCCAAGGCAGCAGCAGGCGATTGCATCGTTCGATAGAGAAGGGCTGGCGGGCCATCTCCGCCCGTCGAGGTGCCTGTCGACAGCGCTCAAGGCGCAGGCGGCACGACAGGCGGAGATGCCGAGGCATGCGGCGTGCTGCGAGGCTGACAAATGTGGGCCGGAGGGGCTCAGGCCGGCGGCAGCTCGACCGCTGCGACGCCTGGTGCTGCGCTGCCGCTGCCGCTGCGGCTCTGCGCCTGGTCTGCTGCGGCTGCGGCCACCGCACGGCTCTGCGCTGTACCCCTGGCGCACAAATCCCCGGCGGAGTGCAGCCGCAGCGTGCGAGGAGGGGCGAGATGTTGGCGCCGAGTGCGGGCGAGGTGCCGCCTCTGCAGCACCGCTCGCTACTGCCTCAGCACCGCAGCGTCGGCATGAACGGCGGACGGCAGTGCGGCACTCCGAGATGCACTTGGCTGCGTGCTCGGCCGCACCTGTGCCGCTCATGCCGCCTCGACGTGGACCTTACAGCACACCCAGCGACGCTTGACGTGCAGAGCGCAGCCTGTCTGGCGCCTGCGATGCGAAGCGTCTCGCTCAGAGCTCCGCTGGGGGCTCAGGACGCATTCGCAAGGCCACTCGAGGTGGAGAGAGGCATGCTGAGAAGGTCAGCGAGCACGCGCTCTGTTGACTGAGCAAGGCTCGGCAAGGAGCTCCCAGCTCTTGGCCGCAAGCAGCGCGGCAGCGCACGGAGGGTTTGCTCTCGTGCTGTACGGCCGTTGCTGAGGAGAAGCCTCCTACGCCGAGGCACTTGCGCAAGGGCACCGCTGGGTGGCCGCCTCGGCGCCGCGCAGCAGTGGAATGTCCTCGGGCCGGCGCCGACGCGCGACTGCTCGGACGCCGACGCACGGCGCAGCGAGGCAGCACGGCCGCCGGCAAAGCGTGCAGGGCAGGAGCGAGCGGCCATGCGCTTCGACCTGCTGCTGCGGGCCGCTTCCCGGCGGGAAGACCGCAGCGTTCGGGACCCCTCATGCCGCTGGCGTGCCGCCGGTGGTACACTGCTCTCCTGCCGGATTACCACAGCACGCTTGCGGGCGTCGGAGACTAGAATGCCCGCATGCGCTTGCAGCGTCGCGCAGGGGCTTCGCGCGCGTCGGTGCATAAGGTGACGCCCCTGGGGCACCAGAGCACTGTCCTGCCTCGCCGATGCGGGCGGCGGCCGTGACGGCTCCGTGCCAGCCGAGCGCGCCACGGAGGAAGCGCCCTGCAGCCAGCGGCGCAACCGTGCGGTGCCCCTCCGAGCTCGCCGCGCTGACGCCGACGCCGACGCCCTCTGGCCTGACCGGCATCGTGCTGCCCGCAGCGCATCACAGCGCCCCGCACGCCCAGCACGCCCAGCATCTGCTACATCGCCTCGCTGCGTGCCGCCGTTGAGGCTAAGCTTAGCGCACCAGACGTGCCTGCATGCGTGCGTTGCCGATGTGCTGCCGGCGAAGCGCTGCAGCGGCAGAGGCGCCTGGGCGGTGGTGCGTAGGCTTCGGAGGCTCGCTGCCGTGTGGCACGTTTTTGCGCGCGCGCGCATGCCGCACGAGATGCGTCGCATGGAAGTGGCGGCTGCATGCTTCGGCGAGCGTGCTCCATGCGCAAGCGCATGGCTTCCGCGGGTCGAAGGTCGCGCGGGTTCGAGGACAGGCTTCGAGAGGCTCGAGGCAGATGCAGCGGAAGCCAGCACTTGCTCTTGGCGGGCGGCGTGCGCGCCGAGGGGCGTCGGATGGCGTCGCGGCGCGGGCGCGGGAACGGGCGCGGCGGCGCGGCGCTCGGCACCCGGCGGCGGCGCGGGCGCGTGCGTGGGAATTGCCTGCAGCCTGCTCTCATGCGAAGCGCGCCACAGCGCCATGGCGGCGACGCGGGCACAGCGGCGGGCTGCGCCACCGCGCGTGCGTTCCTTTGTCGTGCTGCTGCTGCGTGCTGCCGCTGCGCACGGCATGGCTCGGGCCGGCCTAGCGGAGGCCATTGCTCTCAGCGCGGCCGCTCCAATGCATCGCCTAAGCCTCCATGCTGGCCCCCTGACGAGGCGTATCTGGCATGCATCGTCGGGCGGCCCTCATGCTCCGTTCGTCCGTGTGCACCCAGGGGTCCTGCTGCAGCCACCGGGCAGAGGCTATCTCAGCTGTGCCTCTCGCGCCTCTCACACGCCACGCCGCCTCGCCGCTGTGCGTCCCCGTGTGTGCGCAAATAGCAGCCTCCAGCGTGCTGCACACCAGTGCCCGGCGCCGCTCAAGGATGCTCCCCTGCCTCGACGCATGAGATCGGCCGCAGCGAGTGCATGGGAGGAGGTGGCGCGCGTCTGCTGCATGCCGCTCGTCGCCTCTTGCCCAAGCTCGGATGAATGCGTCGGCAGGACGGCAGCAGCATGAGGTGCGCATGCTCGCAACACCGTGTCTGCGACGTGTCAGTTGCGTCTCTTTCGTGTGAGAGAGAGTCAGAGTGGTGCGTGCCGATGCCGTGTGCGCTCTTGCTCGCCGCGTTCCCGCCCCGCCCGTGCGTACCAGCCTCGGAGGCTGTCCGCGGAAGATTGTGCACAGCGCCGCAAGCGGCGTCCCCCGCGATGCATGCACGCACGCGCCCCGGGGAGGCGCCACGGCGTCTGCCACAGCCTCTGACACGGCCGCGCCGTGCCGTGGGTCCGACACTCAGCCTGCAGCATGCTGTGGCAGCCCCGCGAGTTCGCGTGCCGCAAGGGCCGCTCTGTGCCAGTGGGCCGTGTCATCAGGCCAAAGTAGACAGACAGACCAGAGTGTTTGGCAGCAGATGTAGCAATTGCGTGACGACGGGGCACCAGAGCAAGGAGGTGTAGAGCGAACTAGCGACTGCGCAAGTGTAGATGCAGGGAATAGACGCCAAGGGTGAAGGCAGGGTAACAAGTAGTGCAGTGAAAGCGCAGGGGCAGAGCAGAAGAGCAGTGGAAGGGCGGAGCTTAGAATACAGGCCGGGGCATTGTGACGGGGCGGGGAGCAAGTGACGGCAGCAGACGCACGCCAGATGCGTCCCTGCATCAGGCGCATACGCCTCTCAGAGGCGGACCGTGAGCTTGTTGAGGGCCGAACGGTCCGACGTCGAGAGCATGGGCGGCAGCGGGCTCGTCGGGCTTGCCGGGTGGCTGCCGCCGCTGCCGGGCAGCGGCATGTTGCTGAACAGGCGCGGCGAGGGCCCGCTGGAGAGCGAGCCGACGGACTTGGAGGTGCGCAGAGACAGCAGGGCGCCGACGGCACTGGGCGAGCCGCGTGCGCCGCCAAAGGCAGAGTGCACGAGCTGCAGCGGCGGAGGTCGCCGTGCCTGCTGTTGCTGCTCCTCGCATGCCGAGCGCATGTCGACCGTCGTGGCTGCAGAGCTGGCGCCGCTCTGGATCGAGGTGCGAGGCTCGCTGCTGCCAAACGACTGCTCGGCGCCGCTGTTGCTGTACGTCGAGCTGCCGCGCCGCCGCTGCGATGCCGGAGGTGCCATGTAGCTCTCGGTGCGCTGCTCGTCGCGCGAACTGTGCGAGGCCGAACGCTTCATGCCGGCGGCGGCGGGGACCGGAGCGAGGACGGAGGTGGGACCAGAGTTGCGACGGTTGACATCGTGCGAAGAGGACGGTGGGCTCGGAAGGTCGTAGGCCGAGTAGTAGTGCCGCGACGACGACGGCGCCGGCTCGTGGTTGAGCTGCGGCAGCGGAGCGTGTTGAAGCAGTGCGCGAGGCGACGGGTGGAGAGCGTTGAAAGGCGAGACGGGGCTGAGGCACGGAGCGTCGGCGTCGCGCAGCGTCGGGTCGCGGTACTCGTCCTCGTCGACGCTGAGGCCCCACTCGCCGCCGCCCTCGCCGACGAAGCGCGGGTCCTCGCTGACACGGCGCAGGCGGCCCTCGCGGAAGTCGCGCTTGGTGTAGTAGGAGATGACGTGGAGCTTGCGGCCGCTGCGCGTCGTGATGGTGAAGCTCTGCTTGATGAGGCCGTCGACCTTGTACTGGTTGGCCGTGGCGACGGTGCTGCCGTTGGCCGTGCTGCTGGCGGGCTTCTTGCGCACCTCGAGCTCGCGGTAGGTGAGGAAGCAGCCGGAGACACGGCTGGCGCTCCAGCACTTGCCGTCGGTCCAGCGACGCATGCCGGCCGACTTCTCGTCCCAGGCGAAGACGCTGCCGGAGCGGATGAGCGTGGCGCGCTCACTGTCGAGCAGGCGGCGAGTGACGCATCGCGGCGGCGGGCAGGCGCCGCGGGCGAGGCCGGCGTTGGCGGGCAGGTCGCAGGCCGAGAGGAGGAGGATGGCGTCCGAGGCCGTCTTGATGTAGCCGATGTACGTCGGCTGCTGGTGCATCGGCGAGATGAGCGACTCCTCGTACGCCGACGAGACGACGCCGCGCGGCACCATGGCGAAGGACGTCGATGCGGCGGAAGGCATGGGGCGGCCGTAGGCGTCGTGCGAGTAGGCGAGCGGCGCGTCGTACTGGGCGTCGCGGCGCGGAGGGTAGGAGGAGGAGGGCGCGGCGGCGTAGGCGGCGCGCGGGTGGTAGGCGACCGACGACTCGGCGTAGTGACGAGGATGAGCCATGGCGACGGGGCCGGAGCTGTACATGTTGCGAGAGCGCGGCGGCTTTTGAGGCGATAAGGGTCGGGTGCGGCGGAGGCAGGCGGACGGCGGGGCGTCTTGCGCGGGCGTGTCAGGGGCGCAGAGTGCGGCGACTAGCTGTCGAGGAGGCGAAAGTGGGGCGCGGCGTCGATCGATCGATGATGCGGCGGCGTTGAGTGCTGGCTGGGAATAGCGCAGAGGAGGGATACCGAGAGCGGTGCGAGCAAGGGTGAGGAGGAAGGGTGGGCTGGGCGGAGGGGTGGAGAGGTCGTGCGAGGGCCTACTTTAAGAGGCGTCCTGGCCGGCGGGCCGGCGCTGGCACGGCGTGCTGTGCGGTGCGGTGTGCCATACGCTCGCGGCTGGAGCGTCGGCTTGGAGCGCTGCTCGCTGCGCTGGGTACGGCCCGCTCGCGCTTGCCCACGCTCATGCACGCTGCTCGCCGGGCGAGCGCCACTCGCATGCGCTTGTGCGCCCGCAGGATGGTGCAGGCTGAGGCATACGCCCGCAGCGCACCCAGCTCGGGCATGCTTATGCAGCAGGCACCTGCGCAGCGGGCGCGGGTGCGTGCAGACGGATGCGCGGCAGGGGAGAGGCGTGCAGCGGCGTGCAGCCGCCAGCCGCCAGCAGCATCAGCGCGCCGCGCTGCTGAGGAAGCAGAGCAGATCGGGAGCCGGCCGGCCCCTGGATCTGGCGCGGTGCGCCGCAGCCGCAGGCAGCCGCCGCCGCGTACGCACGCCAGCGCCGCATCCCACGGCAGGCGTCCTGCGCTCCTGCGCCTCTGCAGCCGTGCAGCGGGCACGGCGGCGGCTGCGCGGATGCGCGCCAAAGGCGGCACCGCTCGCCAGAGGCTGCTCGGGCGCCGGCTGCTGCACCACGCAAGGAGATATTTCGCCTCGTTGCTCTGCCTTGCGCTGCTGTGGCGACCCATCGCCGCCGCCGCCGCCGTGCCGCCCGCCTAGGGTCCAGCAGCGGCGCAACCGCCAGACACAGGCGCCGAACGCCGTCGATCTCTGTGCGCGAAGCTGCGGCGGCTGCTTCGGGAGCAGCGCCGCAAGCAAGCCGCAGCATCCAGCACGCCCAGGAAATGCCGCCGTCCCTGCGCCTGGTCTCCCCCCTGCGCCACGCTCGTGCTGCCCCCTCCTCGCTCCGTGCCCTTGGTGCATGCCTGACGGCACCGCTGCGAGGCGTGCGGTGCTGCATGCAGGTCGTGCCCTTCGTCGGGCCGCAAGGCGTGGCCGCAGCCCAGCGCAAGCCCAGCAAGCCGAGCTACGGCAAGCGCGTGTGCGACCCGGAGGCTTCGGGCCGCGGAGCGCGATGCCTCTCTCCGTGGTGAGACCTGCGCCAAGTGCCCGCCAGACACGGCGAGCCTTGCCCAAGACTCTGACTCGGCAGGCCATGTGCCCCCACGAGTGCGCTCCTACATGCCCAGCTTTGCTCCAGCGCAGAGACGCGCAGGCGTGCACAGCAACCAGCTCGTGCCCTCTCGGACGCCGGCGCGGGCGGTTGCGGCCGCAAGCGCGTGCCAACGTCGGAGGCTTCTCGTCGTCATCTCCCCTCGCTGGCGTCTGCACGCTCGCATCTGCGCTGCACTCATGGCCGTGCTGGAACCAGCCCTGTGCCCTTGCGTCTCGGCTTGCGTGCTTCGGCAGGACCCGAGCTCGCAGCCTGCGCTCCTGCGCAGGAGAGCTGGAGCGAGCGGCTCGCGCGAGTGGGGTCTTCGAGGAGACAGGTGTATACGCCGCAAGCGTCTGTGCGGAATACCAGCCCGGGTGGCTGCTACGGTGCTGCCTGCAGAGAAGACATGCCTCACGAGAGAGCGTGGCGCTGCGGCGAAGGGCGACGATTGGACCGTACCCGAGCTTCGCGCGTGCTGCGTGCCCCCCGCCGAACCCGAGGTGAGGCGTTCTTGCAGGAAATGACCGCATCCTCGCCTATGTGCCCGTGCCCGCCCTGAGCGCTGCGTCGTCACACACCCCTTTGTCCCTTCTCTCCCCTTGCGTACGAAGCCTGTATAGAGGCACGCGAGCCGCAAGCTCAGAGCTTGAGTGAGCAGAGGCATGGGCGTGGGCCATTCGCCCGCTCTCCAACACCCGAGGCACGCCTGCCCTCCGTCGCCAGCCACGCGACGCTCCTCTATCGACGCAAGCGGCGTGCCGATGTGGCCGATGCCTCTCCCACGCCCCGGGAAGCCTGACTTGCGTCGGCTGCCCCGCCAGCCACCGTGGCTGGCTCGTGCCTCTCTGCGTGGTCCACCTTTCCTGCGTGCGTGGACAGCTCGTGTGCTTCGTCCTCGCTGCATTCGCATCAGCCAGGTGCGACTCTTGTTCCTCCGGCATGAGCCACGCAGCGGCAAGTCTGGTTGCGCCGAGAGCATGGCGAGCTCGTTCTCCTCTTGCTGTGCGTGGCTTCTCTGTACGCAGACTCTCTTTCGCAGTAGAGCCCTTCCAACTGTGTCTGCTTCCCGCCGGCTGACTCGGGCATGCACGCCCTGGTTCGACCGAGAGAAGAGCACGACTGGCGAGCGACTGCCAGCGAAGCACACCTGGCTGTGCGCACCCGCGCGGGGCTGGAGGTCTCGTATGACCCGGAGTCCGCATCAGGTCTAACATAGCACATAGCCGCGCGGCCTCGCCTCGCCCGCTCTGCTGCTGGCGAGGGCACAGGGCAAGGCAGACGGTGCAACGCGAGCCGCGGCGTCCGGCAGCGGAGGGCATCGAGTCCATCGTGACTGCATCTGGCGTGTCCCGAGGTTGTCTGCTCAGCGTTGCCCTAGCGTCTCGGCCGGACCGCAGTCCGGAGCATGCGGAGCGCAGAAGCGGCATGGCGAGAGAGGCGAGGCCGCCTGCCGCCGGAGCAACGACGATCGACGCACCACGTTGCGGTGCAGGTGCGAGCAGAGAAAGTGCCGAAGGGCCGATGCTAATGGGGAACACGCGGTCTCAGGTAGACTGCAGGCAAGGCGGCAGCAGATGGAGACTCGAGGCGAGGCAAGGCGAGGCGAGTCTCGGGCCCCCCAGGCTGCGCGCGCGACGCCCTCCGATGGAGATCTCGATATCCTGTCTGGGCTGCCAGCGCGCGGCGGCGCCCCCGCGATATGCGCCAGGGTCCTGCTGCAGTCAGCAGTCAGCCAGTCAGTCGGCGGACAGCGCTGCAGCTGGGCGCAGAGCGGAGGCAGAGCGAGGCGACGAGGGGGCTGCCGAGTGCGGCAGACGGCTGCGGCGCTGAGGCGGCCACCTGCGACACGCTGCAACGCGCCGGCGCGCCTCTGCAACATCCGCCGCTGCGGCTGCAGCGCTGCAGCCACGCCGCCCACCCGCCGCCGCACAGCTGTCCCCTGCGGCGGCCGCTGCCGGGTCCGGAGCCCGACGAGCGGGCGTGCATGCTGCACACTGATGTTGCGTGGCTGGCGATCTCGGGGAGTGCTGTGCTGCTGCGGCCGTGGCAGGGTGCACCATGTCAGGCCGGCGCTGCAGCTGCGTGCGTCGGGCGCGGGCGGAGTCGCACGCCGCTGCCGGTGGCTGCAGCTGCTGCCGCTCGGCCCCGGAGTGAGAGCGGAGCGGGGGAGGGCAGCAGCAGGCGACGGCGGCGGTGCCGGACGCGGCCCCGAAAGCGGCGTCGGCGTCGTGCTGGCACCTCGACGGCCCCTCGACGCTCCGCACGGGCGTCAGCGTACCTCTGCGGACGGCGCCGCAGCAGCACTGCAGCTTCAAGCGGCGCTTCCGCACGCCCTGCGGCTCGGCATGTTCCTTTGTCTAAGCAGGCCCGCACCCGCAGCACGTCGGCCCCCGAGCAGCTCGGCATTTTCGGCGAGATGGGCGCTTACCACAGCGTCTCGCAGCGTGGAGAGGCGCACGCGCAAGAGGTCGCCGCAGAGGCACCGACGACGGGCGCGTCCGCGGACGGGCCTCCGCACCCTCGCTCCTACGTGAGCTTCAACAGCCGCCTTGTCGCCAACATCAGCTGAGCATGGGCTCATCGCGATACACCAGCGATGCACTGGCTGCAGCGATGCTATGCGATGCCACATGACATGCGATGAAGGGGCAACGGCTATCGTCAACTTTGCTGTCGTGCGTGTCCGACGGCCCGCCGCTCCGAGCTCGCTGAGCAGCAGCAGCAGCAGCAGCAGCAAGCACGATCTTCTCAGCAGTGCAGGCGCTGGCTCGGGCTGAGAGTCAGAGTCTGTCAACCCGTGCCGGCGCCGGTTGCGGCGGCTGCGGCGGCGGCGCCGTGGCTGGCGACTCGGCGGCGCGCGTCCGTGTCCCGTCTCGCGTATGCCGTCGGCAGCAACGGCAAGTCGAGCGAGCGCCGCACCGTCGGCAGCGCCAGCCTGCCCTCCGCTCCTCGACACCGCCCTCACACCACCGCACATCCCGCCTTGCCTGCCTCGTGCTTGCTGCTGGCTCTGGCGATCGAGAAGCGATCGAGATCGAGCGTTTATGGTTGCGATGCTGCGACGATCGAACGCGCGCGCGGCCGACGGGTGGCGCTGCAGAGGGCCTAGAATGCCCTCGAGGCGTGCGGGCAAGCGTGAGAGGGCTAGGCAAGCTTAAGCATTCATCTACCTGGCGCCAGCATCGCAGAGAGAGGTCGTCCGCCAATTGGGCGAGCTCGCAGACGCCGGCGTCGATGCGAGAAGCGTGGGCTGCGGACACGGGTGCGGCTAATGCACGTCGTGCCTGCGAGCTGCGGCGATTAGAGTGAGAAGCAGCGGTGAGTCCCTGCTTCTTGAACCTGACATTGGCGCAGTCGACGAGCATCGGCGCTTAGAGCCGAGGTTGGCGCACGGGCGAGAGCGCTTGCGAGGACGAGAGAGAGAGAGGCGTGCTGCTCCGCATGCTGCGAGCTGCGACATGTCGGCATCTTTCGTCTTAGCGGCGCAGCCGAGGCACCAGCATCAAGCGCGACTTGAGGGGACATGGTGCCTGAGAAGCTGCGCCGTGTAAGATGACAATTGGCATCTTTGAGGAGTCTGCGGGCTGGTGCTTGCGACCTGCGAGGCAGGCACCATGAGCATCGCTCAGGGCAGAGCTGCAGCGGCCAGCCTCAGCGGTCGGCGTGCGTCGTGCTGCGCGGGATGGCGCATGGCGTGGCGCGTCCTCCTCGAAGCGTGCATCGCGAAACGCGAGGCGGCGTGATGGTGCGGCGGCTGCGGCAGTGCAGGCTGCAGGACGGCGCCAGGGCAAGGGCACGCCTTAGCTAGTGCGGCTCGGTGCCGCTAGCATATAGGCTCACGGCTGCGCTGCTGCTGAGTCTTCGGGTCTCGCTTCCGCTCCTCGCTTCACGTCGTCTCGGGCACCGCAGCCTCGGGATGTCTCGCAGCCGGTGCCGCACCGTGGGCACCGAGGCATGCAGGTCGACCGTCAAGCGGCCACAGCCACACGAGGCCGCAGCGATGTCGTGCAGCACGCAGACGCAAGCAAGCTCACCGCTCGGACGCAGCTCTTGCAGCACACGCAGGGGCAGCGGCTGTGGCGTGTACAGCCTGGACACGCATGCTGCTCGCTGCACGAAGCGGCGGGGCCAGTGAGGAGAAGAAAGCGAAAGGACTCGGTATGCCGCCACTCAAGTGGACTGCGGCTCGATCTGCTCGCACGTCGACAAGCCAGTTGCTGAGCTGTCCTGCGTTCTTTCGCATGCCAGTCAAGTCGCTGCACGTCAACCTTGCGCACCCGAGCGTGTGGCACAAACGCCTCGTGGGTTAAAATTGCGCGTCCGACCGACGGCTGTGGCCATCAAGAATGCAGCGCGCATGCCATTCTTCCCGCGGCCCCGAGGCTGGCTAATCTTCCCAAAGCAGCGGAAATCATAGCCAGGAGAGAGCAATTGAGGGCGAGCTGATCCGTCGGCTGCACCTGAGAGGTCGGCAACTTTCGGCTTGCATGGTGGGCTCGTCGTCGACGAGGCACGAGGGACAGAGCGCAGAGCGAGAGGACGGAGGGCCGATGCGCTGCATACGCTTTCGCCGGCTTGGGACGCCTGCACGCTGATGAGGCCTGCCTAGCTGCGTTTGAGCCACGCCATGTCAGGGTCCACGCCTTGAATTCTCACTTCCTGTCCCTGCTTTGGCGCCGTCACGGGGCAATGGAGCAGCGAGGCAGCTGTACGAGCTTAATGGCAGTTATGACGCGCTGTCGCTGCACCATGCACGGCTAGCCTCGGAAGGGGTGCATCCCGACGGCACCGAGGCTGGGGCTGGCGCTGTGCCTCCTTCAAGCACTGTTGCCAACGCTGCCTGCATGCATCCTGCACGTGTGTGACTTTGACCCTCCGAGCCCACCGCAGCCGCAGCGGCACACGGCTGCGCTGCTCGGCCGCTCCTCGCCCCACGCATCCATCGAAAGTTGCTCTCGCGCCCGTCGCTGAGCTTTGCCTAGCGTCTTCGCGCGCTTACCCCTGGGCTGCGCCGAGCGTGGGCGTTCTGGGTCTTGACGCCGTCGGCATCGGGGGCCTCGTCACCTCTCGCACGACACAGACGACGCAGGAGGAAGGCGCGAGTCTCGCTTGCTGCTGCACTGCGGCGCTGTCGCTGCGTTGCCGTAGCGCGTGCTGCAATACCACGCGATGCGATGCAGCTTGACGCTCGCCGAAGCGCAGACCGAGCCTCTTCCTGCTCCGACATCGCTTTGTCAGCCAATCGCGTTTGACAGCAGCATGAAGCCCCTCGTAGCGCGGGGCCGAAGCGTCGGATGCAGCGCAGCCGTTGAGTCCAGCGTGCGAGATGCAGCGGCCAGCTTTGGGGGGGGGGGGGGCACAAGAGAGATGCGAGGGTGAGACATGCTTCCCGATGCCGCCAGTCGTGCCGAGCCTCATACTTCAGCTTGCTCTTGCGCCTGGGGCGCGCGGTGCGGCCGCTCGGAGAGCGAGCCCGCCAGGACGCGAGCCGTCGCCCGACGAGCTGGGCCCACTGCGGACCCGCAGCCGACGTCTCGGCCCCCTCGTGCACGCCGGCCGGCCATGGCGCTAGCGAGAGGAGGATTAGCTCAGCGGACAGCAAGGATTGACGGCTCGCTGGGCATCGCAGCAAGGACTGCTTGTTCAACCGGGGGCCCGGCGTGGTTCAGCCGGGTGCTCGAGACGTGTCATCCAAGCAGGTGCGCTGACGGGAGAGCGAACAACGTGAGTGACGCAGCCGCCTGCCGTCTCGCAGCGCTGCCAGGGTTTCCTGGAGTCGGCGTGTAGCGTGCGAAGCGGACAAGGAGCTCTGAGGAGTCGCGAGTGGAGTTGGTCGACGCCAGGCGGTGCGCTGAGAGGTACATCAGAGCGCTCCAGCGAAGGCGGCACGGAAGGACGAGCCGAGGCGGGGCGCTGCCGCGCGAGCTCGTCGCGAGCCATCGCGCTGCTCCAGGGCCGCTATATCCTCTGACCTTTGGGTGAGAGGAGTAGAGTTGACGCCAAAATACTGCTTCTGAACCCTTCAATTGGGGGTTAATGGTTGAAAGACTCGCTACGCGCCGCCGTCGGTAGATGAGGGGGCCTCCGACATCAAAGAGCGAGGGAAGAAGGCGGCCACGCAACGACAGACGCACTCTCCACATTTTAGAGTGGCACTTGGCTTCAGCCTGGGCGCTGCACATTAAAGGCACACAAGCCATCGCTATAGTATGCCGCCGAAAGCTACTCGTGTGCTCCGTCTGCCATCGCTATGCTCTCAAGGACGGGTGCGAGGCGAAGGGAGAGGGATCAGGCGGACGGAGGCGGAGGCAGCCGATCGACGCGCCCGCATCTTCCCACGACGCGTCGCGTTGCCTGCTCGCAAATTGACGCGTCGTTGTCCCGCTCACGCGCCGCTCGATGGCGGAGGCGGCCGCCTCCTGCGGTATGCGCATGCGCTGCAGGCACCCGGCAGGGCCGCACCCACGCTGCCAGCGGCGGCTAGCTGAGCAAAGAGAGTGCCTGTGCAGCTGATCTGGACAGGTGACGTGCGTGCTTTTCTCCTGCGAGAAGGAGGGAAAAAGCAAGAGGCCGATGCAGAGGGAGACATGTGGAGCACGAGGGTGTGGCTGCCTTGCCAGCCCTGCCGGCAAACGGCGCTCGAAGGGTGGCGCATCGGCTGCCATGCAGCGAGTCGAGTCTGCAGCTGCGTGCTGGAGCTCTGCAGCACAGAGCGACGCAAGGGGCGCAGAGCTGGCCGGGAAAGAGGCAAGGCAAGGCGACGGGAGAGAGGCGCGCTGACGGCGCCGCGCAGCGCCGCCGCGCCACAGCGGCGCGCCATGCGTGCGCTGCAGGTACCTTGCGCACCATCACCATCACTCCGTCACAAGCCGCCACAAACAGCCGCACCATCACCTGCACCCCACACTGCACCGCACCGCACGGTCTGTACGCCGCCTCCGCATCTCTTCGGCACCTCGCACCAGCAGCCCGCCCATCATGCCCAAGCGTGCCGCACCGCTCTCGCTGCACCTCTCGCTGCCTTCGCCGCACGCCTCGTCGTCCAGTGGCTCCCTCGCCTCCTGCTCCTCCTCCGCCGCAGCCGCAGTCGCGCCATGCACGCCGCCCTCCAACGCGGCGAACCACCCGTTCGCAAGCACGCACGGCGTGCCCGGTGCGCCGCGTGCGCCGCCTCGCGCGGCGCCGCGCTTCGTGCCGCGCGCCGAGCCGGCATCGCCTACGGCGCACGCGCCGCCGAACAAGCGCAGACGGGCGGTGCTCGATGAGCAACAGGAGGAGGAGGAGCAGCATGGCTGGGAGGCAGTGAGGCCCAAGCTGCTCTGGCCTGCTACGCCGCCGGCGTCGGCATCGAGCAGCCGCAGTGTCGCCGAGCTCGAGCCACTGCCGCTGGGTGCCGCAGCGCCCCTCTCGCCGCCGCCGTCGCCTCGACGCATCTCGCCTCGCAAGCGCATGCTCTCCGTCGACGCCGCAGCCGCAGCCGCAGCAGCGATGCCATCGCCTGCCTCGCCCATGCTCGCTCCCCTCCTCTCCGCCTCCAGCGCCTCGTCCAGCGGCGCAAGCGTTTCAAGTCCAAGCATCGCAGCAGCCAGCGCCTCGAAGCGTCCCAAGCTCTGCGTCTCGCTCTCCTCGTCCATGCTGCGCACGCGCGCCCAGCTGCGCGCCGCCGCCGCGCTCTCTTCTCCCTCGCCTCTGCTCGGCAGCGGCGGCACGCCTCCCTGTCCTCCTTCTTCAGCATGCGGGCCCCGCGGCACGCGCACACGCAGAAGCAGCGTGAGCCAGCGCGCAAGGAGTCGCAGCAACAGCCGCAACAGTCAGAGTCGCACGAGCGCCAGTCCGGCCCCCTGTGCTTGGCGCTCCAGAGGCGCCTCGGGCACTCCGAGCGCAGCAGCGGGCACGCAGGCAGGCGACTACTTTGGCGAGACGTGGTGTGGCGCTTTTGCGGCACGGCGCGTCTGCTGAGAGAGCGCGAAAGGCGGTCGAGGAGACCTCTCAGCATCTCACTACTCGATAGTCGGTCCTCCATGCTCGGCCCTGCCACACTCTCGCACTCTGCACTCCACACTCGTCACCGGCCCCCCCCTCTCTACTTACTGACTCGTCGCGTACACACGCTCTGGCCATTAGACTCGACTCTGCTCTATAGACGCCTCACCGGCTCCTGTCTGCTCTCCCGGTAATGCACTTCTGCCTTTCTCGCTCTCTGTGCTTCTCCATCGAGCTTTCTCATTGCCGCGCGGCGTTCCTCGCGGCCTCTCCTCACGCGAAGAGACGCAAGCGGGCGCTTAGAACAGACAGAGAGTAGAAAGGAAGACGGTGAGGCGTTTCTGATTGACACGGTTGACCCAATGAGGCGAAGCGAGCGAGCGAGAAGGGAAGAGACGTGATGAGACGCAAGACGAGAGGACACACGGCTTGAAGCGAGCGCGGGACGGAAATGTGGACGGCGAAGAGAAGCAGAAGCGTTGGGCGCGGGGCAGAGGGAATGAAGGGCTGCGGCTGGAGGATGGCGGATGGCGGATGGCGGATGGCGAAGTTGGCGGATGGCGGAAGGCGCATCAGTGCGAAAGAGTGGGCGCACCAAGGTGCATCGAAGAGAGTCAGGCCGAGGAAGAAGGGCCCAGCTCGGAAGAGCGAAGCGACACAGAGCCGCCTCGCCTCTCCAGTCGAAACAGCGAGCGCGAAGAGCGAGACATGAGACGGAAAGGAGAATACTGAGAGCAGCGAATAGCAGATGTAGACAACGCAAGCACGTTGCGTCCTCTGCGTCTGCCATTCGATTCCTCAGCTACTCCTCTCCGCCACGTTCTCGCACGTGTGTCAACAGCCCGCGCCCTGCGCCTCAGACTCGGCGTCTGTTCTGAGGACGCAAACCCCACCATGCCGCCCGCGCCCACCCTTCCACCCCCCGCTTCTCCAGCTCACGGCTTGCGCGGCGTCGAGGAGTTTGCCGTCAAGCCCACTGCCGAAGACAGAAGCTGCCCGAGGAGAGCAGGAAAGGGAAAGAGAGCCGGGGCGTCGAGGTGTCCTTGATGTGAAATGGTCTCAGCGCATAGGAAACGAGGCCGAAGGAAGCGCCGAGAGAGGAGAGAGAGAGTGTGTGGATGCGAAAGTCGGGAAGAGCGAGAGAGCGGAGCGGCGAACGAGCGAAAAAGAGAAGCGCAGCAAGTTCAGTGCGCCACCTTCTTCGTCAGGCCCAGCCTGCGCTTGTGTCGGTCCAGACGCTTGCCGCTCATCTGCGTTACACACACGCATCAGCCATAGCATCTCGCCAGCGCAGCAGAAAAGAGGTGAGGGCGAGAGAGACACGACACGCACCTTTGCCGCCAATGCCTCGAGGCGCGCCTTGTCGGCCACCTTCTGCCTGCGCTCCATGCGCGCCTTTGTCTTGCTGATCCACATGCATCCTCCTCATCAGCACTGCGCTCTCTCCTTGCTTGCACCCGATGCGGAACTCACGCCTTGTCCGCCTCCTCGCGCTCGGCCTTCATGGCCTTCTCCTTGGCCTTGACCTCGGCGGCGCGCTGGCGCGCGGCCACCTTGGAGTCCCACGAGCTGATGCGCGCCACGCCGGCGAGATGCTGCTCGGCGCGCGGCGGCGGCACGATGTGCGCGGGCCCGCGCGCGGTGGCAGCGGCGGTGGTGGCGGATGCCGAGGTGGAAGCGGCTGATGAGGCAGGCATGGTGGCGGATGGACGGTGGTGGTGGTGGTGGTGCTGGCGGTGCGCAGCCAAGGCACTGCAGAGCCGTGCATGCCACGAGCCTGACGTGAGCGCTGGCAAATCTGGCTGACTCAGCAGGCCACCACACGCGGGGCACGGAACTCGGGCGAGAGGCGCGGCGCACCCGCAACATCCACCCATCGTAGCTCCCAGCCGCACGTCAACGGCTGCCCTGCATCCGCTCCTCATCCTCCCTCCGCCGTGCAGCCTCAATCGCGTCGCAAAGCAGACCGTTGCCAACGGCCTCACCTCTTTGCGCCCATGTCTGCCTCGCCCACTCCCGCCGCCGACGTCGACGCCGCGTGCGCGCCCGAATGGGCGCTGCCCCTCGCCGCGCTGCGCCAGCTCTATCTGCCGCGCAGCAGCAGCGGCAGTGGCGCCGAGTTCGCCTCGGCCGCGCATGCCGATCCGCACACACCTCCCGCGCTCGCCAGCGGCGCAGCGGCACGAGAGGCGCGTCTGCGGCTCACGTCGCATGCCTCGAGCAGCAGCAGCGCCACGTCCGACGACGCGGCGGCACTCTCGCATTCCCACCTGGCGAGCAGCAGCAGCAGTGCGCTCCTCTCGTCGCCGCTGCGTGCCTCGGCCACACGCGCACAGCGCTCCGTCTCGACGCTCAGCTCCGCCGCGCCGCGCACGCGCCTGCACCCGGGCAGTGCGCCGCCCAGTCCGGCGCCGGCCCATGCGCGGCCGCGCAAGAGCCGCGCCTCCAAGGGCGGCGCCTCGAGACATGCGTCGACGTCGATGCAGCAGGCAGACGAGAGTCTGGGCGTGGTGCGACACACGCGCATAGAGAGGGGCCTGCCCACGACGCGCATGATGCCGGATGTGAAGCGGAAGAGAGTGTTGGTGACTGGCGGGTGAGTTTGCTCCCCTCTGCTCTCTCGCGCACAGGCAAGAAGACTGACGTGAGCAACGAACGGGTAGAGCCGGATTCGTGGGCTCGCATCTGGTGGATCGGCTCATGCTCATGGGGCACGACGTCATCGTGCTCGACTCCTTCCTGACGGGCAACAAGTCCAGTCTTTCCCAATGGGTTCGTATCTTGCCTCTTCACCCTCTCTTGTCCCGCTCACCTTGGCTGGCAGGTCGGACATCCCTCCTTCGAGCTGCTGCGGCACGACGTCGTCGAGCCGCTGCTCATCGAGGTGGATCAGATCTTCCACCTCGCGTGCCCCGCCAGTCCGCGGCATTACCAGGCCAACCAGATCAAGACGATCAAGACGTGCTTCCAGGGCACACTCAACATGCTCGGCCTGGCCAAGCGCACAAAGGCGCGCTTCCTCCTCGCCTCGACGAGCGAGGTGTACGGCGACCCGGCCGTCACGCCTCAGCCGGAGACGTACGCGGGCAACGTGTCGTGCACGGGCCCGCGCGCCTGCTACGACGAGGGCAAGCGCGTCGCAGAGACGCTCACGTACGGCTATCTGTACCAGGACGGCGTGGATGTGCGCGTGGCGCGCATCTTCAACACGTATGGCCCACGCATGCATCCGCAGGACGGCAGAGTCGTCTCCAACTTTGTGCTGCAGGCACTCAGAGGCGAGCCGCTTACATTGTATGGAGATGGGAGCCAGACGAGGAGCTTCTGCTTCGTCCATGTGAGTTGCAATCACCCCTCCTCTCCTTTTCCCTCCTCGGCTCGCCCTCCTCTGCAAGACTGATGCGTCCCTCCCCCCCCCCTTCCTTTGAAAGGATCTCATAGACGGCCTCATCGCACTGATGAACGTCGAGCCCGTCTCTGCACCTCCGTCGCCCGACTCGCCAAGCACGCCCTCGAGCATGCTCATCGACTCGAGCGCCAACGCTGGTCTCGGCCTCGCGCCGCTCTCCTCGACGCCGCCTCCCGCCGCCGCCGCCGCCGCCGCGAGCGCAAGTGGCTCATGCGCAGCGACCGCGCCGCGCACGCCTCCGACACTCGCCTCCGCCTCCTCTCCTCCAGCTGGCGTCGGCGTCGGCGTCGCGCAGGAGACACCGCGGCGCCCCACGGCGCAAGAGGCCCGCGAGCAGGCAGACGTCCACTCGCCCGTCAATCTCGGCTCGCACTTTGAGTTTAGCGTCAAGCAGCTCGCCGAGCTGGTGCGCGACGTCGTGGCGCGTGTGCGCGAGGAGGACGGAGACGAGTGGGAGAGCAGCTCCGAGGAGGAGTCGGAGGAGGAGGGAGGGTCGATCGAGGAAGAGGAAGAGGAAGGCAGCGCCTCAAGGTCGCAAGCTGCGCTGGCGACGCAACTCGGCGCCTCGCATCTCGCCGATTCTTCGCCTCTGCCTCGCGCGCCTCGTCGGCGCAAGAAGCAAGTGAAGGTCATCTACGAGGCGCTGCCCACGCATGATCCGCGCCAACGGCGGCCCGACACGCGGCGCGCCGCGGCGCTGCTGGGCTGGGCGCCGCGGTGGGGCCTGCAGCAGGGCCTGGAGGAGATGGTGAGGTACTACAAGGAACGCATGCGCGAGGGCACAATCTAGGGGAGCGCGAAGCGAGCGAGTGGAAGGGAGCAAAGGAGGCCCATTGATTCTATCGTGTCTTGATGTGTGCGCGTGACGATTAAGTGGAAAGGGGGGCAGCTTAGATGGCGTAGACGTCGGCGAGTTGCTCGAGCTTGGTGTACATGAGGCTGTCGTCGCGCGCGCGAGGGTCAGCAGGGGTAGCGGTGGTGGGCGAGGGGCAGCGAAATGGCCGGGGAGGGCGGGCAGGATGAGGAGAGAGAAACAACTCACAAGATGAGAGCTGTGTGCCACGCCGTTCATCGCATTCGGAATCGTGGCGAGAGGGAGGCAAAAAAAAGGGGGGGGGGGCAGGTGTGTCCAAGCGGGTCAGCGTCCACACTCTCCTCTCTCTCTCTCTCTCTCTCGCCCTCGCAAGACCCAACGCACCACTAGACGGTCCGCTTCGCAAACAAGTCACGCCGCATCCCGCGTACAAGCCTCGCACGCCGCGGCGGCGATAGATGTCTCGGAATGTAGCGACGAAGCCGTTGCGCGCTGTTGCTGGTGCTACGTCTGCCGCAGCACCGGCACCGGCGCGCGCTAGTTCCGCCGTCGTTTGCATGGTAGACTTGACGGAGTCGGCCTTCAAACGCAGCAGAGCAGCAGAAATCAGCCTTGATACTCTCGATTCTCGTAGTGGGGGGCAGTCCTGTCCGGTCCGCGCGTTTTCTCGCACAACACTCACCGGGAACAGCACGACATTGTAGCCCACGCCCGCACACGCGCCCGCCAGCATCAGTTCCGGCGCACTGAGGTCCTGCTTTGCCGCCTTGCGTCCCGCATTTCTTCTGCGCGTCTGCGCCGCCCGACACACGCCCTCAAACGCCAGGAACCACGCCATGCCGCCGCCCGTCTCGCGCAGCAGCGTGCCCGTCTGGCCGAGCCAGAGGCCGCGCAGGCCGTGCGTGCGCAGCGTGTCGCGCACGAGGGCCAGCGGGCCGGGGAGCAGCTTCGGCGCGACGCCCGGGTTGCTCAGCTGCTGCACCTGCATGCGGCACTTGACGAGCTCGATGGGCGTCAGCACGCACGACGTCACGGCCCCCGCGGCCGCGGCGGCAATGGAGAGCTGCGCCATGGAGAGAGGCGCCGCTTCTGCCGCCGCCAACGTCGAGGAGGTGAGCAGCGGCACCGCTTCGCCGTTGTAGCGCCGCAGCTGGGCCTGCACATAGTTGTACGTGAGGAACAGCGTCGCGTTTTCTGAGGAGAGCGTGAGCGAGGCAAAGAAGGGGGAGCGAGAGCAAGGGGCGACGCACCGAAACAGGCGCCGATGATGGGCATGGAGAGGCCCTGGGGCGCGAAAGAAGCATCAGCAGAGCAAGACCCACGGGCGGTGTGTCAGTGGGGTTTTGAGGGCATGCGGGGCAGCAAAGGGGCAAGCAAGAGTGAGGGGTGAGGTACTGCAAGGAGCGGAAGCGCGAGGAGATCCCTTTCCTTGCGCTCTCGCTCTCTTTTCCCTCCTCGCCATTCTCGCCCGCACAAAAGTGAGGGACCCCTTCCCTTGCGCTCTCTCTCCCCTTAATCGCCACACCACCCTCTCGCCCCTTGCTTGCTTGTCTCTTCCCACTTCCCCCCTCCCACCCTCTCGCCCTTTCCTTGACCGCCCCTTGCCTGCCCGTGCACTCACGCGGTAGATGCCCCTCACACCCTCCTCGCTCAGCGTGCGCTGCGCACACTGCAGCGGCCCGGCATAGGCGCCTTCGTGCGCCGTCTGCAGGCGCACCTTGACGAGGTCGAAGGGATGCTCGAAGAGCTTGGCGGCCATGCCTGCCAGCGAGCCGAAGAGCACGTCCTTGCTGCCGCGGCTGAGGCGCGACGACGACGAGGAGGAAGAGGCCGCGGGCTCGGCGGCGAGGTCGGACATGGCCGATGGCGCACGAGGCCAAGCAGGGCGAGGCGAAGTGAGCGAGCTGTAGTGGCTGAGCGAGCGTGGCGGAGCGAGGGCACAGACAGACGAGCCGGTCTCTAGATGCAGCGAGGCAGTTGGTGGTGGAGAAGGAAGCGGCGCGGGCATCAGCATCGCGCCTTGCTGATCTGCAATCAGATCTCGGGCGCATTTGACGCCGCACGACGGGGCGCCATTCGAATTCATCCGCGCCCCCTGCTGGCCTCCCGAGTGCCGAGGCTCGGCGTCGACGCTGCATCACGTGTGTGTCGCGCATGGCCCGCCTGTCTCGCTGCTCCACCTAAGTCTCCCCCATCTCCACCACCACCATCGCACGATGGCCGCCCACTTTGCGCCCTACACGCCGCCGCCCGACGAGGCCGCGTCAGCGTCGTTGTTCGCCATCGACTCGCCGCCCGCGTCGCCCGCCTCGCCCTCGCACCCCGGCCCCGCTCCTGCCCGCGTGCTCGGCGGCGGCGCGGCGGGCGGCGAGTACGACTGGCACGCCTCCTACGACGCGCATGCTTCAAGCTCGCGCTGGACGCCGGCGCGCCTGTGCAGTGCCGCATACCTGCTGCCGCCCCTCTCCGCCGGCGGCGTGCTGCTGCTCGAGCGCCACAATGTGCGTGTTGTCCTCTCCTCCTTCTCCGTCTGCTTCTGCGCCCGCGCCATGGCTGATGGGCGTGGCAACCCCCGAGCAGCACATCGTGCGCTTCCACGCCTGCCAGGCCGCGCTGCTCGCGCTGCCCTTCGGCGCGCTGCTCGCGCTGCTGCGCGCCGCCGGCTTCTGGTGGCTCAGCGTCGTGCTTCTCTTTGCCGGCGTCGGCTGGAGCTGGGTCGCGGGGTGAGTGGTGTGTGTGTCTCTCTCTCTCTCTCTCTCTCTCTCTCTC